GTGTTGCCTTTAAAGTTGGACGTGTTCAGGCTAACAGAGGAGCTGACTGGAGCAACGGAGACAGCTCCAGTTAAGGTGGCCGGACAATCTGCAACCCAACAGCCTACGGAAGGTAAGCCTAAGGGAAAGTTCCCATAGTATTGTACTGGAATTCATGCATAAATGTTGATCGAACTTCAACATGAATATCCTGCGTCCAACCTTCCGGGTTGCTTCTACAGGTTCTTTGAGTTCTCGACCACGATACCCGTCAATCCAATCGACGGATGTTGCATCCATTGTCTTACCTAAGCAGACTGACTAACAGCACTTGCTTTATTTGATGGGGGCTTGAAAGCCTGAGAAGATGTAATCATATCCAAAGGACTTCAGAAAAGGAAAAAGGCCGCTATGGAATCTGTTCTTTGTGATCTGTTCCAAGCCAAACAGCCTGTCCGGCCAAAAAACCCTGATGATTCTTTTTGCTTGTTTAAGTTGCTTTTAGTGCAAACAAAATACTTTCGAAAGGCATGAGCACCTCAAGCCTCTGTCAGGCAGTTCCATATGGTTGGCCAATAGCCTGCAGCTGCTTCTATGATTATTGACAATTTTGCGTCTATTGTCCAGCTCAAGGAAGCCCAAGGAAAGTCAGTGCAAGTGTGCCTCAACAAGTGTCCACTCGAAGTGAGGAAGGTAAGATTAGCCTATCCTTTCAGTCTGTCGTCGTTGGTATTGATGACGTGACAGCGTCTGCAAGAACAAGCAATGAAGGTGGCAGGATCTCCAATAACGAAGCAGAAAAAGGCACTTGTATCAGACTTTAGCTCAATGGTTAGTAGTCGCACCTTTTATGACCATGCAGCTCTTCAAGAACAACAAGCTCAATCGTACCGTATGTTCCTTCATGTTTCAACAGGGCAGCCCGCAGTTCTAAGGAACATCTTCGTCAAATTGCACACCGGCACAACCGTCTGCTTTTCAGCGTCCTCAAATCAGACCGTGCGGGAGCTCAAGCAGATTGTTGAGGAGAAAGGAGGTAATGAGCCTCACAGGACTTCTCGTTTGTCAATGTTCCAGACTTGCTGTCAAGTGCCTAGACATTGCCAGGATTGAATCGATCGGTAAGGTATTGCGTGTAGCTCCATACGCGCCGAGTGCGGCAGTCGGAATCTTGCGGCAGGACCCAGTCTATCTTTCAACCGCATATGCTCTATATGGATAGAGGGGCGATCCTTCGCTTCTCTTGAAACCCGCGCACTCTTCTACGACTTTCCATTTCCTGCAGGTCTGCCGTGCACAGCACCTCAGGTTCTCCGCATGGGACCCATCCTCCTGCGTGACGATTGGCTCCTTAGGGAACATGGGCTGGTGGACGGCATTTGCTTGGAAGAAAGTGTGCCGTTGTCTGGTGGCGCGCCTGAAGCAGGTATGGCATCTGTACCTCCCAACACATCTTACCCAAAGTTGTACACTTGCAACTCTGACCCTGTTTTGCGATGTTTAGATTGATGATCTCAGTGCACACTGTATAGAAGAATTTGCCAACTTTGAAGCGGGTTCCAACGGCTTGGTCCTAATCCACTGCAGATCGGAATTCTGACTCTGATGGCGAGCCCCTAGCAACCTGGGTGAACAAAAAGACCAGGAACGAGAAGTCAAGTAAGTCACAGTACGCGCGGATGCTCTCTGCCGAGAGTGCATCCTCGCATTGGGCACAGCCCTCTCATGAACGGGCATTACTAGACCGGCTTCAAAGGGTCGATCTCTAAGAGTCTGCACACCTCTTCTTTCCACTGACCTTGAAACTTGCCGGACGATGCAGGACCAGCGGCGCCGGCTTCAAAAAAAGCAAGGACCGACAAGGGTTCTCACGTGCCCTCGAAGCCCAAACCGGGGGTTGCTGACGCAAGACACGCCCAGCCTCCCCAGGGTTCGTCAAGCAAGTCTTGCTAGATTCTGCAACTTCTTGAATAGTTGGATTGAAAGGCGTTCATGAGCGATTCATTTTGTGGCCTGTCGCTGTTGCACCCAAAGCTCTTGTTTACTGCATTGACCTACTTGACAGGGCTTCCAACGCAAGCTTGTCGCTTTTCCAAACCGCTGTGCTTCCTTTCAGCTCGAACGGCTCGCACTGAAGCCCAAGGCCAAGGCTCTGAGCTACCTGTCCGACCCGAGCTTGGACGCGGCATGTACGAGACCAGAACCAGGACCTTTCCGCAAGGTACGACCTACTATCGAAAAACGTACTGATATTGTTGACTGCCAGCAAGCCGCTCATTTTCTGGGATGCTTAGATCCATGGATGCACATGCTCATTCAGGTCCGAGGACTCAGCTACCTTCAGTCCGATCAGAGATTGAATAGGGTGCGTACGAGATGGATCCGCCCACTGGACAAGGTGCACGCTGGCGCAGGGCGGCGCGAGATTTGCACTTGAGTCAGGCCAGTCGAGCGACCACTGGGGCCTCCTTCCTGGATTCCTGTGACTTCAAGCTTTCAGTAGATTCATGTGCTTGAGGAGTGCTCAAAGCCTGTTTCCGACCATCTTACAAACAGGCCGCTTGGCTTGCTTGCTGTGTGCAGATTCTCACAATCCTGCAATCAACTCCGCCGGGGCTAAGATCTTCGACCCAGAATATGCCGACCAGCCAAAGTATTTCACGGACATCAACGGCGCTCCTGTCCAATTAGAAGACCTAGAAGCCTTTCTTTGCGGCGAGTCCAGTGAATGTCATGGAGACCTGGAAGACTGCGACGATGATGACCGTGTCTTTGGTGGCAGGTAATTGCGTCCGCCAATTGACGTAATAGGTCAACTGAGTCATCAGTGCACCAACGGTTTCCATCTGTAGTGGCACTTTCGCGCGGCTACTTCCCATTCCGAATGTTGTTTACCGGTGGGTGAGAGTTGCTTGCCCTCGGCTTCTCCGAGATCATTGTCTCTCTCACATGCCGCTACGTACCTTGTCCGTCTGGAAGCAACTCTTTCCGCTTGCAGATTAACTGCGGAACGCCGGAACGCAATCAATCAAAAACGACAAAATAGTCGGCCGAAGAATACACGCCGCTCTTACTATCCCAAGCTTAAGCACTTTGTGGTGAGTATTGGCTGCAACGGTGTGAAAAACTTCTTAGGTCGATCATCTGATTCGACTGGTGTTTCAAAGAGGCGTGTTGGACATCGCTGCTCAATGGGCTGCTCGCCAGCTACTCGGTCATCTGCTCGTCAACTGCTTGACCATTGACTGCTCGCCAAACCCTCGCCAACTGCTTTGGTGCTCATCACGCTCCTCGAGATGTTTCAATGCAGAAGTGGTGCCGGGAACACGGTCGGTGCATGCCAATACCATTTGCTGATCGGGCTGCTGCTTTCTTGTCGTGGCGGACGAGGAATACGATTGGCCAAGCTGAGAAGGTAACCACTCTGCCAACTGTCTGCTTGCGCTTGTCGGCCGTTTGACCAATTTCTAGCCTCACTTTCCCCAAGTGAGTGTCGCTCGACGGGCCACATTCAATGAAGCATGACGGCTGGCAGTACGTTGCACGAATCTGATCATTTTTGCCCTCTTGAGGTTGGCCGCGTACTCTGATTGATAAGTCTATGCGTGCTTCCAGATTGAGTCGAATGCTACCTTCGATATGAATCTTGCCGCTCTCACGGACGCCAAACGACGGCTAGAGGACAATTTCAACTGGGACTTGGGAACCCGCTTATGTGATTACGGGATGATCAAGAATATTGGGGAGAACGTGCGGACAGATGCTGAGCGGGAGAGAGTGGAGTGAGCTGCCCTCCTCTTTTCTCCACTTCTCAGAGCTCTCTCGATGGTATTAAGTTGGACTAGTGTCTTCTCAAAGACAGCCAGAAAATTGTTGGCGATAAGCCAACGAGATCGTCGTTTCCTTTAGCTCCAGTGAGTGGAAGAGATAGAATGATGCTTATGCATCTTCATAGGTGTGTGAAAGCACTTGGAGCCGTGCATCAACTTGGAACAGAAATCTTCAAGGCGCCGTCTCAGTCGTCTTTTGTAGGATGGATCGAAGTTGGGTACTATGAGCTAGTAATTGCGCTTATCTTTTGGCAGGTCGCGCGAGGATCCTCAGCTTAACACTGGAGCCGATGCTTTGACAAGAGAAGAATTTGAGAAGTGTTGCGGCTTTCTGGCAGAGAAGGCGAGAGACGAGGCTGCTCTAAGATACGGGTGAGGGCTACTCTGTCAGCTATGCTGTGTCTTTTCGCATAGGGAGCGCAGGCTGCTTGCAATGAATTTGGCAAGCAGTGAGGTGGTCGACGCAAGAAAATTGCGCGCGCTTGACAAACTTGAAGGGTGACCTGTCAGCCTTGAGAGTGGGCTGAGCCGTTTAAGGTGAGCTCGATCTAGCAGGAGCCGATTGCTTTCTAATCTGCTTTCTAATCTGCTTATTTTTGGTGCAGATCAATGATGAAAGTAGCTCGCCAGGCCATCTTCAGAGGAGATGATCAGCGAGGCGTTCGAATTGCGGACATGTTTTTCCACGACATCCCTCTGAAAGCCGTGGGACCAGATCCGTGTGCGTGTCTGTGCATCATCTCCAGGACGGGGAAAACGAACGTGGTAAGGAGCACAAGTCTGCTCTATGTCCTGTGCTCAAGCATAAGCTTTCCAAGTGGGTCAGACTCAATCCGCCACTTCAATGCTTCAGCCAGCTGGTCACCTTGATCAAATGAGTATTGGCTCCGGCTAAGCTTCCACGATCTGAAACGTATCGCATGCATCTTTTGTGCTCACATCATCTGCTTCTTTTTACCTTTTTGACAGCAACATAAAGTGGAATATGGATTTATGTTCCGCGGGGAGGACTCCAACACTTGTGCCATCGGCGGTCTGGCAAGATATTTGTATCATCGATTCGTGGTGCAAGGAGAACAACCGTTGAAATTGGTGACTCCTGAGGGCGAACAGGATCCGGATTGGTGAGCAAAGGCGTCGAGTGTAACACCTCAGCATCCTTGCTTCTTGAAAGAGCTTTCTGTCCTTATTCTGTTGCTCCTTGTTGCTGAGCAGCAATCATTGAGTTCTGTTCGCTGCTTCAAAAGCTATTTGTCCCCGCACTCTGAACCAGTTCAGCTCTACGCGTGGTACCGTTTGAGCCTGCTAAGCATCGTGGGGGATGCAAGGCCGATGTCAGACAGATAGTTAACGGAGCACTTCGACTTCCATCATAGAGAAACAATTGCATCATCTTCGTCTTACAAATCTGAGTCTCTCTTGCAGGATTGATCGTCTTACTTGGCCGTCTAGTCATCCAAGCAAAACGCAACAGCTCAGCCCAGATGCTCATAGCGCGTATGTGAAGGAGGTGTTCAAGAAGAACGAAGTAATCTGCTCAAAGGTCTTACATGCTTTCAGGCCCTCTGCCGCTTTAGAAGCTGCGGTTCATGGGTAAGCTGCAGCCTGGGGCGAGCTCCAATCTCTCTGATTGTCTTCACAATGTTGTCTACCGTACCCTGCTAATTTACATGCTTGTAAGCACTTGAAAGGTATCTGATTAGTTCCCTGTCAGAATTGCGAATTACATGAGGCACGAAAATCGAGCACCTAACCAAAAACCTTCCAACTTATTGCAGGATTTCCTTCGAAAATATCATGCGAGCAGGTCGTTGGCACTACTCCCAGAATGAAGCCCTTGCTATGTCCTATCTGAGTAGCATTTGCTCCGACGTTGGGCTGGTTTTGGCCGGGTTTTCCAAGGACGCAAGCTGTCATATCCAACCTCGAAGCTGCTTAAACATAGAAAGAGACTTCCCCGCTTTGTGTGCCTTGGCAAAAAAACAATTGTGGCCGTGGGTGGAGGCCGAGGAGGAGAAGGTTCGGCAGGTAAGTCTAAAATGAATTTGGGAAATAGCTGTCAATTGAACGCTTCCATTCTACAAGTACACATGTGCAAACAGAGGAAGAATCAGTCTAATGTTGCTTGCAAGACCTTCTGATGCGCAGTGGTCAAGAGCAATCTTTGATGGATGTTCGGCTTCGGATGAGAGGTTTCGAACGGTTAAACAAAAGTTCACTCGCAGTGTCTCTTTTTTTAAAGCAGCACAACAGTCAATGTCGCCCAAAGGACAGATGGGTCGCTGCTGCAAACGTTTGCACCATGCTGAAGCGCATGCGGATCATACTGCTCGAAGATGCGGTTTTTCTTACGAACCTGGCTCCTTTCAGTCCGGTTTGTGGGGATCCGCTTTTCAAAAGGCAAGTCTGAATACTACCTCTCAGTGTGATCGCTGTACAATAGGCCAAGCTTATGATTGAAAACTGCTGGAGTCCTCTTCTCCTTGTGCACCAATTTGTAGCTTCACTTGCGCACCAGGTTTGAAGTCTAAACATTAGCACAGAGCGGTGGGCTAGTAGGATGTTAGATGTTGCTGGGCTTTGAGCTTTTGGTAATCCGTCGTCTGGTGCAGTTCCGAATTTCTCGACTTTGCGGCCAAGCTACGGAACGCTGCTCCACTGCATAAGCAGAAAATGGAGGCGCAGCATTCATCTCACACCGGGGTCATTGTGGGTCAGCTTGGAAATTCGATGGTAGGTACCTTGACACCTTTATACGAGTCAGCTAGTATTAGATGGTCAACTTCAACCAGGACTGAAGTACACCGTTTGAAGCTCGGTGTCCTCAGAAGGAAAGATTGAACTGAGTCAGTTCAGTCCTTCACGTTCATCACCCTCGGTTGCCTAAATTGATTTCTGATTGAACGAGGCAGCTTGTTGCAGTGACTTCTCTACGTAGTGTTTGATCTAGTAGCGCTGTTGTGAGCCAATAGCAATGGAGAAGTGTGAGTTCAATGGTCTCATTCGGGCACATGTTTGGTTTAAAGGCTCAAGAGCAACAAACCTAGGTTCGAATTGGCAGTATCGAGATTTTCATGGCTCTGCTTTTACGAGAAGGTGCTGAATAATCCATGATCTCAACGGACTTCAAACATGAGTGAACCCCTATTTGCAGGAACTGGCGTTGGCTCGGCTGAGGGGCAGCCACACAAGCTTAATGAACGGCCTTCGAAGGCTGTTTAAATGCTTTCAGAATTCCGAAAGTCCTCCTTCAGCGGAAGAAGTTGCGAGTATTGCTCAGCAACAGCTTCACGAAGATTTGAACTTTAGCCCATTCAAGACGCCCGAACTGAACCGACAACAGCGTGAGCAGGATTCTCGGCCCAGGAACTTGTTTCCCGATCCGTGCTCAGAGGAGTTGCGTAGACGCGAACTGACCGGAGCTGTCTCGAGGCTTGCGGAAGCGCAACAAGCAGCTCTAAACCTCTATCACTTGGCAGAGCGGCAGAGCGCGAGTACTGATCCCCTTGAGTCAGCAAAGGCCGCAGTCACTTTGCAACGGGCAAAGTTACAAGCAGGACTTGCTGACACTCTAGCAAAGAAGGTAGCTCTCCTTGAGAACTCCACCCCACTTCCCACCTCGACTTCCACCTTCATTCCATCGAGCGCCACGTCTCCCGCAAACCAGCCCTCATCTCAGCCCGCGCCTCACGACAACTCGAGTGGTCTGCATTCCGCAGCTGCCGGGATCCACAGTTCTCATGCTTCCTCCCCCATACAGACCCCAACAGTGTTCACGGGAGAAGTTCCGGAGTCAGCGCCGAGGGGGCCGGAATCAGCCCCCGCTGCCAGGGCTGATGAACGAAGGTCCGACCCCGATCCAGTCAGGCCGGCACGCAAGCCTCAAGCGGCCCCGGCATCACGTAGAGGTGGCCTCGATGAGTGGGACACCTACCTTCTTCCTTCGAACGTATCTGTCTCAGGTGAATTGCAGCACTTACCTTCAACAGTATTGGGAGCCAGGCGTTCACAGTCTGGAAAGAGCTTTGAGGAAGTTACCATCTCAGGTGCATCACAGCACCTACCGTCAAAACTAGTATTGGCAGCCAGGCTTCTACGGTTTGGAAAAGAGCTTTGATAGTGTTATGAAGATGCTCTCAAGTTGGGTGGAACTTTTTTTCGTTTTCGGTTAGAGGTTCTTGTTTGCACAATCTAGATATTCAGACGACCAGTGAAGGGTTGCTACATGTCAGCAGGTTGTTTCTGATGAGCAGCATGTACAGAACATCGAAGCTTTTGGGAGGCAGTACATCCGACTGGTCTACACATGCAGCTTCATGCTTCTTTACTTTTGCAGAGATCTGGCGCATCTTTCGAGAAGCTGGGCCAAACGGGAAGCCTTCAATTTTGCAACTCATGGTGAGGTGTGGCAATCAGAATCTGTGGTACCACCAAGCCAACACGAAGGAAGGACAGAACAATCGCAAGCACCAGTGGCATGAGAAGTGAGTCCTACGGCAGTACCCCAAGATCTTTGCTTTAATCTGCTGGCGGTGCCGTTATGCTATCCTCTGTTGCTTTGTTTGCAGCAGCACCGAATGGCAATCCGCTTGAAAAAGCAGGTGGTACGTACGTGGGTGGCAGATCCAGGTTTGGTAAGGCTTTGCTTCCAATACACGAAATCTGGCCATAATTGCTTAGAGCTTCCCTGAGTATGATAATTGTGATTCTCTTGACGGTGCAGGTACAAGCCTATTCTGTGGGACATTCTTGCAGACATCACCGACCCCAAGAAACGGCTGACTGCAACGGCTTCAATTAAAAGACTTGAGGGAATCGAGCAGAAAAGAGAGCTTTCCACCGCTGCACTTGGCAAGTATCTAAATGGTATTTACAAAGATGCTGCAGGCACCATAAAAGAATCTGGGAACAAGAAAGCACTTGAAAAGGCAGTCGCTGTGCAAGCTCGAAAAAGTCGAGCTGTGGCTTGGATAGACGATCAGATAAGCAGTGGACGTTGATTTATAGCACGACAAACGCAAACGCTTCCAAAACCTATGCCTCGCCTTGGTTTCCTCTTTTCATGCATGTTTTCACTGACACCGCAACATAATTGCATAGACCAACCATTTGACTTTTTGATTTCGGTTAAAGCAAGCTCGAAATATATGCAATGTAAAACCTGCGCTTATGCAGTGGAGCATGAACTGAACATCGTTCAAGCCTGCGACCACATGCAGACATATCCAATCAGGTTCAATTGCGTGTATAAGAGCAACGGTTCGATCTTGTCCTCCATCATAGCCTGGCAAGAGCTTTAGCGCGCATGAATACATGTTGAATTAAGCTGGCTGCCTGAGACAACCAGATCAGTCAATCGAAGGTGAACTTACAACAAAGCAATTGATTACGCAATTGGGACCAGCTTAACTTCTAACATGTGGGACGAACTGCATGACCATGGTTCATCCGAATCATACTGTATCCGGTTGCATATATTTACGCTCGTATTGCACCTTCAATACGTCGAGCCATGAACGGTCTTGGGCTATCAATATCAAAGTATCATTCATGTATCTAGGGTTATGCACGCACACATTCACAATTCTGCCGTTCTGGTTGAGATAATCAATCAGATTATGTAACCTTCGAGTCAATTACCAGGATCAGCAGCATCATGGAAGTGCATACAATACTCGGCCGTGACAGATTCTGGTATATTTGGAAGGTTATAGAAAGAGCCCTCTTGTTCACCAGTGCGAAACGCAGCACCCGGCCAGTTCCTAAAGGCTTGAGTTTTGAAACCTTAGTCCCTGCAACGAGTCTGACTTTCCAAGCTGCGCAGTTGGTCCCTGAACGTTTGCACCAGCTGCCTGCTGTCATTGTGCTCAGTAATCCAACTCAGCAGAGATCTTACAATATTTCACAATCTTGGAAAAGGGTCGACTGCTCACTTGTGATCTGGATCACCACTGCCTTTGTTTTTTTTTTTTTGTTGGGAAAGACCGTCTAAGCACGTGCGGCTCATCGGTTGGAGCTCGCAGACTAGCATATCTGGATCACCACTGCGTTGACGGGGAATCACAGACAGCAATACTTGGTTTAGAAGTTTGCGAATTTTGAGGATCAGATTACGAATTCTGTTGAAACAGGCAGAACCTGGTAGCTAGATAAGTTGAGGAGTCGTAAACAGAGGCTTGTGACGTATATTGAGCTGTACAAGCTGCATCGATCAGCTTGAATGTTTGCAGCTGTACTCAGCAAGCTGCCAGTCACTCATGTGCTGGGTTAGATTCAAGACACTTTCTTTGACGTTGAATTTCAATCTGGCTGCTTTTTTAGAGGGCGGGCCAAGGATCTAAGGTGGAAGCTCAAACGAGTGAACGAGTTACAAATAAAAGCTCACCAGGCCAACCAAGCGGGCCTTCGGCAGCTTTGGTTATGGAAGGCAGGACGAGACCCGGACGAGACCGCTTTCTGGATCTTGAAGCTTGAATTGTGAGTAAATATCAGCCTTTGAGCTGGTCAAGCTACGTCAATTCACCATCAGCTCTCCCAGCTACTGCATTCTGCAATATACTAGCTGCTAGCACTCAAAGTTCTTTTCACATTTTCAAGTGACCGAGTAAATTGCAGGTGTGACATTGCGAAGCACAATGCTGACGGAAGGCAGGCTTGATTTGCTGCTTTTCAAGCCTTTTCTAAGCTTAACTATCTGTGCTGATGTACAAGATAGGCGACTGCTCGTACTGAAGTACCATCCTTGTCCAGCAACGAATGGCACTGCGGCAGCTGAGCTACCAGCTGCAAGCTAGCAACTAGGCTTGGCGGTTGCGATGATGCAACTGCAACTGGAGGCTTCCGAGTCCCGACACCTAATACGAAGTTCGAACTTCTCAAACTTTGAGAGAATCGGGTTAAATTCTGAGGTTAGTGACGATTGGTCTCCTCTGCATATGGGGGGTGAAGCGAAATAACGAATATGCATAATAGATTGGCCGTCCGATGATGGTCATCGGACGGTGTGAAGGTCAGAATCCTGCGGTAGCCGCCCGACGGTGGAGCCTCCGCGGAGTTACCGTCCTCCGGAGCCGTCCTCCGGGCGAGGCCTACCGTCCGCGCGCCCAGGATAACCATGATTCACCCACCTCGGTGCGATCAGGCGCGAAAGCGGTAGCTGGCAAAGCAGAGACTGAACGTGTTGCAGGGCGCTCAGGCAAGCTCCCTCGCTTGGCTACATCAGGTCAGGATGGGCGTCTTCTCCTTCTGAAGTGCACACACAATGCTGGCAGCAAATGCCGGAGGTCACTTCACAATTCCGTAGTGAGGCCGCAGCAGTCTGTCATGCAGATAACTGCTGGCACCTTGAAACGAAGAGAGCGACGCTTGCTTGAAACTTGAGCGCTGCAAGGGGTAGGGCCCAGCTCCGCAGGACTTAGCAGCATGGAAGACATGGAGCCCTCAAAGATTTTAGAGAAAATTGTCTTGCAGATCACAAACGGAGGCGCTGAGTGAGTTTAGCAAAGCTTGGAATCTCTCACAATGCTGTCAGCTGAGAATGCTCGTCGACTTGAGTTCTCAAATTTGTAGGTTGGAAGATGGGTTTGACAGCCGGTCTTTGTGAATATTTTGTTGTTTGTCAAAGAGTGCGGAATGTGCTTCTTCTGACAAAACTTACCCGTGTCGCCCACATTGTCATATGGTATAGATATACTTGAGTGAGAGCACCACAGTTGTACATTCGCTCTTCAGGAACTCTAAAGCAATATCAGGTGCCACCTTTCTGCTCAGATGTTCAGAGTTTGAAGATCTTGCTCCATCCTAGTATGGCCTTCCAGATTACGGTGCAGACTCATGTCTCAAGACAGAAAATGGACCAAAGAGGCAACTTTTATTTTTTGAAGAAGGTCTGACTTATGGGCAAAAAATCATATCAGGAATTCTGCTGTCACAAGCATGTTTTTACTCTGGTCAAGTCTTCGAGTTCTGTCATTTTCTTGATGCCAAGAAGCGAATCTTACAGCATTTCTTGGCTTATTAGCAGCTCATGAGCCATCAGATCTAGGGTGAATTTTTTCTATGGGCGTCCTTTTCTGCAAACACTCAACCTTGGCGCAGACCCCTTCCAGTAAACTTCCACATTGTTCAATGTTATTCTTGTTGAACATTCTGATCTTGGGCATCCTGCCCTCACATGTGTCAAGAGACCTCCAAACAAATGGCCAGGCTTGGCAGAGGGTGAAACAAAATTTTGGCGTCCAACCCTCCGTCTCACCAGACTGTTCTTGAAAACCAGCCTGCAAGTTTGCTTTTCCCGCCTGTCTGTCTTGACACCGCACCACCCTTGCAGGTGCGAGATCTACTTGGTGGCAGGCACCGCCAGGCACCGTGTGTCAACCGGGCCACTTGCGCCCCTGCTGGACCAGCTTGACGCCGTCCGAGAGCAGTACTCTTCGGACGCGTCCGAGATTGTGTTGCAGCCACACGCATCCACAGATGACGTGGGGCCGAGCCCTAGCGGTGGCTGGAAGGTCTTCAAGCGGAGCAAGTCAAAGGGGAAGAAGGGCAAGAGGGCGAGCACTGGGGGAGAAGAGCCTCCAGCCTGGTTCACTCGAGAGACTGCCGAGAAGTGAGTGCGGGCTTGGCAAGGGTAATGTGGTGTCTTTTTGAGCTTTGCTGAAACCTTAGTTGCGCAGAGGCCCATTGTGCGTCTGACTCTGAATTGCTCACGTGAAGTGTCTACCTGCACACAAAGAGCACTTTTCGAGACGCTTCTGGATGGTATCTCAGGTTGAAGGCCTTCGAACTTTGGCTTCCTTTTTGACAGAAAGTCAAGTGAACTACCCTAACCACCTTCAGGGATGGTTTGGGCAAGTTGAGTGAAAGTAAAGTGACAACAGGCACAGGGTTCTCCTCACTGATCGTTATGGTAAACGCTGACGCTGTTTGCTATCTGCTATGGGAAAAGTTGCAATCGTCGGCAGCTTAAGTCCATTGCCAAGGGACGGGTAAATTCTGATGTCAAAATGCCAACATTTTTATTCTTGACCTCCAGCATAGAAGTGCCGCTCAGAAAAGTAGCATGATGGCCTAACGAGTTTCTGAGTGCTGCTGCACTTGCCCCCACGGAGTCACTGCCAAGGATGTGGAACCAGGCTTAACTTGTGGACAAGACACTCTGCTTTCTTGCTTAAGACACATTTCCTCTCCAACGCTTGTGGATTCTACTTCAGAAACTCAGAAAAGGCCTTTTTCCCCTCCTAATCCCCTTAGGACCTCTTCAAATACTGGGTAGTATGTTGGTCAATGTTGCTTTACAAGACCTGGTTCCTTCATAATGCTTTTCCGTCCAGACTTTCATCCCACAGATCTGTCAAAATCCGACTAGGGGCTTTCAGGCATAAGTGGAAAAGGAGACGCATTCAGTCAAAAAGTGTCCATCTTTCCGCAGAGCGTTCCACCTGCTCTCCTCTTTGGAGCTGCTCGAACTGCCGGCCCGCCTGGCGCGAGACCTCGAGAAGGTGCATGAGAAAGAGAAGGTGGCGCAGCCGTACCAGCGCGCCAGCCTGGAGACGAGCCGGATGACGCTGCAGCGCGAGTTTGCCAAGGCCATGCTGGTGGCCAACTGCGCGGGGTACAAAGCAGAGGACATGGGCCCCGTCAAGAGCTTTGCAGAGGCTTTCAAGGGGAGGAGGCTTGGGTAAGGGGGGCACTTTGAGGTGCTCTGTGAGAAAATTTTAGTGACTCCAGAATGTCGATGTGGAGTACATTGTCGCCAGATCTCATCTTCAGATTCAGAATTTTGTTGATAGCTGAAGTACTGCTCGTGCACAAGGACAAGCCCCCTCCAAAGATCTGACCTCACGGTTTTGGATAGCTTCACGAAGGTTGCCAAGGTCTGACTTTCCACATTGTGATGCATCTTCTTTTAAACCAGGACTGCAAGCCCAGCAGCCTGACGATGAATCCTTTCTGCTCCGCAGGGTTGCATGTCAGGCCTTTGAAACGGCTTGCAGTGCGGCCTTAAGCCGGCTCCCTCCTCAAGCCGCGAAGCAGGTCGCTGCCCCTCCCGCAAGCTGGCCCGCCAACCAGATCCCAGTGATCGAGGCTGACGCCTTTGACGACGACAGCGAAGCCCCAGCCGAACCTCAGCAGAGCGTCGGTGAAGTGCAGACACCTACAAAGGTGGAAACAAGAGAAGCGGGCACTGATGCAGAAACTGCTGTGGACTCGGGTGTTGCCACTGAGGGGCAGCAGGGTGCGGCGGATGACCTGGTAGATCGTGTTGGGGGAACAAGCAAGGAGAAGAAGGGGGAGCTAGGGGCGGGCAAACCTGCAGCTGCGGTGGCCAGCAACGGATATCACGGTGTGGAGGGGAAAATGCCCAAGGCTGAGGGGGCAGCACTGGCTAAAGCTGTGGAGAACGCAAAAGAAGCCCCTGCAGAAGTTGAGCAAAAGACCCCTGATGCGAAGGAAGCACCGCAGCCGTCAAGTGCGGCGGGCTTGACTTCCAATGCCCCCGCAAGCAAACGCCCGCAGGAAGTTCTGAGCGCTCCGGATCCTGACACCCCTGAAAAGGGTTCCGCTTCCGATGGCCCCGACCAAGCGCTGCCCGCCCAGGAGACGCCTGCCAAAGACGGCCCTGCAAAAGCTCCCTTAGCGGCTGCAAAGGACGAGTTTCCAGCTCCGGAGTCACAACCCACTGAGCTTAGGCAGAACGAAGTGCCCAGCGAAGCCCCGGGTTCAGTCGCCGTCGATGCAGGCTTGCGCGAGATCGAGCCAACTCCAGACCCCTCGTCCCCGGTACTGCGCGGCAAGCCCGCGCATACCGGAAGCCCCCTCTCCTGGTCGGACGAAGACGAGATGAAGCTGGCGCGGCACAGCTACGGGTCGCAGGGCTTGGCGGGCATTGGGGCGGCGCCCTTGCACAGCGCAGAGGAACCAGGGGCGTTTGAAAGCGAGGATCTGCCCCTCAGCGCGGCTGCGGGCTCCCAGCCAGTTGACAGCCCATCTGGAGCGGAGGGGCCTGGGGGGGTCGGAAGAGCGGGGGAGGTGGTGAAGGAGCGGCATTCTGACGAAGCGGCAGAGCCGGAAACGGCTGATGAGGGTAAAGGGCAGCCGGCAGAGCTTGCGAAGGAGCCCGTCGGGGCGGGGCAAGTTGACGATGAAGGGACAGTACCTAAGGGTAGAGCAAAGGGGGAGCCAGGCAGCGAGGCGGCCGCTGGAGTAGCGCCCGTGAAGGTGGGGACGTCGCCTGCGCCCAAGGATATCGACGAGCTGTGGCGAATTACAAAGGAGAGGCTCTTCACCCTTCCCCCTCGGGAGAACATTGTTGAGCACGGTGTTGCTGCCAAGGAGAGAGACCAAGAGGTGGCCTGCGACGTTGCAGAAGCGGGCTCGTCTGAGCACACTCGCAAGGGCGCAGTATCAGAGACTGGTGCAAGCAGGGGCAGTGAAGCAGCGTCGAACGTTTCGGTGGCTGGGTCGTCGAGGGAGTTGACGAAGATCGGAAGCGACTCTGGGATGCAGGGAGTGGCGGTGTCCGCCCTAGCGGGCAAGGCCCCTTCTGAGGAAACCGTGGCAGCAGGCTACGGCTCGCGGCTCGCGGCTACGGCTGGTAAGTTCCACTTCGGAATCAAGTCGTTCCAAGCGAGGCCCATAAAATTCGGAGTGGGTATGTTGGGAGCATCCCACAAAGTTGGACTTGTGGATATCTGTAGGTAGCCTTTGTGCTTTCAGGCGTTAGAATCGAGGTGTCCTGTCTCGAATTCGGATGTGTTCAAGAGAGCGCTTGTAGACTCAGATGCCGACGATTCAATCTGGAAAAAGGGGTGTGCCAGAGGATCGAATGTCCTTGGAAATGCTGTGAGCACTCTGTGTTGTGCCGACCGGAAAAATGAAGAATGTGTTGCATTACGGTCTGGTGCCGTATGTGTGGGTCAAAGTCACTGGATGTGAGAAGGACCCACCATACTTGCTCCTCAGATCTTTTGACAGTCTCTTCAATTTCGTTATCATAGTCGGACGTTTCTAAAGGCTCATCATGCGCTGCTGCTTTGCAGGCGTCCTTTCCGCCACTGCGCTGGCAGCGGAAGGGCAGCGCTTGTCTCAGCCCCATGAACCCCGTGAAGAAGGCACCGGGCACACAGGCACACCCGTCGACGCTGAGATTGCTCCTCGGGGCGCCTCAACAGCGGTTCCGGAAGGAACAAACGGACCGAAAGGCGAGTCAGCGCCCAAGGATGACGCCACGGTGCCAGACACAGCCCCACCGGTCTTAATAAAGGAGAGCGGTGCACCGGCGTCGGAGGGCGTCGAAACCAGCTTGGCACAGGCGGTCGCTTCCCTTCCCTTTAAAGAGCTGCCGAAGGGAGGAGAGGCTCAGTTGGACGATGGAAGGCGTTCAGTCCCTGGTGCCAGCACCGACACTCTCCGGGCGTCCGAAGACCCTTCGGACACAGGCCCGATTCCGGTCCTTGAGCAGGGGTCCGAACCAAAGCAGCTAGGCAATGACAGCGGTGAGGTGGTCGAGAAAGAGAACACCACGGAGGAAGCCTTCGAAACGCACTCCGACTCCTTGCAGTCTGCCGCTCCCGCTGCCCTGAGTCCGCACCCTCCAATTCTTCCCAAAGCGCGCAGCTACGACAAGCCATGGCTGAGCCACTCGGTTCTGCCCGCATCACGGTCGCCCAATGAGGGAGCGCCAGCTGGCGAGGCGCACGGCCCGAGCAAAGCGGACGCAGGAGCGAAAGACACTGAGCAGCGGGCGTCGGAGGGGCGCGCGCGTCGGGACTCGATGGCGAGCTACAAGGAGCGGAGGCAGGCCAAGATGAAGGAGCAGGAGGAGCGGATCCGGGGCGAGCATGAGGCGAAACTCAAGGTGAGACTCAGAGGGCAAGGCGGAGGAATACATGGAAAAGGCCGACAGGCTTAGGCCGTTCAATTCCTAGTCACATGGAGCTGAAAGCCAACTCAAGGTGACGGCGAAAGGACAAACCTTGAGAGGGCTTAACTGAGGCCAAGTTTTTTGTTTTCTCTTTCTGCCGGACTTTTTTCAGTGTTCGTGAGTTATTAGCCGAGCCGACGATCTCCTGTCCGAAGGGGGGGTGAGCTTTACGAAGTTCGTACGTTTCGAGAATACCAATCCAGAGCATAGGTCCTGAATACTACTTATCTCTCAACATGTGCAGACAATTCGGGGACTGCTTTGGGAACAAAGTTCGAGATCTTATATTGAATAATAGACATGCTGGGGCCTGGGACGAAGTAAGGACGACGGATTGTAAGGAGATCCATCATTTTCGTATGACCACGGTTTTGCAGCCGGGCAATTACCCCACATGTTAGGAGGACTTCCCCTCGAATCGCCTGACTTTAGCAGCAGAGCATGGGGCATTGTCCCGCCCGCTCTTGGAAGGCAACTGATCCACCTGCGATACTTTGCAAGCATCTAGAAACGACAAGCGATGGTTTCAATAAGACCCAACCCAACCCAGCAGCAGTCGGTTCTTGTCTATTCCAAACTCTGTTGGCAAGAAAGTGCGCTAAGCGATTCAAAGGGTGCAAGGTGAACAGTCGGATCATATACTGAACTCAGATCATGAGCACTTTTCGGACGCAGGCGCTGGAGGACGCTCTCGAGAAGCGGAAGGCCGAGATGGCCGAGCGCAGCCGGCGGTCCGCGCTCCTGTCCGCCACCGCAGCAGACCGGAGGGCCGCAATGGACGGCACCACAGCAGCGCCGGCAGCACCAGAAGACACCACAGAAGAGGTGAGACAGCGGAATATTGGTCTACGCCCTTAGTTTGAATCTTGCGAACGCGCTAAGAGGGTGACCTTGAGAGGTGCTGTTCTGCTCTTAGGAGGGCCTAGCTCGCTTACTTTGAGAGCTTAATTTCCAGGAGGCGCTCGGTCAGTCAGCCACAAGAAGCTGGCTCAACACTTTTGCTCCGGTATTGTGAGAAGAAAGGTTAGAGGTCGGCGTTCCTTTGGAACACTCTGCTTAGTGTCTGCTCGAGGAGCCTCTCTTTAAGCCCGTTCGCTGCTTTTGAGATGGACAGGAAAAGAATGAGCAAAGTAGAAGTTACAAGAATGTATGCAGCAAATCTGCATCTCAAAGTGTAAGCAGTCACATATACATCTTTTTAAATAGCGCAGTGTTCTCAATGCACTCTCTGTTACTTACGACCTCATCGCTGTGCAGCCTTGGGAAATCAGAGGGTAGATTTACGATTTTGTGCAACTTCGCAATGGATTGACCTTCGGCGTGCAGGCCAAGGAGCGCGCGCGCGAGCGCCTGCGCAAGTACCGCGAGGACAAGGGGCTGGCCTCCGCCGAGGCGTCCCCCCCTGTGGGCAGCCGGGTCAACCAGCTGCTGGCCAAGCTGGGGGTCATGGTCGGGAACAGCCCAACCGGGCAGTCGAAAACCGGCCCCTCGGCAGCACAAAAGCTTCCCGACGGGAAGAAGTCGGTCGACGGCACACGCGGGAGCTCCATGGAGAGGAGCCAAGAAGGGCGGAGCCCGTCTATGCCGAAACCCCGAGGGCAGCAGAGCCCCCGGGGGACTTCACCGGGCGCGAGGAACGAGGGGGCAAGCTCCCGGTCAACAAGCGCTCCTCGCAGGCGCAGCTCCAGCGGACCGCCAGATGGCACGACGGGCGGCCAGACCGCCGCCGACATTCTGAGCCGGTCCATCTCCCCTGGTCGAGCGTCCATTGTGCGGTCGCCGCAGGCCTCGTCGAGAGGGCCGTCGCCGGCTCGCGCTGCGGCTTCTGTTCTTGGGCCGGGCCAAGCGTCCCCGGGCAGGGCCTCCCTTGCCAACACTCCCAAATCCGCCGCCTCTCCTTATCCGTCTCCTAGAGGACCCCTCTCAGGCCGGACTTCTCCGAAACCAGGGGGGTGGAACAAGCCTGCAAACACACCCCCGGCCAAGGTTTCCACGGCAGCGGCCCAAACCACCCCCCGGGCTTGGAACCGGGCGACTTCGGCGCCTCAGGTAGGGGGTCCCCCGTCGCAGCGAAAAGCACCCCCCCAAGCACCTTCGCCGGGGACGTTCGGACGGACCTCCCGGTCGACATCGTCGGGCACGTTCGGAACTGGCCCCCGGTCTAGCTCCTTTGGCGCAGCTCCCCGGTTGTCTTCCCCGGGCACTTTTGGTAGGGCTTCCCGCCCAGCCTCTGCGGGGGCGGTAAAGAGCAGCCCGGCAGCGCCGAAGTTCGTACGGCCCACGAGCGCGTCTGCTGTCGAAAGGAAAGTCGAAGTGCTTCCAGAGGACTCCACGACCGATGGTGGGCGCATTGGGGCGAAGAATGGGTCGAGCGCGAGGGGCGTCTTCCAGCCCAGGGGACCGTCGAGCGGTTCTCCCTCCACGTCCAGACCGCAAGGTAAGAGTTCTCAAGGGAATTGCTGCTCGATACCTGGGTTGTTGCAAGTTTCGTCATCGTCACAGTGGCCTGCTCATCCCGCCCACGCTGGAGATTGTTGGAAGGGCGCTGAGGCCTCTTCAAGTTGTGGGAGTTGTCCTCTTTGTCTGTAGTCCGGCAGCTGTGATTTCTAATTCTAACTAGGATGACCGGATTGACTCGCTACTTGTAGATAAGGAAATTACGATATGGCTAAGACAGACCCAGTCTTTCACTCTATGAAGGTCCACCCTTTACATTCTGTCACGGTGAGTTCGAATTAGCTTTGCCACGTTTCCATCTAAGGTTTAGATCCCGCTTTCAATTCGAGGCATCAGACCTAGAACCACAACCGCCAGCGACCGCACATCCCTCCGAAACCGGCGCCATTGCAAAGAACCAGCTTCCATGCTTCAAAAGTCCTCCTTCACTCTGCAGACATCAAACTCCCTCTCTCGTTCTCCCCAGACGGAACCAAGCCCGCCTGGTCCTCCGGCCTGCGCGTCACCGTCACCGACTCCAATCCCCGCCCCCGCGACCGGTTCGGCAACCGCACCGCACTCCCCCCGACGCCCCACCGGCCCGAACCGAGGCGCTCGCTATCTGCTGCGGGACCCCCCAGGCGAACGTCGCTTCCAGGAAGCACCCGCAGCGCGTCGACGACGGGGATCAAGCCGGCGCCGGCGAAAGCGGCCGAGGGCTTCAAGAGAGCGTTCGGTCCAGGTTAGCAACTAACTGCAGACAAGGTATAAACGGTTTAGCCCGGGCTCATCTAGTTTGCGCCCCCGGTGGGCTTGCTACTATGTAAATGGCGAATGATCCTCTTGTCGAGAAGGTGCATGAAGGGTCTAGAAACACGGCACCACAGATCAGTGGGTTGAGCGGAGACAGCGCAAGCTACTCCCCGTGTCCAGCAGTCAACCGCTCGGACTTGACTCGACTGCCATTCTGCGACCGATGCTATGCCCGTTAGAACCAGTTCTACTGCTCCGTCGGAATCTGGTTTCGCTCGGTGTTATAACCGGCCGCTTCTGGTCACGCAGGCGGGTCGAACCCTTCGACTCCGAGTAGTCAGCCGGCGAATCGCCTCCGGCGAGGCCGCCACAGCATTGCGGCCGTGCCTTCGGCTCCCAGTCCGGTAGCCACCCCCAGGCGGTCCAGCGGGGGCTTCGGGGCATCGAACACTGCTCGGGAACCCGTAAAGGTTCCCGCCAACCCAGGGACTCCAGGGTCTGCCCCAAGAACTTCTAGCTATCTCATGTCGGCCAAGGACCGGCTACTCAGCCAGACCAAGGCGTCGCAGGCCAAGCTGGCCGAGAGGACTACTGCGGCCGTCCAAGATCCGCCGAGCAAGCGGCGGGAGCGGAAGAGCGTCGCCGGAACGGGGCAGGCAGCGTTGGGCGAAAGGAGCACCCCGGTTGTTCGCCCTGCAAGGAGAGCGTCTGCCGGAGAAGCGTACCCCCAGGTTGAGACAGATGTGGATAACGCAAGCGTGGAAACCGTGCGAAGCACGGGGTCGGTCGCGGGGGGGAGCTTCCCAGCGAGTCCCTTGGTGCACCAGAAAGCCCCGGGTGAAATTCTTGAGACACCGGTGGCGCCGCAAGCGAGCGAGATTGCGGTGGAGCGGAGCATGGAAGACGCTGGGGTGGAGATGAGGCGGTTGAAAGGGGGGGCGTTGGAGCGGAGCTTGGACAGCGTCGAGCAGTTGTTCGGGGAGGAGATCGTGCTGGGCGAGGAGGACGGAACGGAAGACGAGCGGAACAAGGCGGAAGCGTTCGCCCGGCAACAGAAGCTGCTGGGGCTGCTGCAGGCGCGGCAGCAGAGCCCACTTACCGACAACTTGGGGGACATTCGAACGGAGCAAAATTCTGTTGAAAGGAACGGTAACGGCCGGCTCGGAGATGCAAGACATGGGCAAATGGCGGAGTCAACTGAGTCTATGTTTGGAACCAAGGGGGAAGGCGGGGGTAGCGATGTTGAGTTCGGCGCTTCCCCCCCGACCAAGATAAGGAAGCGGTGGGAGGAACCGGTGGAGCCCCTGGTGATGCAGAAGAGCCCGGGGGACAGCGGCGGCACGCTTGGCAAGCTGGGGAAGCTGTTCTCTAGGAAGTCGAGCAAAGGAGCAGAGGGGGATGCAAGCCCGCTCAAGTGATGAACCGCGGCGCGGATGCTGGAGAGGGGACCTGTTGTGTTGGGTCGCAAACAGGGGTTGACGAGGTCATCTCATGGCTTCGTAGATCATAATACTCGCGCAGGCTCTGATGCATTGTCACGCAGATGAATTTTCTCAGTACAGATTGATTATTACTAGTACAGATTTATTGGTGCAAGTAGTTGGTTGTCGATCTGATTTGGAGTGATTATGATAATTCAGCGAGCTCTGAGGAGCTCTGAGCATCATAGGAACACGCGTCGTCCTCACTCCGGCCAAGTTATGTAGGCTTAAGTCCAGGCTCGAAGTTCTAGGCTCGCTTATCTGGCTGCATGCGCCACAGCAGAGATGACATTATAAAACATAAGCAGGGTAAGCATCTGAATAGTTGCGTGCAATGAATAAGTTGGGGCGTGTGAATTTTATGTCGGCATGACCTGCATCGACTACGTTTTGGTCGAGTCTCATGCCAACTTAGGTACAGTTTTCAAAGTCCTGACAACAAGCTCCCTCAACTCACATCCAACATGTATTTGAGACTGCATGGTTAGTCCATATCCATGGTGGTGCACAAGAATCATCGTACGTTGTGAATAATAAAGGGAAAGAAGCCATGTGCAAGACTGGAGCTTCGAAGCCCGTCATGAATGCTATTAGTATGCCGGCGACAACTCGTCATGCGCTCACGTGCACTGTTGAATGCCTTGAAATTCCAATATCGAAGGCCGACAAACCGGCCTGAATACGATTAACAAGCTCGCAGTCAGAATCCCGTAATCTTACATCCCCCCAGTTGTTGCGCTAAAGAGCGAGGCAAAATCCTTTGTAGGCTCGCCCTCCCCCTCGTCTTTTGATGCTAGATCAAACGCCTTGTTCTTGGCAGAGTCGTTGAGAAGCGCCTGAATGGCGACCTCCGCAACATCGGCACGGGGAACTGCCCTGGTTGTGGTTTTCAGCAACGCATCGTCCTTGGAAACGACCAGCTCCCTTTTGCCACCCTCTTTGTCAAGCAAGCCGCCAGCTCGTATGATTGTGTAAGGAACGCCGGAGTCGATCAGATATTGCTCAGCCTTCCGCTTGAAAACGAGGATGTTCCCATTGCCAAGCTGCAAAATGAGAACCAGGTATGTCCTCATTCCTCATGGGCTCTGGCCGTCAGCAACTGCTGTATTACTATGGACACGCGAGATTTCGGCTTCTGCGAGAGAACTGCTGTAATCCCAGCGGTTCAACTCCAACTCGTCAAAAAAGTTTCGTGGCTGTGGCAGGCTCTAGCAAGAAGGCCAATCCTGAAAATCGTCCTTGAAACTTGTCAAGAAGTGACTATGAGAGTGTAGATTATCAATGTCAAAAGACAAGATGCTGACGAGAGTCGCAAGGATGCCTAAGATATTGCCTTTGAAGTGAAGGTTGTCTTTGAATTCGACCTACGTGTATCAAGTTTCCCATGACTGACAGCTGACAAAACGAAGAAGCTGAAGATGCCCATTTCTATGGAAGCCTGAAGCATACAGACCCCCTCACCTTGTTCAAAGGATGGTTCACATCTGTTCCCCCCATGCTCCCCACCACGACAATCTGCTTGACCCCTGCTGCTTTTGCTGCGTCGATCTGGTTCTTCTGCCCCTCCCAGTCGACTTGCTCGGGACGCCCCCCCTCAGCGAACGAAAACGTCGGGCGCTGTTCTCCTGGTGCAGGTGGGCCAGGAACAGGCACGGCGCTGGTTAAAATAACCATAGCGTCGATCCCATCCACTGCTTTTGATAGTGAGGACGGATTGGTAATGTCGGCAACATATACCTGCAACGAAAGATGCGTCCGTTGAGCTTGACAGCAAGTCTGATAAGTTGCAAGTCAGATTGGAAATAAGACATTCCTTTGAATGCACAGTTTTGCAACAGGCAACGTGACAGCGCCCCAGGAACGATCATGCATTCTGCCTCTTTGATCAAGATCAGAAATTTTGTGCACCTGGAACAGAGTTCAAAAAGGTGCGAATGGCCTGAGCTAAAGTGATACCACCGTCTCAACATTGCTAGGTAACTGGACAAGACTTTTCAGGTGCTGGAAGTTGACTTCGTCAGAGCTTCTATTGGCACCACTCTCAACAGGAAAAGGAAGCAGACTTTCCCCATATTTGAACGGTGTGGGAAGCGGTGTTACCTCATCTCCTCCCCCCAGCGCCGCCTTCTTCTCCTCAGACCGCACCACTCCCCTGGCAACAAACTCGCCAGTCCGCTCCTTCAACTTCTCATACACGAGCTTCCCAGTGCGTCCACCTGCTCCTGTCACGAGAACCTTCTGAGCCCCCATTGTGATTCTGCTCCTGGATGTTGTGCTGAACAGAGCGGAGTTCGAAGGATCACGTGCTGACAAAGCAGAGCTCAGATTGGAAGGAGAGTTGGAAGGAGAGTTCCTTTGCAAAGGGGAAGCTGAGAATGAGTTGGCGCCACTAGGGGAATGCTTGGCCCGACGGTTTGGTGTGATCAATGCGGCAACCGAGCGGAAAGTCAGACCTGCAAGCGGCTGTGTCAAACAGCAATGCTGTGACCGGGCTGGCCTCGCCTGTGACAGAGCAGGGACCTGCCACTGCGTTTGATGCACAAGGGAAAGCGACATGACATGCAGCGCCTCCTTTCGAATGCAGCACCTCCTTGCTCTGTCCTGATCAAAAGTGAGGAGTCTGCTCGTCGTGCCAGCTGTCCCACATTCATACCATCCGCTTATGAGTGGTTACGCGGCCGTATACTCCTCTGGTTCCAGACGAAAGTCTCCCATACGGAGGCAGGACACAGAGCTGAAGAGCTGAAGACTGAAGAGCTGAAGACTGGTTAAAAGCGCGCCGGGCGGCGGGGCGCATGGTTTTTTTGCAGCTCGAATGCAAAAGCCAGAGCCATTTTGATATATGACCATCCTCATGCAAGCAGACGAGGTCGGACCGTGAGGGAGACCTTCTCTGCAGACTCCAGCTAGCCTGGGGGAGCTAGGCAGAGCTGTCTTCGTCCACTCTCAGGTTTTGCCGTCTGGGCATGGTGTGGAAAGCAAAGCAGAAGGAAGGTTGGCAAGCCACTTGTGTTTGCATGCAAGCGGTGGCAACGACATGTAACCATAGCTTGTTTCACAAAAGGGTTCTCAGGAACAAAACCAGACTTTTTGGGCAGACATATGTTTTCTGAGGGGACAATGGCAAAGTCCATTTCTAGAAACCTGTCCGCTTTCAGCCGGCCCCAGAACTCGTTGAGGAGCCTCCTCTCAGGACAACAGGATGTCACAGACATGGCCCCGCAAGTGCAGAGGGGAACAGTAACATCCTCTATCAAAGAATTATCCAGTCTAGCTAATGTTGTCTGCAGACAATGTGCCAAGTAAGCAATTTTTGCTCGAGTGCCTGCAATGAGCTGCCAGAAACAATAGACAAGCTCATTGTATTGGGGGCGGAACACTGTGCATTTCAGCTTTCCGATGTCCTTTTGTGAACTTGTGGCCTCTTGACATGAAGTTTCTTTCAGAACAAAGGATGATCAAGCACGCACCCCACCAGGATTTTTCTGGACATTGAGATGTCCTGGAATGTTTTGCAGTCAAGTGAGAGCTTGTTTATCAAATACTGTGTTCGGTAAAAGAGGAAATACTTTCAATATCTAACAAAGTTTTATGTGCCAGTTGTTGTTGAGTCTCTGGTCTTTGGCCCTGAACGTCCTGGGATACAGCCTTTGCTAAGTCCTGACACGCTGGCATTGAGAATGCGTACTGATGTTGGTGCAACAATGGACGGACAATGCATCTCTTCTGCTTTGGGAAGCTCCGTTTGAAGGAACAATGTTGAACAAGGGGATTGCACAAGACCTCCTAAAAGCCATGCTTTGTTCCATGTTCTCTAACCTCTTGAGGGTGAGGATGCAGGAGCTGCATAAGGAAACCCTTGATGCAAAGGAGAAAGTAAGAGGGCGCTTCAAGGTGCACTGGAGGACCTAAGTAAGAAAGTCTATTGTCAAAAGTGGCAATCAGAAGGTCCTAAAAGAAAGATATTTATTGCAGGATCCTCCAAGTAGGACTGGAGGAGCTGCGTGAGCAGTTTGAGTCTGAAGCTTCCGCTGCTGCTAAGGAGCCCCAGCGCTTTGCCCGCAACTTCCTGGAGTATGCCTGTTTCAAAGCCCTGGCAGTTGCCAATCAGGGCACAGATCCACCCTTGAGAGACCCAGGATTCCGAAGGCTCACCTACGACATGATGGTGGCGTGGGAGACACCAAAAGCAAGCCAGAAGCCAGTCACAAAGGTGAGGCATTCATTATGGAGCGTGGTTCGATGCCCCTGAAGAGCTGTCTGTAAGAGTTATCCGTTTGCCTGCCCTCGACCACACACATTTGGAAGCGGCGGACGATATGGAATACATGGATTTACATCAGTTGCAAGCTCCCACGACTCTTAAGTACTCCTACCATCTGTATGGATCGAAATTTCAGCAAAGCAGGATATTCCGGAAGTTGCTCGTGTCCGAAGCACGTTCTGTAATGGTGCTGATCAGCTCAATATCCTCTCTTCAGATCGAGAATGAGACCAGCGTGGGCTTAGAGGCCTTTGCCAGGCTGGCACCTGCGGTGGCCGTTGCAGCAGACAGCATCACGGTGCACTACCTGTTTGATGCCCTCAACGGCAGCTCGGGCCGCCTCTTGACGTACCCCACCTATGAAAGGTACCTGGTGGAGCTGGACAGGTGAGGCATCAAGATAAGAGGACGTTCTTAAGATTACGAGGACTGGGCTTTGTTTCTCCTAATCAAGGCACTCTTGGACCTGTCTCATACCCATTCTAGCGCGGATTTGTTAGTTTTAAGTTTGTAGGGGCGATGACTGGTTGCTGTTTGTGACTCGTACGTTCGTCCTTTCCTGCTTCTTCTGCTCGAGATGTAGTCTAGGACGCTCTAATCAAAGGTCTCTTGTCTTCTGCAGGACGATTCGGAGCATTCGCAGCAATCACACTGCCACGGCAGCGGCGCAGCTGGGCCTGCAGAAGGGCGAGTCGGTGATTGAGGTCGACGGCAACACTACCACGCCGGTGCTGCAGCACGTGCGGCTCTCGGCCTGGCCTGGCCGCCTGACACTCACAGATCATGCAGTGTACTTCGAGGTAGGCATCCGCTTGTTTCCTCGCTTTTCCTGCAGGAACTTGATTCCCGGAGGTTCTAGCAACTTTCGGACGCCATGATGCAGCCTTGAATGGAGCTACAATTTCTGCAGAGCACAACCCCCCGGTTTCACACCCTCAGGCTTGTGCAGCCACAGTGCGTCAGGCCAGCTGACACCAGTCCTTTTATTCTCCGCACCATCTCAACGTTTGGGAAACTTCGTTTGACATGGAGTATGGAGCCATCGGCTCAACATACTTCTTTACAACTCTCATGTCGTAACGACTATCCTCGACCTCTGCAGCCTAGCGGCGTGATGGCATATGACACAGCCTCCAAGTTCGACCTCACGAGCGACTCGAAACAGCAGATCAAAGCTGACCTGACAGGACCGCTGGGAGCCAAGATCTTTGACAAAGCTGTCGTCTACTCGTCGAAAGCGAGGTATGTAAGACAAGGGATCTTACTAGAAAGGGGCTCAAGAAAGGGTAAAGGACGCTCTCCACAGATAGCATTCTCAGATCTTTGATTGATGTATACCCACCTTCAAGGATCGCCGATAGTTGGTAACTTGCGAAGTTGCAGGCAAGGCTATGGGGTAAAAGCATGAAGAACGGGTCAGTCGTCTGCTGGGTTACATTGCGATCTGGAGGCTGAAGCAATAAGAAGAGGCTTTTCCAAGTTTCGCTTTGACTCTCTCGCTTTGACCAGGAACTCTTCTCGGGGTCGGGCAAAGGACTCCTTTTTCATGTGCACGGAAGCAGGGAACTCGATACCCCACTTTTCAGCCACAGCCCTCGCGAGTTGCTGGTCAGACGCTCAGAACCTACAAGTGGTAAAATAAGAAACAACTAACCCGTTGCCTTCTGTGCAGGCCCGAACCGGTGGCCCTCGAGTTCCCGGAGCTCACGGGCAACACGCGGCGCAACTACTGGCTGGCGTGCATGCAGGAGATCCTGGCAGTGCACGCGTTCACGCGCACGCACCACCTCGAGGGCATTGCGCGCCAGCAGGCCCTTGCGCGCGCCGTCCTCGGCATTGCGCGCCTCAAAACTATCTGGACCATGACCCGGGCGCTCCCGCCGCACCCCACGCAGCTGCTGACGTTTGTGTCGGCGGACTCGCTGCCGAGCGGAGACAAGGTGCTGAAAGTGCTCGCGAGCAGCCTGCAAGCGCAGGCGGAGGCGGTCGGTGACACCCCGAGGGATCACCTGCAGGTGAGGCGGAATCGTCGAGAAAGCGTCCGCAGTCAGCTTTAACTTTCGGATTTGTTCGCGTCTTAAGCATACGTAGCAGACAGAACCAACCGAACGAGTCCGCAATTGGATCTGTTGCTGGGATCGGATTGCTCAACTTTGAGCTTGTCCCGGCCTAGTTCCTTTGGTTGTTGAGATACAAGTGCTGAGTCAGCAAACTCTATATCCAACCACCAGGGCATGTAGTCAGTGATCTCACGGGATCATCAGCATCTGACTACTCAACGTGATTGCCGTCTAAGTGCTGGAGGAGCTGTACTTTGACGGCTTTTCTCAATGGACCACTGCATGCTCGCATCTCAGAATCACTGAATCATTGCACTGCGTTGCACTTTGCGTGGCTTAAAACACCCGAACGTGAAAACTGGTCGCGGATTTCAACAGAAGGACGCGCTTCGTTTGTACGGCGACCCTGATTTGCAAGTGCTAACACTGTTCAACTTCCCTGATACTCCCACAGAAGAGCGCAGCGGAACCTGCTCGCGACGGGGACGACCGTGCAGCTGGAGACTCGTTCGCCGCTTCGAGAGGCGCTGCGAACAGCAACTCAGGGCGGCTCGAGAAAATGAAGGCGGCCATACGGATGACGGTCACTGGGGGCGACGACGGAGGGGGATCCCCCCGGTCACTACTGGAGGACACGGGCATCGTGGTCGGCGACGAACTCGTGGGGGGCGAGACGGAACTAGAGCGAGCGCTAGCACAGGCACGGAGCCACAACAAGGCGGTGGAGCGCGCCAAGGCCTCGGTCGAGCTGGCCAAATTCGAGGGGATTGGGAACAACGTCGCGCTTCTAAAGGTAAGCGGCGGGCTGTCGGTATCGAGATGGTGGAAGAAGGAGACATACTCGCTGGTCCGCAGGGCGGAGAGACTGGATGCCGATGCCTCCAAGACTTGGATTTGTTGCTGCTGCTCCAGAGGTAGCTTGCATGGTCGTCAAAGCCATATGTCTGAAGTTATCGTCCTGAGTTATGCGAGACAAAACAGGCGGGGTCTGCTCATCTGTCCCGCGAGTGACCTGGGTCTGCTCGTGCTGCTTAGGTGCTTAGACACTGCTCATACTGTACCCTGCAGGAGCTAGCCGTGCCCTTCATTCTGCTCTGGGGAGTCTTCGACTCTCTTCGGAAGTGGGACGACCCGCCCAAGACGATGATCTTCATCTCCGCCGTTATGTACCTTATCTACTCGTAAGTGATGCAAACAGTCGCTTCTATCTCGACCGTGCATTGCCATCGCTTGCACAGAGTTGCTACATGCGCACAATCTTACCCGCAGTCTTCCTCGCTTCTTTCTGTGCCAACTCTTATGGAGCGTAGAGCAGTGGCTCGCTTCTTGATTCACAGTCGGAGTCCGTGTTTGCCGTAGCACGTTTTTCCTTTTTAGAGGGACTAGAACACGGACCCGAGAAAGTTCCCGGGTGAAGACGGTCGTTTATTTCATTGTTGGTACGTTCGTTTCTGCAGCGACTGGATCCGATATGCGGTCCCCGTGTTCCTCCTCCTGAACGCGGGCTTCATCCTGTATCTGCGCTACATCAAAAAGTTCGGGCGCGGCAACACGCCCATGGTGGTGGTTCCCGCGCCGCCGCCGTCCAGCACCGTGGGTCAGCTCATGAGTCTGCAGCAGGCCATCGCGTTTGTCGAGTACGCGCTGCAGGACGTCAACATCGCGCTGCTCAAGACGCAGGCGCTCTTCTTCTCCGAGTTCACGCAGGTGAGCACTCTGGGCTCCGCAGACACTGCCTTTGGTCGCACCGGGAAGGCAAGTACGGAATAGTACCAACCGCTTTGACGCGCAACGCACTTCCACATTAGTGCCTCCGCTCGACGGATCTTATGAGTGCCACGAGGTCGAAGAGGCTGGGTGTACGGGGTCAGGCCCGCTGTGGAACGCCCCCTGACAGGCTCCAACATTGGGCATGCGTTCTGTATGCTGATGAGGGTCCTATGCTGGGAAGGTCTTCGAAAGTGTGTCACCGCGGTCCTATACGTGCTAATTTCGAGCTTTCAGGAGGAATGAATGGAAGTGTCATCGAGAGGTTTTCGACGTTTGACCGATGGATAGCAGATAATCTACTAAGCCGCCCGCTTATGGTGCGTCAAAGTAATTCATACCTTACGTTCATGCAGGCCACGGACCAGCTGTTGGCTGCTCACGTCATCGCTGCCCTCGCTCTTCTAGTTTTCCCATTCAAGTTAGTTTGCGTAGGCTGGTTCTTGGACACGTTCACCAATGAGCTTGAGTTCCGGCGAGAAAGCACAAGAAAGTTTATCCGGAGAATGAAGGAATGGTGGTACAGCATACCAGTGGTACCTGTGAAGTTCGTCCAATCGGAGGCAGAAGGCGAGGATGGATAATTGTTGCTTTATCAGAATAGTGTACCAGCATCCCACTGGTCACTGCATGTATAATGACAAGCAAATAGATTCTGCAGGACACTTGCGTGCATGCTGAAAGTAAAAACCTGTCGGCAACGCCACCAAGTTGTAACGTTTCAAATAAACGGACTCCGAAGTAAGTAAACTCTAAATTTTGTGTTTGTTACGATTGGCTTTGTGCTCTAGAAGCCAGGATCCTGTAAGCTGTCGTTGCCAGGGTCATTGCCAGGTAGTCAGCCCTCGGGCCACTCAGGCGGCGCATATCGTGCATGCATTGGGATGAAGTTTCTGCTGGCAAGCAATGATTGATATACACACGGAACTACATATCAGGGTATGACAAAAGGGGCCATGGCGCATGGTCGCCAATTCATACGGCCCAATTTATTTGCATATGGATCGACGTATGGTGACCTAGGTTCTGCGCCATATGATATTGCTCATATAACCATCTGCGCCGCGGCCGCAGACGCCATGCATGGGGTCACGTATTCCAACGCCTATCGTACACACATGAGGCCACGTATATACACGTAGATATTGATTGCATCATGGCTTAAATGTACATGATACATATAGGATATTGCATGGTCTCTTTTCGTACTCGCCGTAGCCAAATAGGCCATAGGCTTGTCATGACATACGCGGTACATGTATATGATTGGTGTGTGTTTCTCGGATCGTTCATGGAGCCATATGTATCTTGGGTCAAGCTCGACTTTATACCGACGAAGTTCTAAATAGGTAGGTACCTAAATCCTAAACCAAAGCTGATGTTTCCTATCCCATAGCGTATCATAGCGACCCAAGCTACGACATACGGTACCTAGGTACCTAGCTAGTAGGCAGCTAGGTACCGTAATAGCGACTCCGCGGCCGGCCAGCCGGCCCCGCCGCACCGGCCGCGCGGCGCAGCATTCGTAACTTTCCTCATGAAGGCGTCTACCGGGCAACAAGCTGAGCTCGAACCCTAATTTTGATTGCTACCAAACCATTAAATGATATAGAGAAAGAAATTTGTAGGTATGCTAGCATTAGTAGGTATATTATTTTTCGATACCAACCACCTTGATAGACAAGGTGCGAGCACCTTGCGATCGGCCCTTGGCGAGCTTATACCTCAAGACTTGCACAAACCTTCAAGACACAGCTGATTCGAAGCTAGCTGGCTGATGTTGGTAGAGCAAACTTGGAGTCGGTAGGACAGCTTGAATACTTTCGTTCGCGAGCTGAATCCGGAAATCACTCTTGAGTCCATTCAGCCTGGCATCGACAAATTACAGAGGCAGGCGGTTCATGCCAAACCATTGTTGCTGAGCTCCTGCAAACAAGCATGGCTGGAAGTGAAGAGGACTTGGACCCCATGAGTCCTCAGAGTATGGGCAATGTGGGAGCTGACGCATTTGATGACGAAGATGGCGAGCCAGCGCTGCCCCTGGATCCCAATAACCGGCTCCTGGACCGGGCCCAGGCAGCCTTGCGAACGCAGCTCCTCAATCAAAAGCAGGTGCGTAAGTTCGTGGAGGTGTCGTTTAAAGCAAAGTCAACGGCTGGCCCTATTGCTCTTTACAGTGGTGGCTGGGGATGACATCGCATCGCACAATCTCCCAGTCGAACAGAAGTTCGTGGTTTGCTGGCTGGCAATCTGGATTCTGGACGACTCAAGGCACTATAGTGATCTTCATTGAAGGGGCATGTTTCAAAGAGCAGCCACCAATGAGGACACTCACCAAGCTTTTCCCTCTTAAGCAGAGGCCATAAGGACATCTTCAGCTCCTAGTGGAAGTCGAACTGACATGGTTAACCTGTGCAGGAGCTGGAGGAGGCGGTACGAGAACGGGGCAAGGAGCTGAAAGACGCAAAGACGCGCAGGGAGGATCTCGGGGTGGAGCTGTATGGCGTGCAGCAGCAGCTCGCCAAGCTGCAGATGACCCTGGAGAAAGCTCACGAGGAGTATGCTGAGATCAACAGAGTCCGGCTCCAGGTAGGGAGGCACGATGCATGGGGCATCATCAACACTTCGGAGACATGACGGGGTGTCCGTCTACTCGAGGTCCTTGCTTACCGGTCGCCGTTTAAGGCTGGAGGAGTCTATATGGCATTGAGGATAAGGGGCTCGTATTGAAACTATGCTTCCTGAAATTGACGGCAAGCTCGGCGCCCAAAGGCCTCTCTCGACACCTTCTCTTCCATCATCACTCCCAGCCTCAAACACCTCAAGTAGCTTCCTTGCCAATACTTGAAAGGCCATAGCTTCTGATCCCGCTTTGCATGCATAGGCCGAGAAGGACCTGGCGGCGATGCGGCAGACGAATGTGGCGCGGCGCGAGGAGACCGCCGCGGGGCGCGTGCGCGCGGAGCAGTTCCAGGTGGAGCTGGACCGGCTGGGGGCCACTCTGCGCCAGGTGGAAGAGTACAACGAGAAGGTTAAAAGCGAGATTGCGGTCACGCGGCGGGCAACGTACGCGGCGGAAGAGGCGATCTCCAAAATGGAGAAGGAGAAGAAGGAGCAGGACCTGCTGATTGACCAGCTGCAGGTGAGGGTGGCACGCGGTAGGGAAGAAGTTCCCCTTGTTGTTGTCTGATGATGGGTGGTCCTTCTAACACTTCCGATAGAGGACCTTTTCCTTTCTTGCGGTTATGGTTGGATTGCAGTAGGGATGGTGGCATGATCTTGCAGCCCCTCATAAACATATGGGTGGGTTCGAGACTAGTGGCTTGATCTTGAAGCGACAGCCACTTCTGATCATCGCTACGGGACAGTCTTCTGCAACTCCATCTCCGAACCTGGGTCAATCTCGTAGAAGGCTCCATCGGCCCCTTTGCAAGAGTCACTTTTTCACACCTGCACTCTCTGACCCCCGACTGTGTCTCCCCTGCCGCAGGAGACGCTCAAGAGCCAAGGCCAGCAGGTGGCGCTGTACGAGGCCCAGCTCGCGGCGCAGCGGCGCGAGACGCAGGCCGCACAAGACACGCTCACCGAGGCCGCGTCCGAGATGGAGGCAATCAACTTCGAGAAGAAGCAGCTGACCCTGCAGTGGAAGAGCAGCCTGATTGGGATGGCACGCCGCGACGAGGCGCTCCAGGTAAATCAGTGACTTAGTGATCGTAAAATGTAGTCAAAAGGAATCTAGTGATCTCGTGAATCAAAGGCTCAGTGATTAATAAGGCTCGACCTGATCAGAAAAGGTCTATGCGCTCCACACCCGCATCCGCCCAAAATCCCTGGCTAATTCGAGCAGTCTCAGCACTGTCCGTACGGAGTTCGCGAGGGCGAACTCCGTACGGACCGCCTGCCACTGTAGCCCCTTCGATCGAGTGTCCAAGTTAGTAGAGTCGATCAGCCCGAACCGTCGATCGTCGAGGGTTATAGCTAGGAGGGGGTCTCTAGGTACCGTTTCGGAAGTTCACGTTCTCCCTCCTTCCGTTTTGTCTTCGGTTGTTTGCTGAGCTTATTCGTACAGCTTCTCCCCAGCAACCTTCCAGTTTACTGTAAACCAGATTAGACTGTTTCACTCATTAGCAGAGACCAACTGACACTAAATCTTTCACTAAACCTAGCAGGTTGCTTGGGAGAAGCTGTAACTGCGTTGATTGGAATGCGATGCAGGCGCTGGAGGACGCGTTGCGGAAGCAGGGTGAGCAGGAGCGCGCGCTGGAGGGCGAGCTGGACGTGTTCCGGCGCGGGCTACGTGAGGAGCAGGAGCGGGGGGAGAAGCTGGCGGGCGCGATCGCAAAGGTGGGTATTTGGGGACTGTCAGAAGGGATGGAAGGAGAACAGGGACTTCCGGTGGTCCCTGGGTAATTCCTTCAACTAGAACCCCTGCATTCGACGGTCAAGTTTGGTGGTTCACTCAACCCAGAACGTCGATCGTAGAGGGTTACAGTTAGGAAGGGTCTCTAATTGTCGGCTCAGAAGTCCATGTTCTCCCTCCATCCGTTTGTCAGCAGGCGGAGTGCAGAGGTCTGGTCGGCTGGGGGACGGCTCGAAGTCGTGGCGCTCTTTTGACGGCAGAAGATGGACGCTTCTGATTGGTTGGCAACAAAAGGTTACTTTCTTTGGCCCTGACGCTCTCCATAACCGTGTCCGATTGCCAGTGGGCCGCTCATGGCTAAACCTTGGAGACTGGGGTTGTTTATCCGAAGATTGGAGCTTCGACACGGTCTTGTGCATGTTAAACGTCTGCAATCCGCCTGTTAGGGTGTTGGGGGGGATCGTTGTTGGGGGCCGTTGCGAAGGACGCTTCGTCACGTTCAAGGTTTTGTGCAGTTTACGTGAGGGGAGAAAGATAGCAGGGACAATGACAAAGGTGCAGACGATAGGTTCGTTTGATAGTCGGAGCTGAGTGTTCAGAAAGTGGACAAATAGATCTCATTGGCAAGGCGTGTAAGGGTGGGTGCTTCAGGGGTTTGGATGGATCCTACGCTTCATTTTGGCAATGACAAGCCCGAAGTAGTAAACAAAGCCCTGATCAGCTTGTGGATCTATCTTTTGTGCAACCAGAGGGATTCGAGTCATCATTCCTTGTCCCGTGCCGCACTGGGAGTTCACACCGCAACAGCAGGTATTCCCCTTAAGTCCGTAGTCTGATCATCTCATGCACGGTTCTATACCCACGAAGACAATCCTTGGAATACGCTCAAGTTGCCGACCTGCCAAAAGCCCATTGAAGCCGATACTTACGAAGTTTCTGTTGTTCAGATTGAGAGGCAGAGCGAGCAGCTAAAACAGCAGATCGCCGCGACCAAGGAGCGCCGCGACTCCGCCGAGGGCAAGTTGGGTGCGCTGCAAGCGGCGCGCGAGGAGACGGAGGCGAGCTTCGTGCAGGCCAGGGGGGATGGGAAGCGGCTGCGGGCGGACGTGGACAACGTGGAGAAGGCCATGTTCAAAGCCAACCAGGAGATCCAGGTGAGCCGATTTTGCGGTTTCACAGTTTAGGGTTCTGGGCTTTAGGGTTTTGAGGAGTGCAAAAGAGGGGCAACGAGCTAGCCGCCTGGAAAGGATCAAGGATAGAGAGCCTTGAGGCGCTGGCATGTCTGATTCCAGAAAGTGGATCAGGATTCGATGCAATCAAAGTCGCCAAAGGTTGTCGGTTCTCAGGAACCAGACCGGCTTTCCGACGGTTGGGCAGCTTTTGTTGCTGACGGGGAGCGTGAAGGGGCTGTTTCTTGTCCTCATTAGCCAGCCAACTGTCTTCGCTCCTTTGAAACCCCGTTGATATGCTTTCTTCAAAGCTTCCAGAACCTCCCTGGAACTCCACTCCTTCAGCAGCTGTCTGTGGTTGCAACTTGTAAGGTCCACTCAAACGAACAAAATTACACAGCGCCGTCTAAGGAAGAGGTGAACATCGTCAAGCCCTGGCCATCCGCCCGCGAAAGCCGAAGTCACGCACATACGAGGGGCTTAAAGTAGCCCCTTCGTGTCCTCAATAGCCAACGGCATGCAATTTCCGGCTCAACAGGTGCCAGGTGCCTTCCCCTTTCCCAAAGCTTTCGAAACTCTCTGTGCACTTCAAAATTCATGAAAGTCGGCCACCTGCACGCAGGAGCTCGAGCTGCGCATGCTGACGAGCCCGAGCGAACCACTTCGTGTCCCTCTCAGCCAACCGAGGGTATATCTAACATTGGAATTCCGTTGTCGTCCCCTCTCTCGAAAGCTTCAAAGCCATCCCTGAATCCGGAACGCCCTCACACCCTAGCCGGCCGCCCGCAGGAGCTGGAGTCGCCATGCTGACGAGCCTGAAGAGGCCACTTGGCGTCTTGATTGGTCAACCGATCATGTTTCTTACAGCTTTCCCAACTCTGGATCCGGACGCCCTCCTCGACTTACGCCCGCAGGAGCTGGAGTCGCGCATGCTGACGAGCCTGAAAAAGCCACCTGATGTTACCGAGCGTCTTTCTTACTTCCAAACTCCGCTCTTTATTCATCTCAGAGATTCCAAATCTCCTTTCCTCAAATCCTGCCCCCCCGCCCCGCAGGAGCTGGAGTCGCGCATGCTGACGAGCCTGAGCGAGCAGACGACGGTGGAGAAGGGCGCCCAGGTGACGGCGCAGGCAACGCAGCGGCTGCGGCAGCGCGTGCGCGAGGAAAGTTTGGCGGCGGTGCAGCTGCAGAACGAGCTGGCCAAACTGCGGGTGGACGTCCTCACCGCGCACGGCCGCAACGCGCAGCTGCGCGAGGTGCTCGCGGGGGTCGATGCGGAGATCCGGGAGAAAGGGGCCACCATCGAGAAGTACCAGGTGAGGGGTTTAGGGAGGGTTAGGATGGGTCGGCTTTGAAGCGGGGATTAAGGCGGAAAGGAACGTCAGAAGCATCTGCCGCCGCACTGACTCTTTGATCAGACATGGGGCCGCTTTAAGACCGTCGGCAATTGCAAGGAAAACAATGCAGCGATGCTTGGAATATTCTGGAACGATTGCGGGTGCAAACCCCTTCCGCAGGTTTACGGGAAGCCTGCACTGTTGGCGTGGAAAGGCGGTGAGGAGACGTCTCATTGTTTGAACCCTACGTCTCACTTGCTCGTTGTTCATACCCTGGAGCTTATGCTCCAGTCTCCGAGTCCGACAAACAACGCGGCCAAGACTTGCCAGCCCTACTCTCCCCTTCGTTCCGTTGCTCACTCCTCAAAACAAGCGCTACCGCTTATCCGGCTCCTGCGCTCACTTTGCTTACTTTCATTTGTTCCGCCCAGATCGAGATCCGGCGGCGGAACGACGAGGTGGAGAAGAAGACGAAGGAGGTGGACCGGCTGAACAAGGCATACGACAAGCTGACGGCGGCCGTGGTGGATGAGAATATGGGCCCGTTGGAGGCGACCATTGCTAACATTTCCAAGGAGATTGTCGCCAAGGCCGCGGAAGCGAAAGATTTGCAGCGCGCCTGGGTCACGTGCCAGACGGAGCTCGTGGGGCTGATCAACGACAACAACGGCCTCGCCGAGAAAGTGCAGGTGGGTTTGGGTTTGGGTTTGGGTTTGGGTTTGGATTTTGAGTTAGGGCTTGGCTTTGGGCTTCGTTCTCGGGCTTGAGAGACGAGCCTTGCATTTTCTGGGTTCTGATAAGTACGTGTCATTCGTACCAGCTCCATCCAGTGTTGAATAGTGTGAACGAAGTAATGAGATTCAGACACGAGTGTGGCGCAGCCATCTGGTTGGGGTCAGCCGACCTTTGGACATACAGTCAACCAGGTGAGAGCTTCGATTCAAAATCTAAAGGACATACTCCTTGGCAGCGCAATAACAGTCCATCGGTATCGAAAGGCCTGCAGCACAGAATGACGACTTTGTAAGTTTTCTGCATTTCTTCGGCAAAACTGTACCTGCTGATCGTCCCTACAACCAGTCGAGCTCACCGTTGCTTCGCACCGTCCCACTTTATCAACCTAGACCTCGAGCAGAAAGTCAGATGCTTGGTCGGTCTTGCCGACGTAGCTGAGCCACACAAACCCCCAACCTGTACAGCATTCAATCCAAACGAACTCCAGCAAAAGAGAATTTTAAGTAATTACACCACGGATCCAGGGTTTTACGGCTCATGACTTTTTTGGGTTACCCTGAAGTTCTCAGTTCTCGGAAAAGCCACCCGTTGTGGTTGACGCACTAACCCCACTGGTGACTCCTCCCGTGCAGCGGCTCCGCGCGGAGCACACGGTTCTGAAGCAGCGGCGCGCGCGGCTGGACGGGCAGTGCGACGTGCACAAGAAGGAGATCAAGGACCTGGGGGGCAGCGTGCGAAGCATGCACTCCGACCTGCAAAAGTGAGCACGCCCTACTCGGGACCTTCATTCGCAGGAACAAGTTGCAGCGCTAGTCTGCATTGCGTAAGAGGTGCAAAATCGTCGATTTCGAACAGTCATCCGGTTTCGAGCATATGTTTCATTCCGGGCTACTCCGCAACAGTGCGAACACTTTGTCGAAAATCTTTGTCTAGATTGAATCGTTTCTGGCTGAGATTGAGATCCCCGTCTTGATACCTCCCAATCTGGAGTTTCCAAAATGCCATACAGAGACCTTCAAATCGGCTTGACGTCATCCATCCGGTGTTTTCCTCGCAGGCTGAACGAGATGATTGCCAAGAACGCGGAGCTGCGAGGCTTCCTGGCGAACGAGACGTTCACGCTGGAGGCGGGCATCGTCGCGTCGCTGAAAGCGATGGAGGAGGAGATGGTGCACCTGGGCGGCCGCATCGAGGCCGCGCGCGCAGAGAAGCGCGAGCTGCTGAGCGACGTGGTGGACGCAGAGCGCCAGATCATGCTGTGGGAGCGCAAGATCGCGCTGGAGAAGGAGACGCAGGTGAGGGGGATACTTAGTGAAAGTTGTTCTAATAAGCTCAAGCTTAAAAAGAGGACGAGGGCTAACACTGAAACGATAAAACCTAGACATGTACCGGCTACGCTTTTGAGCACCCCACATCCTATCACTAAACCCACCCGTTCCATGCAGGTTATCTTGTGAGAAGCTGGGCTGGGTATTATCATTCATGTAGATACAAGTGCGAGGGGGGTAGTGGTGTGTGTCAACGTCGAATCCAAGTGGACCAACCTCTGAGTGAAGAAGCGTCTGATCATGCGAAGCCTGAAACAAGAGCTGTTAGGATAGGGTTCAGCTCGAGAGGGACCCACAGATTGGGGCCGTTGAGGGTGCTTTTCACAAGAGCGCACACCAAACCAAAAGCGCTGAAGGGCAACCCCTTGAGTCGGATGTTACTCGAGACCCCCGCTTTTGGTTAGAGGGGCTTTATCTGGATCCGAGGGTAGTGCATAGACATTTGCGGGGAAGCCAAGCATGTCACTTGGTAGCCATCGACAATTCTGGACTAATCAAAGAACACAACGAGGATCGGGCACTCCGCTTGATTACCCACCAGAACCGCAACTCACTCAGCAACTTTACAGCCGTATTCGTCAAACTTGCCAGCAGGTTGCCAAGTGGTCAAAGCATCACTTGACCGGAAGAAACCATCAAGGGCCGTTTTATTGACAACGGTTACCATCCAACGGGTCAAGATTGCGGACCACTTTCGAGACTCGGAATTTGGAGTGGCAAGTTTGAAGCCAACAGCTGTTTTCCCATCCGCGCAGGCCGCGATCGATCCGACGATGGGAAACGAGGTCGTGGTGGTAATGCGGAAGGAGATTCACCGCATGAAGCTGCGCCTGACGGAGGTGCTGGGCCAGCAGGAGCGGCTCATTGGCGAGATGGAACGCGCGATCCTGAAGCGCGACAACATCGCGACGAAAGGGCGCGCGCAGGGCGCGAAGAAGGGCGCGGGCGGGCTGCTGCTCATGGAGACGGGGCTCGTCAAGGCGGCCGCGGACCTCAAGCGGAGCGTCAAGGAGACGGAAAAGGAGGTGAGCGGAACGAGGTGCCCTGCTTGGTGAGATTGAGGTGGATCAATAGGAGTTTCGTGTGTACGAGCGGCGACGCGAAGCTTCGCAGTGGGGGGATGCCTTAGAGTGGGAAACGTCGTTGTTGGCTTCTTGCTTAGAACGGGCAACTTTATATCCGGGAGTGTCAATCGTGTGCTACTCCTTGAAGAACCGAAGGGAGGCAGATTCCTACGAAAAGGAACGTTCCAATCGATATACCCCGAAGTTCGTAAGTTTGGGGGTCTTCAGCATCAGTTGCAGCACCGTTCGGATCTACACCTTTTATTCAAGTGAGCTCTTGTCTCTGCTGGGGTCGGAGGGAGGCGTCAAGCTCCTGATCTGGTTTCAGATATGACACAGTCCAACAGTTTAAGCGCAGCCAGAGTGTCACTACTTCAAACCAAGACTGTTTTCGCATCCACAGGCGGCGGAGGCGGACGCACGAATACAGCACGCGGCCGCCAAGCGAGACGCGCTGGCCCAGGAACTAGAGGAGGGGGGGAACAAGATCACCAAGATGCGGGAGGACGAGGAAGCGCTGGGGCGAGAGTTAGATACCGTGGTCACGAACCGGATGAAAGAGCTGATGAACACGACGAGGCTCCAGAAAAGCGTCAAACGGTTCGAGGACGTGCAGGCGGGAAAGTGGAAAGGCCTGGGCTTAGCGGAGGCGGACCTCGAAGCGGAGCTTGGCAAGGCGCTGGAGAAGAAGAGGGCGATATCGGACGTCGTGCAGAAGATCTGCAAGGAGCTGCCGCACCTAGAGGCGTCGCTCACAAAGTGTCTGGCGCAGGTCTCCGTCGAAGGATAGGGTTTCTTTGGGCTGTTACGGGATGGGCTCGTACATAAGGGTGGGTTAATTTTGAGTGTTGCCATTGAAAGGGACGGGCTGATGCATGTTCATCGTAGTCCACGGAATTGTGAGAAGCATATCTTGCATGCAATTCATGGGCTGCATGGCATTCCGCAATGCACGTGCCTCAGGTTCGATATGACCTTACCTGGGGCCGGCCAAATGCCAGAATTATTTGTTGTTCACTGCCCAGAATTATTTGTTGTTCACTGCTAGACTCACTTTGGTAACTCCTAAGACGGGAGATCCAATCGCAAACTGAAAGAGATTTTGGAGTTCTTCCATGCCTAATGGCTGTCAAAGCGAAGGTGTAACAAACTATCCATTATGGTATTGCCTAGTCGAGTTTATATGCACGTTGTCATGTTCGCCTCAAGGCGGCATGCAATAATCTGGTACCTAATGCATTAATGAGAGTGATTAGAACATGCCCCCGCAACGCCTGTGCACCAGATTTTGTAGTGTTTAGACCTTCCAATTGCTGAAGCAGCAACTATCAGATGTGGAGCTACGACGATATACTACTTAAATGCAAATAGTCCGCGTGCAAAGCCGCCTTATAACCACCCTCACCCTGGCCCACCGCCGCCGCCGTTATTGTTAGAAGTGCATAAGCCCGTCACACAAAAAGGAGAGAGGGTCCCGATGCATCGTTTACCACAACGCCCGCAATTCGCGGGGTCACTGCTGGGGTCACTGCAAGCGTTGTTGCAGCATTTCTGGCCGACAGGGCACGCGACCGTCCCGCACAGACATTGGCACTGCGAGCTTGTGGACGCTTGAAGGAGCCGCCGACCGGTGACCACGGACAGTCCCGGAGAATTGGAGACACCGGTTGGTGTGCGATCCCTCATGTCAGCCTTCATCTGCAGCAGCATGATGTGCGGACGTATCAATGACCCTGCCCTTCGAAATAATACCTCTATCTTGAAGTGGCGAATTGATCACGAGCTTAACTTTGCCACAAAATTGGAAATTTGAATCCCTACCTTCTATGCCTTTTCCGTAGTTTTCCCAGTCATCAAATGTATCGTTACAGATAGCCTATAGGCACCAGCAAAACGGACTTATGGTTCATTGTCAGTTGAATAGTTGCTAAAGTGACTCAAAGGATTCTCAAGACGATATGAATTTTCTGTTCGGAATCAAGCGATGGCATTGGCCAAGAAGACTGCGTGAACGAGAAGGACCGTAACAATCACACGAAATGGAGCAGAGATGTCCAATAGGTTTTCTTGCAGCATTGGCGTCCTTAAGCACGCCAAAGACATTTGGTTCGTCGTACCTTCTTGAAGCGACTGAAAGAGCAGTCGGTTGCGGTCAAGCCAGACGTCGCATAGTCATCGTCTGTGCCTTCGACGTACTCTCGGTGCAGCAAGCCTTCAAGTGTTCCCATCTGCAAGCGCTCCTCGATGGCGCCGGGTGCGTACATCTGGCCGACGAACTGCGGAAAGAAGAGGAGGAACTAGAGTTCGATTAAGTTTTGTATATATTGCCGCTTCTGCACTAGGGTTAAGCTGGATCACTAGGACTATCTCGCGGCCAACCAAACCTTGGCAGAGCTCTGCCAATATCGGACCATCGTTTCCCTAGTCTGAACGTCATGTTGAACGAGCAATCAACGTGCTCCTGCTTACGGTCATGTGTGCCAGCATTGCGACTTCGTACAAGGCTTTTTGGGCAGCCGTTTGAACGAAGGTCTGAGAAATATTGCATGCGTGCGCGCTACACAAAAAGAGTTTTGCAGCAAGACAGGCGAGCAACAATGGCAGAATCTGTCATATTAACGAGGAGCCATGAAGAAGGAATTAGACTAAACCGTGCAGGACAATTTTTGAACCTTCCTATACAAAGCGGCTTGTTGACCAGGTTTGAGACCGGGCAGATGGCCGGAATGGTCGTCTGCTTCTCAAGTTGCGAAAACATCTCTGGGTCGAACAAAGCATATCGTTGAGAAAATCGTTCGCGGCTTTCTTCATTTAATTCTTGGTTAAGTGATCACGACACAGGTCTTCGTTGTTTACCAGATTTAATGGCTGTAGAGTACTCACCCCATGGACTTCGGGCGTAGTGGCAATCATCTGTATGTCGAAGCTTAGGCTATAGATTGGGGGGTCGGAAATGATCTCGGAATCAGCCTCCACCCTAACCTCCATTTTCAAATGATCAGGGATGGTGATCTCCACGAAGGTCCTGAACTCGGAGTGGTACTTTATGGAGAACGTCTCGTCGGGACTAGTCCAGGTAGACACTCCTTCGGGTACCTGCATGAACCACCGTTGTTCAAATACAGTCCCTCAATCCTAGCGGAACTTATTGTGTCCGAGTCTGATTCGAGCACTGGCTATTTGGCCATGCGACCACATGAGGTAGGGAAGGTCAGAAACAGTCAGAGAATGAAAGAGTCCGCGACGAAAACTCCAACACGCTGGACTTCTAGAAACTATTTTTTGTGTCCTTGCTACCCCAGGAACTTAAAGGGAAAGATGTCAGGCAAGAGCTCACCGAGATTTGAGTGTCGTCCCCAGAATACAGAATTGCAAAAGGTTCTTCGAGATCAGTTCGCGCGCTTGTTTGGTTTAGGACGATCGCCAAAGCTCGTTCATGATTGTCGTCTTCTGGCTTGGAATAGATGACTCCAATTGCATCTATCCAAGTGCCCTCAAAGAAGGAGTCCTCAGCTTCCACAGCTCGATGGAGGATGTTGACATCTGGAGGCAAATTGAACATGCGTGCATTCAACTGCAGCCAATGAGACCGTCGGGTTAGAAGGGAGAACATAGCGATCAGGCACATTGGAAAGATTTCCAGCTAAAGAGGCAAGCACCACTACGAGTAGCGCTGCCGTAAGAAAAAGGTAATGTCTGTCCAAAACAGGCTTCACATGTCATACTTCGTTTGACAGGGATTTCGCATTGGTTGACGTTGTATAAACCTTAGGCATGGCCGCTCTCCGTTATCTCCTTATGCTGCTTATGTGTACTGTGAGCCCTGGAAAACCAGCTTGAACAAGGCAAAGATCTCACGGTCTGGGCCTTCTAACTCTGATTTTGTTGGGGCCACAATTTTTACCCCTCGAATGACATTGAGCTTTCAGTGCTTGTGATGCCTTCTGCTTACGTAGCTTTGCAGGTTGCCAGTTGGATCAACAGAGCCTTTCGAAAACCAGGACTCTCATACTAGGCTCTAAGAGTGTCAAAGCTGCGAGGAAGGCAACAAACTTTGAGCCCCAGCCTGAGGGCCACCTGACTTAAGGGTATGACAAAGCAATACGCAGGTTATTGCTTGGAGACGAGCTTTGCACTGAGGAAGCTTCTCTGCTGGTCTTTTCCACTTAAGTTGAAGGGTTCTAGCCAGACGCTTACATGAATGCAGAAGCAGCTCAGACGCGTTGCCTCCTTAGAATGGTTACGACTTACGCTGAGGGAATTGTCTGTGATCATGCAGTAGCTCTGATTGCCCTTGCCGTGGAAGTCCCAAGTGAGCTGCTGGCCACTTTGGGGGACAGTAAGAACGAGATGAGGATCCCCGGTTCCCCCCACAACAACTGCAAGACAGAACTCTGGTCCGCTCTTCGACATGCCAAGCTCAACCTGCAAGTTGATTAGATTCCCACAGGGTGCATCCTAAGGGGTGTAATCGGCAATTCATACAGAAACACTAGACCAAATGTTGGGAGCAATGCAGGAGGGCCACTGCGCATCTCAAGGCCATTGATAGTTGACCCTCTGGCTTGCACTAGCCCAACATTTGATTGACACGCACAAGATAACTGACAACTTTCTTCAGAAGGAAGGCCTCAAGAAGGAAGGCCTCAACAGACCTCCATCTCTTCCGTCCCGCCTAAGGCGTTCGATTTGCAGACTAGGTCTGTCCTTGCCACATTTGAACCAGGCACGAGTGCCAGCAAAGCCTGGGAAAGGCTTCAACCAGCTGGTGCTGAGGGAGGACAGCTATGAGGGAGACGGCTAATCATCAAGCGGAGGGGACGGCGGCTCGCCAGAGGCAATACCTTCGGATAAGGTACTACTGACTTTTGAGGGCACTCACCGGTCTTCAAGTATGCGGTGATGAACGTATCTGCGTATCCAGCTATCATGGTGGAATTGAGCCAGCAGCAGTTTTCAACATTCCTGTACACAATGCCAACGCATGCGGAATCCTTGTCGCAGCGGGAGATGCAATCGGAGACTCTCTCCTGAGTCGCACTACTGCCGCACTGGCCAGGGTTGGTGGGGCCTGTCGTGGGGATGATGTCGTTGCCTGGATAGTTCTGCACAGCAGGCGGACAAAGCGTCTTAAGTGAAGAATGCACATCGCGACACGTGTTCTTCCTGTTCCTAAGAGGGAAGGCCTTGTTGCGTGCCTTGGAGGTGCCTTTCTGTATCTTGAAGTGTCTTTGAGTGTCGATGAGAAGGGAGCGCTCGCGGGCGTGTTGGCAATCAGATCGGCACTGACACCGAAAACCATTGTGACCAGCTCTTTTACCTCTTCTTTGAAGTGGACCCTCTACTTTGACCCAACAGTTGGACAACTAGTACTGACAAAGTTGTTGGCGGTCTGAAGGAGAAGGTACGCTCATAAACACTTCCGGTCAGACTTCCATACTAACAGACCTCCACTTGCAGGTACACAATTGTGGACTTACCATACCATCCTTGAGATCGTATCCGGGGTAGCCTGCATTCGGAGTTGCAAAAATAGACTGGGTTCAGATCACAACCCTGGACCACCAAAGTGCCGATCAGGCGCGTAATTGTTCAACAACAGACTTTAATCAAACACCGCAGCTTGGTTGGAGAGTTGGTCGGTCTCGTAAGGATGGTCACGTGCACAATCCCTGTTCTCTCCAGTTGTGGCCGCTGTTTGAGCACAAAGCAAGATTGCAATTGTCTTTGCCAAGAAGCTCAAAAGATTCTGTTCGCAGTTCAGCTGTTTCTCTGGCTTTTATCTTGTAGGCAGGCCAATGATGCAGACTGGAGGAAGATCCTCAACAGATCCTTAGCTACAAGGTGCAGATATCTCTTGCAATGCTGCAACTACGTGCTTCAGCTGTCCCACCGTGTGAAGTCACAAACCCGAAGCCTTTCTGCAATGTCCAGTCATTCAACAATATATGCAACACCATGGCATACTATGAGCAACATGGTTACAATACTCAGACCAGCTCACCCCCACAAGAAGCACTATCAGAGGAGGTAGTGCCAGCACATAGGAAACCCCCACCGCAACAGGTGGCGCCACACTTGACTCCACACGACTTGCTGCAACAAATAGGACCTTGAAGGGAGTGGGTACAATGGTCGTCGGTGAGGCATGAAGTCGAACTAACTGGAGCCAGGATTGAGCAACTCGTCATGACAAGAAGAGCAAAGCTGCTCTCAGCAGCGCAGTACTGGCAGAGCCAAAACCCGCGTCGCTGATGATAGTCCGGGCTCTTCCCTTTCTTACTGGCGCCATGTCCTCAATACAAACCTAAGTCAGCCGACAGGTGCGCCCGTTACTGGCTGACCCTGCGGCCGTCCTGAAAGCAGAAAGCAGAGTGAGCTGAAACAAGGACCTGGAGCAACGCCTGAGCTACACCCACTCCTTAAAAATAGATGTTGCTTGCACAGAAAAAACCAATATCCTCGCAAGAAGAGCTTCCTATTTTGTAGAACAATTTGACAACGTCACGGTCTGATTGAAGTTGAACAGCAGACAACAACGACTCTCTGCAAGACTTCTTCCACCACTGACTTCGACTGATCTGCATCATGCATCATACGAATCATGCTGGAAAGTGACTCACCAGGTCGGACCAGCTAACAGCATCCCCAAGTCACACGCGCATTAACTGTAGTAATTACTGCAGAGAACAAGGCTCAACGGAAAATGGTCAAAGCGAACAATATGCATCATGCACCTTCTCTTAGACTTTAGCTTTGCGGTACCTACTAGGTACCAACAACCAGCTACCTGTACGGGTACGGGTACTTATTAAAACATTGTAGGTATTGCCTCGAGACCCCCAAGTCCCAAGTTCCAACACTGGCAACAGGCGAGCCGGCATGTCATGAAGATACCAGTACTTCATAGGTGTGCAGTGTACACACTGCACTGCATTTGTCCATGCCAGAAATTGCGAATTGAAAGCAGCCTGAGGCTAATAGAGGCGTCGCTGTGTGGCCGTTCGACCGACAGTTCCTGCGTGATTGGACCATCTGATCCGTTGATTGTACGGCGTGATTTGTTGAGGGTAAATGCATCATGCACAAGCAAGTTATAAGGATTTGGGTTGGGTTAGACCGGGTTTATTGAATCACGTGTCTCACATGGTCAACTTTAACCTACCCTATTGCGAATCTCAATTGTCGATCGCCAATTTGACCCGCGCGTGCCGGCGGCCGCGCTATCTCGACCACGTGGTTAAACGTGGAACTCACCTTTGAGCTTAACCCGTTCCGAACCCGCTGCGACTGCTGGGCACAGAAGCGAAGGGAGGGAAGGTGAACTTGAAGGTCGGCCGCCTACAGGGGCCAATGGCGGGCCACCTTAACCTGGTCGACCAGCTTCCAGCAGGGTTGCTCGAAAAGATCACCGATGCGGACTGGGCCACTGATGCGAGAAGGGAGCAGAGCTGCGGGCTGGTGGGAGAGTTCCTGAGCCGTCAGGCAGATTTCGCATCTCTAGTTGGCCAGCTCACGCAGGTGGAGGGGAGCCCCCTGGAAAAGTTTTGGGGTGGTGCTGAAGAATGGAGGAAGAGGGGCAATGAGGCGTTCAAAATTGGGGCGCGGGCGAAGGCGGTGGAGTGCTATACCAAGGTAAGAAGAATGAACGCAGCGAAGATGTGATGCGGGCAAAGAGTCCAAGGAGTGCCACCTGTACCACCTTTGTTGCCACTTGCTACTTTTATTGGAGAATGGATTATCATGCGATCATAGCAGTATTTGATTAGTTGGTGCCACCACCTTCTGTGGTGCAACCAGGAACCTTCTGCGCCGCCACCTAAGATGAAGGGAAATGCACAATTGTAATCTCATGATTGATCATCATAAGAGGTGCAGAAAAGGGCGCGTTCAAGCGTCCCTTCGGAATAGATATGGGTGTTTCAAGTTTTGTTGCCTGCCACCTTCAATGTGCTCATGTGGTGGGGGCCTTGAGCGCAGCTTCCATTCTGCTTTGAAGGAGTGCTGCCGAATGCAGTCGCCCGTGACGCTTGACCATGGCAATCTCTGATAGACCATGAACGCCCCCTTAAGCTGTCGCAGCCTGGCTATGCATCGAAACATGATTCAATTGCGGTAGTTCTCTCCTTTGAAGCCCTCCTTGACACCTCATGATTCAGCCCCCCTTCTCTGCAGGCGCTGCAGTTTGCCCCCAGCGATGGCGCCTCCGGCAGCGCCCCCCTGGCGCCTCTCTTCTCCAATCGGGCGGCCGCTCTGGAGAAACTGGGAGAGGCTGCCGCAGCACTTACTGACTGCGCTCGAGCCATCGAAGTGGATCCTCAGTTCAGCAAGGCATGGTATCGGAGGGGAAAAGCACGGGCTGCGCTGAAGGACCTCTCTGGAGCTGTAGGCGATCTTGAAACAGCGCTGGAGATTGAGAGTGGGGGATCTTCCTCGCCTGAGTTGAGGGGTGGTGGGGTAGGGGCGAAGGTCAAAAGCTTAGGGAAAGGGGTAGCGGACGCAAGAAGGGATACCTCCAAAAGCGGCGCAGAGGCGACAAAGGGGGTGGTAGCGTCAGGGAGCGCCAAGCAGATTGCAATTGAGCTGGAGAAAGTGCGGGCCTTGTTAGCAAGTGGGGAGCATCCAGCCAAATCAGATGACGCACAAGCAGCCACACGGCAGAAAAATCCGGAGAGAGGGAAAGTTGCCCATTTGGAAAGCCTCTCAGTATCCGAGTTTGAATTTCGACAGGGGCTCGAGCAGCCAACATCCTTGCTGGCAGGCGCAGAGGTGTTTCATCACTCAGGGAGTGGGCGGGGGCTGAGAGGTACAAGGTCATTCGCACCAGGGGATGTTGTGTTGGCTGAGGAGCCCTTTGCGGCTGTTCTGCTGAAAGAGCGGCGAGCGACGCACTGTCACCACTGCTTTAAGGCGCTTCCGCTTAACTCTCTTCCCTGCAGCGGGTGTGCGGGACCGCTGTTTTGTCGGGAGAGGTGCCGGGACGCTGCGCTTGAGAGAGCGTTGGTGGAAGACGTAACCTCGAAAGATACTGGAGAGGGGGAAGAGGAGGTTGAAAGGAGAAGCGCAGAACGGAGGTCGATTGAACCAGACAGAGTCGCAGACAGGTCGGTCAAAGAGGGCTCGAAGAGGGTGTCGGATTGTGAGAGGTCCGAAAGCGGGCAGGGTGCAGAAAGCAAGTGGAACGGAGAACATGCCCACGAGTGTGGGGGTGCCAGCTGGGCTGCAATTCTCCCCCTCGATGCAGTGCTTGCGGTGCGAGTGCTAGCCAGGCTTGGAAGGAAACAAGCTGCAGGATGCGACGGGCCAGTGGCTGATGACTTGGGTGCTTCAAAGGTAGGCCGATCAGCTTCCTCGTGAATCCTCCAATGGCAGTGTCAGTGCTAAGTGGCCATCTTCTAGAAGGATCTTGATCCAAGATGTACGTCTCGTTCCACATGTAAGCAATATCCAAATCTGCTTGCTATGTGGACGCCTCGTACATCTGAATCTTGTGAGCCTGGATTTTCCTGGTTTTACACCGGCTTCGAGGCGACATTCTAAAAAACCGTTTACATCCAGATGTCTGTGTGTCTCTGTTGTTAAGCTTCTTCTCTGCTTTTGTGGAAGGACTGGGTGTGATATGAAGCAGATTCTGGTGTCGTTGCCAGCTTCGAAAGCTTTTCCTTGGCTTTAGGCTTTTGCTTGGCGATTACGTTTGATTTTGACATCACCAGGGGCACATTTCAAGGACCCTCCCGTACAGGAGACAAGAACTTCCAGAATCTTGTTTCCTTTGGCCAATGACCAGCCTCTTTTTCTCCAGGTCTCCTCTTTGTGCCACCACCTCGACCGCGTCCCAACCTCCGAGCGGCCCACGCTGCTCGTGCTCGCCTGCACTGCCGCTCGGTGCGCCCAAGCCTCGGGGAATGACGTCACACCTGCAGACGTGCTGCTGACGATCGGCCGCCTCAGAGCGAACGTGATGGCGGTCAATGATGTCACCTGGACTGCTGGGCGCTCAGAAGAGCGGGCGGAGAGTCCGTTCCAAGGAGCGAATGGTGCAACGGAACGGGAAAGGGCAAAGACTGGTTCCGCAGGGAACCACACGGAAACGCTTCTGAGCGGGAAGAACGGGGAAGCAGAAGTTGGTCGGCATCCTGCGTTGAAAGACAAATCTAGAGATGGTTTTCTGCGGACAGAGGGGATGACGGAATCACAGTCGAAGGTTGATCCCAGTCTCGTTTTCGAGCAAGTACAGCTGGGCCAGGCGCTCTACCCGACCGCCAGTCTGCTTAACCACTCCTGTGACCCCAGCGCGGCAGTCTCGTTTGCGGGTGACCGGGTCTGTGTCAGGGCGGTGAAGCGGCTTCAGCCTGGGGAGGAGCTGACTCTGAGCTACGGGCCGCAGAAAGGGGAGACGCGGACCGCGGACCGCAGGAAGTGGCTCTGGGAGCGGTACGCGTTTGTGTGCAACTGCGGGGCGTGTGCAGGGGTGAGCATACTGTAGTTTGTCAAGTTTTCTCTGCGAAAGGTGCTTGAAGGTTGCGTCGGGGAATTTGTTGAGGGGCGCAGAGCCACACGTCTTTCTTTTTGCGGCCCCTCTTTGCCCCTTCCATTGAAAGTAGAACCCGGGCGGGGAAATGCTTCATTGTCTTGGAAGATACTTGAGGGGCACATCTGGTTTTTACCATATGTTCAGACCATGCATCCCATTCCAAAGGGATACTTGTTTCTAATGGCGAGCCGTTCAAGTCTTGCTTGCAATTGACCTCAGAGATGAGCGTTCGACGTGACAGAGCCGGTACCTTAACTTCATTCGGTCACTTTTGCCGCCATGCTCAGACAAACTCGCTTCCTGACCCCAGGATCAGACGTCGGACGTCCTCATGACCGGCCTCAAGTGTCCGCAATCCAAGTGCGGGGGTGTCGTGCCCCAGCATTCTGCCGTCGGAACCTTCCGCTTCCTGGTATCAGGAGATGCCCTCCAACCAGACGAAGACCGTGCCGCCACAAACGGTGCCCCATCTAGCCTTCCGTTGGTTCCTCCGCCAGAGACAGCGGTTACGGAGACGGAACTTGACACTTCCGGAAGGGTTCAGACCGAAACCCAGTCAGGTCAGGCGAGCGGTGTCGTTGATGCGAAAGAGGGGGTGTGCTCTGACTGCGATCTGGACCCCCCCGACGTGGTGTGCCGCGAGTGCGGCGGCCGCCTGCTGTGCTTGGAGTGCGATAGCCACGTGCATCAACTGAGGAGTAAGCGGAGAGGGGGCCACGTGCGGGAACGGATACGAAGCAAAGCGGGAAGCGGAGAGAAAAACTTCGTGGGCGGATCTGAGGGCTCGCGCGAAGCGAGTGAAGCAGCCGTAGACAGTGTGTCAGCGGAAGACAGCATAGGTAAGGATAGGAAGCAGACTGAGAGCGAGGCTTTGGGGGCCCAGATAGTGGCAAGAACTGCCAATTCGCCAGCGGAAAAAGAAAAAGTCAGCTCCATGAAGGTAGAGGACAGAAACAAAGAGCATGACCGGACTGACTGTGAAACTGATACCACCGACAGGTCGACTGGGGCTGGAAACGCCCTGCTGCCATCGCAGACCAGCGGGTCTCGAGAGGCGGTCCCCACAGCAGGCGGTTCTTCCAAAGCGACACAGCATACCAGCATTCAAAATAACCCAGTTCTAATTACGGAACCAGCAAGCAGCCCGATAGATAGTAACGATTTGAGTAAAGTAGAAAGGGGTCGCTGCGCTGCGTGCGGAACGGTGGTGGACGTGTCGGAGATTATAGCGCGAGTGGAAGCTGCCTGGGCTGCGGCAAAGGGCCGCATGCCGTACCTGGAAGCAGCAGAAGAAGCGCATGCAGTGGCCACGGGAGCGCTGCACCCGCTGAACAGGAAACTCGCGGAGGTAAGATTGCGGTTTGCTTAGAGTACATTGTCTGGTTCTAGCTTAAACGGTTTTTATTTGCTTGGTACCCTTCCTATGCTTGTATGAAAGCAGATTCTTCTTCATTCTTCACTGCAGGAAGGTTACCCCTGTCTCGTCAAAAACAAACAACTAAACATCAGTCGAACAAAATCAAAGACCTTATCTCCTCTACTGTGGTGTCCTCAACATGGAAGCTGCTTCCGGAAGACCTTTGCGGTCGGACCCGGTCTGCGTGTGAATCTTTCGCTGTCTCCGCAGCTTTGTAACGTCGCTCTCCGTGCCCTTGCAGTACGAGGACCACCTCGCGGAAGCGTGCGCCCAGGCGGGCCGCCAGGAAGACGCACGCCGCCACTGCCGCAGGTCTGTCCAGGTGAGATTCAGAATCTGCGCTTCGCTTCGTGACGGAAAATTTGGTTCCGTTGTGTGTCCGCCGTGCCATTGATGGACTGATGACCTTCTTGAACGCCATGCTTCTTTGCGAAGCGTGGTTGTAGTTTTCGGCTGACTCAGTCGGACGAATCAAGGGATTGGCGGCACAGATCCAGCAGAAGAGATGCCCTTTTTTCTTGAAGCTAACATTGACCAGCATTGCAGGCACCAGACACTCAGGCCTATGCGATCAAAGCAGCCATGGTCATTGGTTCCAAACAGGTCCCGGGTTAACTGAGAGCTCCAGATTAGTCAAGTTGATAAGGGCTCCTTGAAAAGCAATTACCACTGTGCTGCCCTTGTGGTGGTAGCAATCGCAGTTGAAGGCAGCGTCCAGATTTCTTACCGTTTTGCCTGCGCAGATTCTTGAGTATCACTACCCACGTGGCAGCCTCCCGCTGGCTCACGAGTTCGCGAAGCTGTCTTCAATAGCGAGGGCTGCAGCAGATGGCGACGAAGCCGCCCAGATGGCGCGGAAAGCGGAGGCTATCTTGAAAGCACACTACGGTTCGATTTAACGTCTTTGGATCCCGTCAGTCATGGACCCGCAGCCGTGCTCTGTCGTCAAAAGCGTTTCAGGCCCAGAGACTTCTGGACAAATTACATGGGAACGGCATCAATTGTGGCCGCGGCACCTTAAGGGCTGCCCATTCATGCCAACATACAGTAGTGCCGGCAATCATGGATAGATGTTACAGTCTGTACTCCTATCGATCCTTGAATCCAGTCAAGCGTTGCATGGTTTCCACCTTGGGAAGGAGAGAATAGCTTTTGTGTCCAATTCCGGAAAGAAAGGACGACGGTACGGATGAAAGCACAATCCGCATAAGTTCCAGAACTGTATGTAAGGGGCAAGCATGTGGCCGATCGAGGCTCACTTCGCCACTAATGTAACGGGATGTCTGATCAAGACCTGTTTCAAGTACTTGTGAGCATAGTACTGTCCTCACAAGTGTTGCTAAGCGCGGAGTCGAGAATGTGGTCCAATGCATGCAGTGCCTAACTAAGATACCGAAAGCCTTTAGACTATAGCGGCTGCATCTATTTCGTTTTAAGCTATAGAGCGCCATGAGGGAAGTTGGCAGTTTATATCAGCTGAAGAGCAGTGGCTCATACTTGTGAAATGGTTTATGTTGATGGTAACTGTAGTCTATTTACGCCCTTAGCCGCCATGGCCATGTGGAGCACGGTCTCCGGCAGACCCGGGACAGTTTGTTGACTCTGCCGCTTGCTAAGGGTGCAAGTCACATGTCCAAGAAACCAAGAAAGCAAGAGCTTCAAACCTACCAACGTAAAGTGACTATCCAAAACTGATTTGTATGCATCTTTTGTCTGGTGTGAACTACTGCAGAAACCTTATATTAGTTGTATGGCTGAATTGTGCGAGGTAAGAGAGACTAGGGCCTATTTGAGTCATGATGCCCTTGGTTGTAATTGATTTGCGAGTGTGTACAAGTGGGAGGGTGCCTTCGAGACGACAATCCTCCTTGTACTAACAGCTCGGTTCGTGCCGCCAGTGTATCGCATTTGCCTTTGTCAGGTTCCCAGCAAACAATTCACACAATGCACTAAGCCTTCAACGGAACATTGCATCTGCAATCGCCTCCATCTCCTTCCATTGCTCAGAGGTAACGCTGGTCGGGAATCCACATGATGTGCGCAGCACCTCGTCAACCATGGTGGAAGCCGCCAGCTCAAGGTTTGGATTGGCCAAACCGACCATCCACATCTGCTTGCGGAAAATAGAGACCGTCGCGGGTGTGACACGTACCCCCGTCTTCTCCTCAACTTGTACGCCCACACCGACTGACAGCTTCTCGAGGCGCGCAATCCGCAGCGAGCTGCACCTCCGGGTGGCACGCGGGAACGTGACGGGCTCCTCGCAGCCCTCTTCAACGGCCTCCCACTCATGCGCGCGCGAAGGAATGCCGGTCGCTGCTGCCAGGAGTGGAGCAATTTCGTGTGCGACAGCCTCCAGCAACGACCCCGGCGGCCCCGGCTTCTTGCCCGCGAGCAGCACCTGACGAAGCGCATCAGTGATGCCCAAGACTGAGTACCCCACCCTCCCCAACCGAATCAGCCTGTTGAAGCTCTCTGTCATGCTGATCTCCTCACTTGGCGAAAGACTTGAATGAAACCTGTGGAACACCTTGGGAAGGCAGTCCATGAGGGCAGGCATAAGTTTGCAGCTGAGGTCCTCATCGCACTTCCTGGTGTAACCTGTCGTCTCCCCCAAAATGACTATGGCGACGTCACCCTTCTGCTCGAACCCCACCACGAGAACCTCCTCTCTGCCCGTCCCTTGCAACTGCCCGTTGGCGAGCCTAAGCCTCGTTATCATCCTGATCAGCATCTCCGCGCGCAGAAGCCTTTGCTTCAGTCTTATTGTAGCCTTGCCCTCCGACTCAGCTCTCGCAGACCTTTGCTCGTCCATGGGAGCGAGAGAGAAGGACGTCCCGCGTGGCGCCGCCATTGTTCTGATCAAAGCAGATAGTTCCTCTGATAGTTCCTCCTTTGAAATGCTTTATGTTGATATTGCACGTGGCCTGTAAATCCTTGGTATATCATGTCTAGCCATGCCCAGACGTTGACAAAACATGTGATCAAGACCCTGATGTCAACGAGGTTGGAAGTGTTGATGCGGCAGTCACGCGTACGTAGTGAGGGGCGGCTGGCGGCGGTTTCAGCGGCCAGCACAATTAGTAAATTGATCTCGCGCTGGCCGGCAGTTCGCGCCCCGCCGCGCACAGGCCGCGCGGCCGCCGCCGGAGTCCGTGCCGCGGCCGCCTTGGCGCCTGCATGGCAGGGTTTTGCCTACCATTATCAGGGTCGTACCATTACCGCGTACCAACTAGAAAGGTGCATTTTCCTACATACCGTAGTCCCTGGGCCTGAGACGGAGACTCAGAGTCTGGACAGCATTCTCTGATTATCTCCTGGTCCGTACTAGTCTTTCAGATTCACTTCGGCGCATGGGGAGCGTGTCCTTCAATTGGTCGCAAAGGTGGATGCTTTGATGGCGGTGCTGAGTGTGCATCTGCAGCAGGCAACCTTTCCTCGATGTGATCTCCAGGGCGCAGAAAGAAAAACTTACTCTGCGTTAGAATCACTACCGGCAAAGTTAGGGTTTGGCACCCCTTCTTGCATTGCGGGGAGGCTCCGAATTCACCACTTGAGCAAGCATGAGAGGTTGAAAGGTCCAGAGATCGGTAAACGCAGTCTCTTGGGACCTCAGCAAAGGTCGAATGGTTTGCAAAGTCAAAGGGGCAACTCGACTTCTGCAGTTGGATTAAGTGCAGATTCTGGCGATGGCCAGGGTGGTAATACAGGGAACGGCCAGGGGGGCGGTGGGGGCAGAGGGGGACAACCCCCTTCTGGTGGTGGCCCTTCAGACGATGGCAGGAGAAGGTTTGACCTTGAAGAGTGTCTCTTGTACTCGGGGGCTGTGGTCGCTGTAACACTTGGCCTGTGGACCAGCCACCACCGGGAATGCAGGGCTGTTTTGCGGTTTCTGCGGTGGGCCTCAGGAATTCTGAGAAGAGAGCCTAAGTCTGCTGGCACGAGCAAAGATGACGGGGCAGAGGAGGGGGATGTTGCCAAAGTGGCGCTAGAGCAACTTGAAGGGGTGGTGCAATCAGCTCTCCAGCTTCTTTCCAGCCTAGATATCCGGGAACAGATCTTTGGCAGTACAGATTCTGAAGCATCCACCTCGGAAGAGGCTCCCTTCCCTCTCTCCGCGTTCGCTGCGCTGTCCCTCCCCTTCCCATTTGCCGCGCTTTCGCTTCCTTTCCTTTCCATCTTCCATCAAAGTCCTGTTGGTGAAGAAGAGGATCCGCCGAAAGTGACCAAAGTGTGGGAGGTCCAAGGAGACTCTTGGACACGATTGGTGCCTGGCGGTTCGGACGAAGACGAGTGGGTTCTGGACGGACACTTCAGCGGCCGTCCTGCAGAGAAGCCAAGTGATGACACAGCAAGTGCTTCAACCTCTGGGAAGGAGGAGGTTTTGAGCAGAGGCCGTCAACTGAAGGAGGGGGTCAGAGAAGCAGCCGACAGGTTCGTTGGTCGGCTGAAGTCAACGCTCTTGCCAGAGGGTTATCCGCACAGCGTTACAGAGGACTATGCGGAGTACTCAGGGTGGAGGCTTGGGCAGATTGTGTCGAGTCAGGTGAGACGTTTAGTCGCTGTTTTACTTTGGAAGGATCGTGACACCCTTGTACTGTCAGCCAGAGTCACTCACATTCTTGAATAGTGTTGTGCACATGATGCGGTTGAAGAGAATATGACTTACAGTGCGGAGAACCTGTTGATTGATGCTCTTCTTCAGGTGCTTCTTCTGTGCTCCTTCTGTGCTTCGCAAGGAAGAAAGAAAACAAGTTGCCCCATCTTCACTTTTTGCAGGTGAATGGCGTTCTGTGTACGCAGGCGCTCCTGTACGCTGTTGGACTGGGCAAAGGGGCCATCCCTACAGCAGCAGCAGTTAACTGGGTCCTCAAAGTGAGGCTTTTTATATTCTTGACTTGAGATGTTGAAGCCAAGTGGAAAGGGAGGCTTGACTTGTTCGACATACATGTTCTGGCGTGTTCCAAACAAAGGATTGACCGAGTATTACTAACTTTAATCTGGGCCTGAATTGAAGACTTCCGAGGACGCTCTACATACTGACTCCTCCCCTCGGTACATGCCCTTGTGAAAGCTGATTTGAAGTAGCCACCCTCTCGCCTATTGCAGGGTCTGTTATGGCCGCTTTGAAAGGCCCTCGACAAAACCTCGATAGTTAGTGGACCTTAATTTAGTAACCCCGCAATCTGCTATTGCCTTTCCCTGTAGGATGGCATCGGGTATCTGAGCAAGATTGCGTTTTCCAAGTACGGTCGTCACTTCGATGTCCACCCGAAGGGCTGGCGCCTCCTTTGCGACGCTGTCGAAGACCTCTCCTGCGGCCTCGAGCTCCTCACTCCCGCTTTCCCCAATCAGTTCCTCTACTTGGGAGCCGCCGCAAGTGAGGTCCTCCTTTCCCCAAGCTTTTGAAAAACCAGCGTATTCTTGTTAAGTGCTGCCTAGGGACAGCAACTCAATTGGCCGTTTGAAAGGTGCCGGCTTTGATTGACTTTTATTCTGCACAGGCTGGCTGTCCTGAATTGAGTGTGTCGCTGTTGGTTTGCTTGATACCTGATGCCCTAGTATGGGAATGATTGAAACGCTTCGCTTCTCTCTTAGACAACCCGGGAAGCCGTTTCTGAGGCTGCGTTTGGATCTTCTTCGTGAGCCAAGCGGTTGCGGTTTCGATATCCGAGCAGTTCACTAACTTGTCTCGAATACTCCTCAGGTGCCTTCCGTTCGGGCGCCGGGATGGGGCAGGCTGCGACCCGAAACTCCTTTTATGCCAGCTTCTCCAAGCAAGGCAATCTGGCCGAACTCGTCGCAAAGGTGAGCTGTGCGAGCAAGGCAGGCAAGCTAACGAAATTGTGTGAATCTGAGTGTAGAGCATTTGTGGTTAAAAGCAATGACCCGTATAAGTAGCTCGTGCTTTTCCATACCGAATCGGTAAGGGACTGCCGATTGCCAAGGCCTGTCGCGGCACCAGCTGGACTTGTGTAGATGCCAAGATAGATCCTGTTAAAGCGCTTGTAACGGACCACATGAGCCACACCTAGTCTTTGTGCAGCATTTAGTTCCTGAAACGGGTCTCAAAGACAGTTGACGCTTGAGAGACGTTTGAAGGCTTCGAACGAGTGTGCTTAAGCTGGTCACCCTATCGAAGGGAAGCATTCTTCCGGCAAGAGCTGCGCCTTCGTGCACGAATAAGTTGGAGAAACGACACAGATAATTCGCTCGAAAGCTAACCGCGCAGATTTGTTCATGCAGGCGGAGGCTCAGGGCATGTTTGCCAAGTCCCTCGGGATTCCGCTCGGCATTCTGGTGGCCGGAAGGGTCGGCCACACCGGCCCCGTCCTGGCGCTGACATACGCCGCAGTCACGCTCGCGCACCTGTGAGTCGTTGCTGCGCCTCTATCTGATTTGGAGGTTGTTCACCTTGTTCTGCCGCGAAAAGTACTCACGGGGACCTTATTTTTTGCGTTCTGCCCGGTTCGATACCTGATCTGATATGTTAGAAGTGGAGGGCATGTATAGTTCTGGGTCAAGAGGCCGCTTTAAAATGGCAATTGTTTGCTGGCCAGACAATATTTGCCGCCCCTGACCGATTCGCGCCTCACTTCCGGCAGGTTCTGCAACCTTCGCTCGTACCAAGCCGTCCAGCTACGCACGCTCAACCCAGATCGCGCCACTCTCGTGCTTGCTGAGGTGAGTCGCTAAGCTGTACCACAACGCAAATGCAGAAGGCTCTTGAGTGAAAAAGAAACGTGATGATAGACGGGAACGTGGAACCATGCGAAGTCTCCTGGCTGGTGTCTGCACTTAGTTTCTTCCAGAAGCATCTTTCACTCGAGCATTTGCTTTTGCTTCCAGCAGATCTTCTTCCGTCGCCGGTACGGATTCTTGTGGCTAGCTTGTCGCAAACGACCACCTTTGCGGAGCACATGAATGCAAACGATTTCTCAGCGGCCCAGGTTTGCATGTGTTACATCTCGGAAGCCGAAGCGTAAGGATTGGTTCAGGGGCGCGACCTGACAAGCTCGTTGTCTGCTTCGTGTTGCAGTTCGTCCGCTCTGGTCGTGTCCCCTCCATCAAGGCCGTCAATGCAGAGGACCCGCTCTTCCCCGTTGAGTCTATGCTGAACCTGCGAGCGCCTCTCAAAAAGGTGGGCATCTTTTTCGAGACGCTCCAAGCATCCGTACGTGGAAGGTTTGAATGCCTGAATAGACAGACTTTCTTGACACGGAACCGATTCACAACTTCGATCTTCTGGTTCAGAAACTCTGAAAATCTTGCTGCTGATTTGTCGACAGTGTTGGTCTTTCTGCCGCACCATCCTCTTCTATCAATACATGGCGGCAGAATACGGGTTGCAGGGTCCTTATCCGCTGAACAACGCTTAGAATTCGCTTTTGTGACGTGAACTTCCTACTTTTCTGCTGCAATCGGCCCTCAAGGACTTTTCGTCCGGATACAGTCCCAAGTTGGCAAAAGAAAACCCATGCTGTCACGTCCTCTACCCTCACTTGTCGATAACGCAACTTAGTTGTCAGGTCCTGAATGCTCTTCTCCTCCCAAACCGCATGCTATCGTGCATCCGGACTCAAGCCAGATGAGCTGTGTAACTTGTTTTTGCAGCTCACCGAAACCTTAGGCCAAGCTGCCCCCCCGGAGGAGCTGTCTGCTCCCGCCAAGGACCTGGCGCTGGGGCTGGCCGGCAGGATCGAGCTCGGCGCAGAGCTGCGGGCGGTGTGCAGTAAGGCGCAGGAGCTCGAGTCGCTGCGGCGCCTGTACAAAAAGGAAAAGTACATGCTCGCGCAGCAGGGAGACAAGCTCAAGGCAAGTAAAAGTTCTCTGCAAGACAGGCTCCATGCAGAATCCGGTGTACGTGGAGCAGAGGAGTTGTTGCTTTCCTTCGATGGCGGGTTCCTTTGCTTGCTTGAGCTTGTCCAAATTGGTACCGAGCTCGGTTAGTTTCTCGGATCCACCCAAAATGCATGGACAGTCTGTTTGTTAGTAGCCTTTGCCGCGCAAAAGCATCGCAGAGTATTTGGAGCAGAGACCGACACAAAACGTGTGTGCCCTCCGAGCGTCCAATCTGTTCCCACTTACAGTCCCGGTAACGGCGTCAACTATTTGCTCCGACTGCTGCAGGTGGTGTTGGAGAAGGGCGCTCGGCAGGAGGATATGCTGCGTGCGCTGACCCAGGCCGTTTTCTTGGAGACTAGTGGACAGCAGGTCACGAAAAGCAATCCCCTCGAGACGAGTTACAGAAATATGACACGGTCGTTCGACCAGTTGCAAAAGGAGATCAGAAAAGCGGGCTACATCGGTGAGCTGGTCGTGAGGCCTGGCGCCGCCAGGCTCGTAGCATGAAAACGTTAGCGTTCGGTGTGGGTGCCGATTCGGGAGCTGAGTATGTCTTTTAGCGCTGGAAAATCATTCTACTTATGTCAATATGTTTCCGTCGGGAGGACTCATTGTTTGCGTTGTAGAAGACGGTCCCCGCTCTTACGTGCGCGCAACATAAACCTTGGGATCTCGTCATTTCATTTGCACTTTTGCAGTTGAATGTTTTCGAATATGAGACAACGATGGTGCCTCATTCATCGAGGATTCGGAAAACATCTTCGGCCGGTTTGCTTCTTGTCCAGCATACCGGCCCCCGCTTGAGTGTGAATACATAGATTTCGTCACAAGATTTGCAGAGCTCCCGGGTTGGCGAGTCGATCAAACTATGCATGTACGCCGCACCTGGCCACTAGGTGCTACAGTAGCTGGGTCACTTTTGCCCATTCAAATGCCGGCCCCGCCGGCGGCTTAATGATCGCACAAGTGCATTCATCTTTACTAACCCACGTAATGTCATGTGCATAGGATTCAGTGCGCGATTAATCAGCCTGCAGACTGCAGCATGTGCAAGTGATCGTATGGGCGGCGCAGATAGGAAAAAGCTTGGCGCTGTCAAAGTTTGCAGTGCCAATGACGGGGTTGGATGTTGGCATGTATGTTTGCAAATAAGTTTGCGGCTTTGCGCAAATTTAATGCATGATGCATGTCACTTAAATATCCAATTCAGAATCATAATAGACAAGTGTAGGCGGTTCAACAAGCCAGAAGGTCACTGAGGCGGTAATAATTATAAAGCTGGACGGTGCAGTACACATGCATGCGCACGCTGCGCACGCGCTCATGCAGGTGCACGTTCGCGCTCGGCTGCATATAAGCAGGCTGCCGCCGTCACATGATGTTTAGCAAAGCTCTATACGATATATGAATTGGCGCGGGCTTGCTCTCTAAAATGGCTCTTTATTAGCCTCATGGCTGATCGGGGGTCATGCTGTATACGTACAGAGAACCACTACGCAGTCACGGCAAGAGGACCGGCAACTAATGTTCAACAGGACCGCCGCCTGCCAAAAGAATGCCGCCATGCAGTCAAGTAAAAGCTTCCAGCTCAATTTGTTGTTTATGTAGGACTTTAATTCGATGATCAGCAAGACACGACATGGCACGCGCACGACATGGTCATTCAAATCCAAAAAAGCGGCTAGGCTTGCAGGTCGTCCGCCGCTAGGCGCCTGTATCGTGACGTCATAACAGGTTTGGATCTGAGGGTGCCCCCAGCAGCGTAGCCTAGCCGTCCGATGCACAATCTGGACAGTCTGACGAGGCCGAATTTAGAAACTCGAATGCACTCTCAAGACTTCCACTTGTTCGCCTTGTCTCAGCCTGTGCGGGAAACTTAGGAGCCTGGATTCAGACCCATTCAGACCTTTTGACAGCAGAAAATCATCTTTGTCGCAGCTCGCGATCGCGAGAATCCACGAAGATTTCATTTTGCCACAGGCCAGGGCGTAGCATCTCTCCGCAAAGCAAATGTCTCAAAAGCGTTCTGAGATGAGACGGAAGGATATGGCTCCGCCAAAGGTGAACCTTTCAGGCGCTAATGCAGCACTCTCTAGCCTTGACCGCCTCCAAATGAAAATAAGACACGAATCCACTGTGTCCGGACAAACATCCCCCACCAAGAAGACTCCAACACTATCACCGAGCCGATCTGATCGAAGGACTTCCGTGTTGGGGAGAACGTCGAAGCAGCTGTTCGTTAACGAAAATGAGAGCTCTGGTCATCGTCCTGTACAAGCGTCATGGGAAACTCTTGCTGAAGAGCTGGACGAATTGGAAAGAGCTTGGGTGGGGAGTGCTGCCTGTGCAGCAGCTGGAGATGTTGTACAGCCAGATTCAAGTAGGTCGCTTTCGGAACCTTTGCCTCTTGCTAAGCTGAGAGGGGCCATGAAGCGTGGAGACTCTCGTACTCCGAAGTTGCAGCTTTCTAATAAATTGACAGACGATGAGCCAGAGCGCCAGCGGGATCTGATTGCAGAGAAGTTCAAGTCCAATGATCTCCTGACGCAGCTCGATGCCATTGAACGACTATCATCAACGGAAATCGCAGAACGTTTCGTGAGCTCCGCGCATGGACCTGACCCTGACGCTGGCATGAGCTTTGACAGACCGAACTCGCTTGAAAAGAAGACCCATTTTCAGCGAGGAGCGTCGTTCGAGGCGGCTCTATGCTCCCAGAAACGTTTTAAAGACGGTGTTGACATCAAGGAATCTACCACACTTTTCAATGGCAAAAAGCTGTCAAAAGGAAGCAAGAAATTGCAGATGCAAAGTCTGATCACGAAGGCAGCTCCTTTCGGTCGAGAGCACGTTCTCATGGTCCAACGCAGTCGAACAGCTAGTATTCGCAAGCCTACGACCGTTCCAGTGTCTCCAACTCTTTGGACAGGTGAGTTCATCTTGACAGGTTCATGAATTATGCTGGCTTCAGATTGTCTAATTCCAGAAAAGCCACGTTGATGCGCATGCACAGTGCGGACTTCTTTTCAGAGAAGCAGAAATTGTTCCGCTCAGACAAAGTCGACCTGACGACATGTTATGATTGTCACACAGCTGCAAGAGCAAGATCAAGAGCAGCCAACACTTTTGAGAAGGCCTTTGCAACGGATGGAAATTCCGCTTCAGCATGTTCACCGTCGCTTGGCAAGGCTCCAGCATCACACGAAGATCTTCGAGCGAAGGAAAGCCACACCTCCACAGGTATCGAGTTGGCAACTGACATTCAAAGCAGTAGCTTCTCCAGCACAGAGGAGTTTCAGCCTGATTCCTAAATCCTTCACCGCATGATCGCAATTGTCATCGGTAGTTTCATCAAGCGTTCATAAGCATCGAGCTTTTTGCAGAGATTGCGTTTTGATGACCGGTTGATATCGTCCGAAAAGATTATCTGACCAAACCTGTGTTTTTAATCGATGTACGGAACCTGAAGCGTGGCGGTTGCCTCAGTTGAGCACGTTTCGTGACATCGCAGATTACCCCAAGCTTTCAAGCGTCAACCTGAGATTGAAGATCAAGTCTCATTCCAAAATTGTTTCGCCGATCCGTGGGGGTGCCTTTGGCGGTGTGCTCAAAGAAGGCGTGCGACCTGCTTCATTGTCAACGCCTGTCCCGTCCAAGATGAAGAAGGCCACAGTATTTAGCGAAGGTAATGTGATCCCGGCTTTCTGAAAACTATCAAAAGCTCAACGATCTTCTGAACTATTCTCGCCAGGTGGACAGAGTAAGACGTATCACTCAAACAAGAAGTTAAGAAGGGATTCCAAGAGGTATGTTGACGGGCTTGTATCACAGTTGAGCCTCAAAGCACACCTGCTCATTTTAAGACTGTCCTGTCGGAAACTGCACAAGAGTTTTCAGGAAAGAGGGAGTGGATTGGCGCGTCGTCTGATAAACCATCCTAACGGTGACAAATGAATCTCGCGCTAAGCTCTTCAACTTCTAGGCAAATCGAGCTCACTATACTGTTTCACAGGGCGTGAGAAAGCTTCTCCAAGAGCAGTGTCTAATGAGACCACTCCGACTCACAAGCGCCTCCCGAGAACCAACCTCCGACCTGCCACAGGTATTTTAGCTGCTCATAAGTTCTTCCGCAATAAGACCTGGATAGGGGCAAGTGAAGCTCTGATTGCATATAGTCAACGACGCAAATCATCAGAGGATCTTTCTGGTGCGAAGACGCACTAGTCTTGATTGTTGCAAGGGAGTGCGAATTCTTTGAGAGATTTCTCATGCAGTACGGGTCTGCTTTTATCCTGCAGAAGAGCGAGCACGGACAGTCAGCTTCAAGACCGCAGCAGACCCTTCGCTCTGGCGCCGTTCATCTTTCGGGTGATGTGGCTAGGTTCTGAGTCGATGCTCGAACAGTCAAGCAAGCAGACCGTGCTTTAACATAGTCGATCGGTTTTATTGACGCATAGCAGATCGAAACTGCTTGTAAATCAAAAATTTGCGTAAGGCGATATAACTACGCGCCGGCTGGGCCAGCGAAACGTCCCTTTTTGGAAATAAGAAAGATCCGATCATTCTGATGGAGTTGTCGAAACATTTGTGCAGTGTATATGTCAATTGGAGTGCGAAAAGAAAACATGTGTGTTAACAATTTTGAGTCCACTATACCGTGTCTTAGTCTGCGTTTGAACATGTGCGCATGCGCCCGCACTACGATCAGGTAAATGGCAACGAGCATGGCAGCATATGCATCATGCAGTCACCATGCTATGCAGCACCGATGCAGTCGCTGTACAAGTGCCTCGATCGTGCCTGTAAGACGTGGCGACCGTCAATAGGAATCATTGGCCATACCCTCTTTCAGCTTCAGTCTCTAGTTCATGGCCATCATGCATGCAATATTTTGTAATGGAAAGGTTATTATCCTGCAGTGCGCTTGGATTATGCTCAGCACAAATTCGGATTACTCATTCTGCCAATGACCACGGGGACCGCTCTTCACTTGCATCAATAATGTGTTCAATCACTATCCTATTGACAAAGCACAACATCTACTTTGTCTACATTGCCACAAATGGACTATCAAATCGTACTGAATCAAATTTCCGAATAAGTTAGGAAACGAAGGCTATCCTAACCAGAATGAGCGGAGCCGATTTCGAGCAGAGAGATGAAGTCAAGCATCGAGTTCAAGCTCCCTCGCAAGCAGGCTCTAGTCACTAGCAATCCACGTGATAGAATTCTATGTTCCAATATTATGCCTCTGCCGCAACGCTTTCTATGGTTGACTGGGCCGTATTTCTCAAAATCGTCGAGTGCAAAAGTTGAGTCTACATTCCTGTCGCAGCATTATGATATCTAGGAAAACGCTGCAATGTAAAAGATGGTGCACATGTCAAAGAGAAGTTGTTGGAGGTTAAGGAAATCAGCAGAGGACAAATATTCTCTCCTCCTCGTGTGTTGCCTCAAGCTTTGCAACCGCCCCAGAGTTTGCACAGATCTGGATTCTGCACCAACAGATTGGCTCACCACCTTCAGCCGCCTTGCCGTACAAATCTTAAAGATTGCTTCTGGAGACAGAGCAGCACACAGCAAGCATACAGCGAGAGGCATTAGGCATCAAAATTGGTTAATCAAAACCTAGACTGTTACATCATTACTCTTGTGTATGCGCGTACTAAGACCCAACCTTGGCCCCGAATCTGAGCGCCAAAGCTTCGATGTGAGACAGGGGTGCACAACTCACCTTCTTAGAAGGACAGCGCCCACCCAAAGTGATCACGATTGGCAGCCCACTTCTTTTACAATTGGTTGCAAAATCTTCAATCATTGCTTTCCCGGACATTCTTGGTTCCTTCAACGTCTAGCAACGATGACAAATTTGAATCGGTCTTTCCACTCCTGGCTGCGCCGTGAGTTTTTATCCACCACCGCGCATGATGGTGTCTGAGATAGTTGTGGACGTAAGCGTGCTCGTTAAAGTGCATCAGCTTGCGCTGCTTTTCTACAAAAGCTGATTGTCCATCTTGACTCACTCGTTGTATGGCTTCTTGACTTGATGCATGAGCTTCCCCGTCTGATGCGATGTCAGGGGAGGGACCCTGAGGCGATTCTAGCTGCACACTACGCCTATCGTTCAAATTCTCAACATCAACAATCTCTTCAGGATGCTTCATCCTCTTCGACCGATCACTAGTTTCTACATCGCCACTTGTCCAGATCGCTGTGGTTTCAAAACGAATCTGATCAGGCTGCGGGACCATCACTTCTATACTTTTGACCCTTTTACTAGCTTCTGGTGGGCCAGCTTGATCCTCACGATCTGGACCTTTCTCCAGCAGACTTGAGGAAGGTTCACTGAAGGACCCCGCCGTTGATGTCACACGGTCTCCAATCTCATTGCCTGGTATATTGGAATGCGATTGTGGTGCGCACTGTCCTCTTGCGTCTACTTCAGTTACTGCCAGACTCATTCGTGACAGCTTATCTGACAATTCCTGCTCGGCCAGCTTCTTTTGCAGCAGTACAAGCTCCTGTCTGAGCTTCTCGTTCCTCGCTTCATGTCTCCTTCCTTCTTCTAGATGTTTCTGCCTCTCCACTGCCCAGCGCAGTTCTTCTCTTTGCCACCGCTGTTCCTCCCGCCGATTCAAGGCCTTCTGGTCTGACAAAATGGTCGCTTCGTTTCCATCTGGAAGCAGAGCAGACGCTCTCACTCCGGAAAGTACTCCAATACCTCTAGCGGAGGCGTGCATGTTCTGAGGCTGAGCAGCATTGCGTTCACTCAATCGCAACAAGCCCATTCTCCAAGCGATGTTCTCATAGTCTGGCCGCCTGAGACTGCTAGAGCAATATATGCTGCCAGTGATGCAAAATTCAGAAGGGAATGCTGCCACCAACGCCATCATGTGCGCCATCACCTTCAACTTCTCTTTGTGCTCAGCGAAGATTGCCTGCATTGGGGCTGAAATTTAAAATGGCAACGTGACACGTGTAGGTATCATGCATGCCCTGGTGAAAAGATGGTAATGGTTCTTAAACTTCTTTGCCCAGCCTGCAAACCGCCATTGAACGGCAGTCACCGGCGGCCGAGTTTACGGGTCCAATAACGGCGCCGGTTATCATCACGCGCAGCCGTTTTCCTCCACACAGACTGCACTCTATCGTTACCGCTCTGCTTCTTGAAAGTGAACTGTCGATATGTTGCCATTGAGTAAAAAGGGCGTCCTGGGACCCGTCACGCCTCGGCGACCACAAACCGCAAATATGGGCAAATTGGTCGCTGAGCCAATACTTCAAGATGCATTGTAGTCCGTCCGATGACATTTTCCCTCAGGACTCCTTTAAATACCTGAGGCTGAGGCTGCAGCCTCAGGTGACCTCGTGACTTTCTTGTTCTTCAGAGTGACAAAGCGTAGATCTGTCTTTCACACCTCTCTCGTGCTTGGCACTAGAGACGCCTGCACTTGTATCCATCGAGATTACCTAGCAATAAAAAGCCATGAATTCTCTCATGCTTCTCAGCCGCAGTATCGGTGGCCCCTGTTTTGAACGGGCATTGGGCAATTTAATGCGGTGTGCATGCGTTGCGCAAGATGCAAGATGCCAACAGCCGCAGGATGTGTGCGGAAAGCTGATTGGACCCGCATTCATGAGCTGGCTGGATCCTAGGTTCCAGGGGGCAGGAAATGCATCCTTGAAAGCTGTATATTCAGCAGGAGAGGCATCAGAAACTGTAGGAAGTGTTCATCACTTAGCAGCTGGACAGTCTAGGCAGCAGCAGGTTAATGTGGGGAAGACCAGCACATCTGGACAATATGGTCACCTTCAGGCTGCAAGATCAATGCAGGAGAGTCATGTATGGACATCTGCCGGCATCGGGTTCAGAAGGTTCTCAACCATTGGGGAAGTGGATATAAGAGAGAAGGTATGTCAGTGAAGCATCAAGCGTGGTCACTAAACGCGCGAAGGGCGCTGAAGATCACATACAGCTTTTGCCCCTGAGAACTACAAAAGTCAGAGCTCAAGGAAAGTCGCGCTTGACTTTGACCAGGAGGACCATTCGAAGTTTTGCCAACTGTATGGCAGCCATCAACGACCAGAGGCTGCTCAAAACGATCAGATTACTGCCTGTTCAGTGACGGATTATCTGAAGCAATTGATTGATGTCTGTCCCCTGGAGGTAGTGCACCAGACGATTTTCGGACGCGCCTTCATGCTCGGTTGTTGCGCTGCCAGCACAATGCATAAACGAACTGAGACTGAGGTGGATTCAGCATGGCACGTGAGAGAAGAGACATCAGACAGCATGAGCAGCTTTTGCTGTTATATGCGGGAACATCTTTTGCAGCTTGTCCTTGATTTTGACAAGTTCAGAGTAAGGCTGCGGCCAACATCAGACCCTCAGGATGTCTGGAGATGCACACCTATGGTTTCAATTGTGAGCTGCATCTTTCATTTGGGCTGATTTGCCGACACTCTTACTGACTGCCGCTGCGTCAACTCTTTATTCAGGTGGAGGACATCAATACCAAGTTTGCTGAGGCTCGGGAGGAGATTGATCTGGCTATGGAAGCCAAGGACACTGTCTTCTTCAATGAGGAAGCCCTGGGCGCCAAAAAGTTGGTGGGTTGCTGTACTTGGCTAGGCTTCAGTTGGATCAGGAAGGCATGTTTGCTTGAAACCAAAAGGGGTCACCTGCTTCAACTCTCATGAAAAATTCTACTGTGTTCTAGGCTGAGAGGGCTTCACAAATACTGCACTTTGACGCAATGCATTCAACAAGTAACCCCAGATTCTTCATCGGCGAAGTGGTCTGATAACCGGTCCTGTTATAAATGGATCTGCTCGCGCCACAAGACTGGACACATACGTCAGCTTCGTTTTGAGACTTCCCACTGCAACATCAAACAGAAGTGAAATCTTATCTTGGGTGTCTGTCCCCCGCCCTAATGCTCTATAAAAAGCAAGACAATTTGGAAGGCAGTATTCTTGCAGATTGACGGTTTGGTCAGTCCAGAAAAGCTGAGCAGTCCGAAGTAGAGGTTCTCCGATTGGGACCTGTTCCTTGCAGAGTAGTTGGGGCCCAGTCTATCTGCGGGACACTTTTGGTGAAGCTGTCGTCAAAACCCAATAGCAGTTTTCTGTGTCCTTCTCGTCCCTCTGCTTTTCCTAACCTTGTCTTCACACTTCTTTTTTCGACCTACGTCAAGGTGGCGGAGCATGGGTGTCAAATAGATACCGAGTGTAACTCCTCAGCTGGATAAACATAGTCTTGCTTGCATTGTATAGCAGTGATCTGGCTGTGAGTTTCGAACACAGAATGATGTCCGACTTATGACTCACATGACTCGTCTTCCCCTTCCTCAGGTCGAGGAAGTGCTGGAGGAGTTCAAAAGTCTCCTTGACCAGGTCGATGAGCGAAGACGAGGGGAGCTCCAAAGATCGATGGGAATGAAGATGGAACAACTGAAAGCAGAGGCCGCTCAGTTGGACGAGGCTTCTAGTTAAGTCTGCCGTCTGAACACAGTCTCGTTCATCGGGCAAGTATGATTGTCCATTCACTCAAAGCGGAACTTAGCGCAGAAAAACTAGCAACTTAAGCAAGTACAGCACGATTCCTGTACCCAATAAAGCTAACACTGGGAAGCTCAAGTAAGACTCGTATCGCAGGACAATTGTGAGCAAGCTCACCGTGCCTGCCGGCCAGATTCAGTACACGAGTGACCTAATCGAAAACACAATTTATGCAGCCGGATACAACGTGCCTATGTTTCATAGAAATTGGCTAAAACTCGAGAGATATTAGTTCAGAGTAGCTTGTAGCACTAAGCGTATTCTGAAAGCCGGCTCACCCCGCGGAGCCATGCAATCAATATATTCCATGTGCAAAAACGCGCCGGTGGTCCGCCACCAGACCCAAGCGGTCCGGCCATGGCTCGTACAATGTTTCATGATTACGCACTGGCTGTAAAGTTGATTTTCGACGCTTTCGCAAGATGCCTTGCAACATGTGTCTGCCAGAATGGTCGTCCTGTCTCTCACTGGATGCTATCGTACCAGAGGTTTCGTTACTTGTCCGGCTAGGAACCCGTTCGTGTATGCAGCATTCTTGAACAACGTCTGCAAAAGAGCACAGCATATTAAGCGCCTTCATCATTTCGTACGCACTACACAGAAGGAAGTGAGGTCCCCGATATACTTGCTTAGTTGCCCCTTTTTACCGATTCAAAAGCCCGGATAGAGTCGTAGATGCAGCAAACGGGATCTGGTAGAGTGACTGGCACAGCAGGCTCCTCAAATCAATGGTCGACAACCGAAAGGGCTCTGAATGCACACTCCAAATGCGCACTGACTACTCCGACAAAGCTTCCTTTCTTCTGTAGAGGCCTTCTAAAACACGTCATGCAACTAACTTGGTCGAACACCAATCCAATGGAAGCATGCACAGTGCACAGAGCGATCCGCTAGCAATCGAGAAAGAGCAGGAATCTGGATGTTTTGCCGCATCGTGAGTCAATAATATCTCGTGGAAGAACGACAAGCAATTTCGTGAGTTCCCGAGTTGTCTCACCAGGTGGCTTTGCAGTTCGATCCGCAACGTCTTCATGCTAGGATCCTCCGCTGTCTGCCCCTCGCTGGCGTCCGTTTTCAGTGTGGCCGTGATCGTCTCAAGCATCCTATCAAGAGCTGCAAAAAGCACGCCAAAGTCTCAGCGAAAACCTCAAAGTGCTCGTAATGAAAAGGCTGCGATGAAAAGCCAGGTTTGACGTAAAACCGCGTTGCAAAGAGCCAATTGCACTCGGTCGTCGGCAGTTTAGGAACGACCCGGTAAATATCGCATGGCTCCTTTGCACCTGGGAAGCCCTGCTCTTGACAAAAGGAAGGTGTGTTTTTATTCCGCTGGATTAGTCTCCTTTCTCCTCTTTCTACGGCACTTGCAATCTGTCAGATACACCTCTTGCAAGCTCAACTGCTAGCTCTATCACCAAATGCAATTATTCTTGAGTGGCCAGATATTACGCAACCACTGTACAGATAGTCGCGTCAAGAGGTACGACTTTCCACACCGAAGATCTCAATTACCCCGAACAACAACAAATATACGCAAGGACTTCGTCGACACTTACTTGCCGTCACGTTGTCCCCTGCTGGCGCCTTCGTCACAGGCCCTGTCGACGTTGGCCCGTTCGCTTTCTTCCCCTTGGCCGCAGGCTTCGACTTTGGTACCGGGGGCCCTGCCAGCGCACTTTCCGACCCCCCCGTTTTTGCAGAAATGGCTTCCTCGTCCCCTGCTGGCTTTGATGACTTTTCTGAAGGGACTGGTTCTAAAGCGTACTGCGCTAAGTCTGCTCCGTCCTTTCCCAACACCAGCTCGGCTTCTAGGTCGACATAGACGGGCTCGCGCCCTAGAGACCGCAGGAACTTGTCGAAGTCGAGAGGGGCAATACCTGCAGAAAGAGCGACAGCAGGATTTCGAAGCTGAAAGGATCTTCGCATCTGTAAATAATAATTGCTGGCAACCCCGATATTCGTATACACTGTCCACAATTCCAATTCTTTAGCGATGAAGCATTGTCGCCGTCAACGAAGACTTCTCCGATAACTTTTCTCGGCGCGCCGAGGGTATCTGTTGCCAGAGATTTTCGTCGATATTGAGGCACCACGGCGCCGTGCGACCTGCTCATGTTTACGCCTTGTGATCCCTTATCTGGCGACGGACAGCACTGTCAAACAATGTGCCAAGGATCCTTGTGTCTGACGGAGATGGCAAACTTTTGCGAGGAACCAATTGGACGCCGCCAGAGTCCTGACACCGCACGAGATGACACTTTCACCGGACTGAAGTCAAATTCGAATGACCATCCCAGTCCCAGTAGTGCTTTCAAACAACTACGATCATGCAAAACTTCTCAAGAGGCGTAACTTTTCTTCGAAGACAGGCTGCATCAACATCGATTCAATAACTTGAAAGTGGAGCCATGGTCAGTTGATTTTGACAAAGGGACAAATCAAATGCGTCATCCTTCTTCAACGACTATGTAATGGACATGTTATCCCTCCTGCCTTCCAAGTGGGGTAAACTTACCTGTGGTTGCGTTGTTCGTGAATGGATGGTGGTAGACTTTGGGTTTACTCTGCAGCTTTTTGTCCAGAAGTAAGGCCACAGGCTTTGCGGTCTCGTTGAATACAGCAAACGGAGTAGCAGAGCCAAGCGGTACCTGCACAAGTATTGTGTGCACTTAGGTTAAGCTCCAAGCCTGTTTACCGGTTTGTAGTAACCTCTTTAGCTGCTATCAGGAGTGAAGGCTTTCTTATGCAGATTTTCAGAGCTAGACAAGCATTCACACATCCTGTGAAAATTCATTCGTCAATCTTCCATAGGTGCTTTGAAAGTTACGCCCCTGGATTGCCACCAGACACAACGAGGCAGACACACCGAGTCAGTGAGATCTGCTCGCTCCTCTTAGTGAAGCATCAAAGTTCAAACTCCATTGTCAGGCGTGATTAGATAATACTCTATAGCAATCTTTGCTTACCTGCAGCACGGCCCGCAAGGTCTCCTCTGGCGCAAAGCGAATGCCGCTCTTCCCCACCCCCAGCCGCAGCGCAATTTTCTTCATGTCCACAGTGGTGGACACGAGCGCACTGATCAGGTACAGCCGGTCCTTCTTGTCCTTCAGAAACAGGTTCTTGCTCACGGCGTCCTGAATGTCCTTGCGTTCCTTGAAGTGCTCCGCCTGCATGGGAGCATGTTGCGTTCATTTCAGCAATGGCCTCTCCCAGCTTTGACTGATTCTCTGAGAGGCTGAGAGGTGGAAGCGAGCCCACGAATGTGGCGGAACTGCAAGACAGTGCGTGCGTAGAGGCGACCAGTCTGTAAATGCTATGTGACCAGCCAGAACTCACAACGGCGAGCAGCGCTTCCCCCTGACGATTAAAGAGCACTTTGCGTCACTTGACATCCTCACATAGTCCAAAGCTAGAAATTGCTGACATGGAAGTCAGCCACGCGAACCAACTAACGAGCATGGGCAGCAAAATGCAATTTTTTGACCGAAACAGCTCGACTCTGGCAAGAGCCAATTGTTAGCACCTCCACTGCAAGGTGAAGTCTTCTGAAAGCAGCGGTCTTGACGGGGAGCTGTGGTCACCTGTTCAGAAATCAATTCACACCTACATACATCTTCTTAATGTGAGAGTCCCCTAAAATGCAGGCTTGTGATCCCTCATTACAAGGCTGGGCAATCCATCAATCTTACCTGCGCTTCTACGGTCATGACTGGAGGGTGTTCATGGTTCTCAGTATCTATCCCTTGCGCCTGCATTTGAAGCACGATAAGGTGTCAAGACCTAGTCCATTGGCAGTAATAGAAGCACAAAGCCTGTTTTCAAACCGCTGGAATGAAAGTGATGAATTATGCTGCACCAATTGCAGGGCACATACTTCAATCTCGTCAGTCTCAGCATGTGCTGCCTTACCGCCAAGTAAGATAGCAGCTTCTCCTTGGCGGCCTGAGCAGCTTCCAGAGTCGTCATGCTGGCAGTTCCAGTAGCAGGAGTGGTGGCCCCTGCCGAACCGTGGGCTCAAAGAATTGCAATCTGAAGCAACCGCGAAAGAAAGCCGTCGTACACGTCTCTTGCCTCTGATACTTGTTGGGCGCAGCTTTTGAGAGAGCGAAGGGAGAAGGTTGTTTCAAAATCTGGCGCAATTTTGCGCCGCAAGCTTGCTGGTCAAAACAACGATGAAGAAGTGGCTCTGTCAAGAAGCTCTGCGCCACTTCAATGTGCATCCTAATCCTTCAAGTTCACCTTTGCTGGGTCGTCCAAAGTGACGTCTCTTCTGCAAGGCAGGCAACGGTGAGAAGAGTGAGCTGCTTCCGAAACTTACGGAAAGCGACCACCGCGCAGGGTTCGCTTGAAGTTCTAGGGGGTCTCAAAGTTTCGGTAATGCTTCGGAGCAGGCCGTCAACGGACGCCCGTCATCTCTGCTCATGAAACATGTCGTAGGCAAACCCTAATGCGACCGCTCACCACCGCTCAGACTTCGCATTCGCGCTAGCTTACATTGGAAGGGCGCCCAGTTGGAAGCTGAGCGGTCCATTGAAATTGAATTTTCAATAAAGATCAGCGATAAGATTAGCTTACAATGGATTCCACCGCTTTTCAGGGGTATCGTCCGACCTGCATCTTTTCTCCTTCACAATGTCGGCGCTTCGTTGAAAGCAATGTCTGCCAAGAAAGTTGCAGCATGTTGCATGCTCTGAAGTTCGGCTACAGAAGAATTTGCTGGCAAGAACCAGCTGGTATTAAGAGGGGCAGCTTTCAAAGGCGTCGAAGCTGGCAAACAGGACTTTTTCTCCAACAAAGCAAGCTCGCTCGTTGCAGCTTCCTCAAGTCCACACCCGAGGACTTGGGCCATATAGCAGACAGTTCACAGCGCCCAGAAAGTCTACAAAAATTTGGCGCTGGGCTTGGATCGTGGGAGAGTTTGACGTGGCGCCTGGTGGCGCTGTGGGGCTCGGGAGCCATTCTTGGGCCGCTTCTCGACGGCCGTCACTCCACCCACAATGTTCTGCATTATGAAAACCCAACGGTAAGCTGCGGCGAGCTTGCACTTTTTATGGATGTCTCGACTGCTTGAGATCCTATCTTGCAGCGCATTTGCGATTGGTCCGCATGCACTTGGGCTGTATCAATGAGAGGGAAGCCTGAAAGACTACTAGCTTGATGGTGCCCTCTCAGAACTTACAGCCTGGTTCATAACAGCAACTCGTTCTCCTTACTGACGCTCTAGATTGACTGCACCTCGGATATGCTGGTGGTCATGTTTAAGAATGTTAGTATGACTGTATCTCAAACAAGCCGGTGGCTGGCCGTGTTCAAGAATGTTGATGTGGTTCTGGTCGTCCCGTTGCTTGGGCATCTGCAGCAATCAAAGTCAAGACTGGCCATTCATAAAACGAAAGAGACTACTCACAGTTCATATGATCCAGGTTATCCGCCTGGGCAGCTTCTTCCAACTGGAAACCTGCTGGTGGGTGCCCCTGCTCTTCGGAGGCGCTGCGGTCATCCTGGGCATTGGGCATCCCCTACTAGACTCCATCGATCGCAAATCAGAAGCGCTTTCACAGCTTGAAGCTACATCACAACTAGCGGGTCTGGAAGGAGGAGCGCCCATTAGAAGTTTTCTAAGAAAGGAGCCTACGGGCGGCTATGCTCCCTCCTGGTCCTTTGTCTTGATCAGCATCGCCCTCTTTGCGATGCAATACGATCTGAGCGGTGTCTTAGCGGAAAAGGCTAGCAGCGGCGAGCTCTCGTGGACTGCGGTGAATCTAGCCCTGGCGGGGACTGCAATTGCTCATTGGGCCACCTTTGACCGAACTAGAAGCGGCCTTTTTTGGGCTGCGCTGACGGCGACAGTGGGCCCGCTCGTGGAGATTGGTCTGATCGAGGGCCTGCACTTGTACCACTACACGCATCCCGACGTCTTTGGCATCCCGCTCTGGATCCCGTGAGTAGCTCGACTCCCCACTTGACAGACTCTAATTTGTCCAAGCGACTGCCTATTTCTGTGCCTTTGCTCAGAGCACTTCCGTTTGAATCATGAAATATTTCCTACTACTTAGAGATCGAAGGTCCTTTGACTGGGAATGACTTCTGGAGCTTCGAATCTTGTGCAATCGAAGAGTTTCTGTCATAAGCCTTCACCCTGATCCAATCAACATTTCCGATTTCAGGTGGGTCTACTGGTGCGGGGCTCCTGCCGTTGGAAACCTCGGCCGATGCATACAAGCCGGCCTCGACTGACAAGGTTCACCCCAAGCTTCTGTCTCTAAGTATAGCGTTCTGCTTAGGTCTTCAGGCAGAACTGTGCCTTTGAGAATGAGGACGAACGAGTTGCGTAATGACTAAGAGTTTGCAGAACAAATCGACTTGATCGCAGGATTTGTAAGAGAGTCGCGCTCGTGCAGTTGTCCCGCAGGCCAAATCATATTTTTGACCGATAAGATCCTAGTCTGTCTCAAGTGCACGTTACAGCAGAGATTTAAGGCCCTAGAAACCAATACTTGTGTGGTCTTCTGGAAGAGTCTTACAACTGCATCTCGATAAGCGTCGGACCGTATCATTCTGATCATATATAGCATTTGCGTTCGTGCAAGCACAAGAAACTCAGTCCTGATTCGGAAGCTAGCACAAGTCTAAAAACGCCAAACTGTTCTACGTTCATGCTTGAAGTTTTTCATATCTATTCCATCAATTCATCATTCAGGATGCGGTCCTGTGGGATTGATTCCTCCCATGTATCTGTGGGCATTGATGATGTCACCCAGCCCTCTTCTTTCTGACTGAGGTGCGCTGATAGATGCAGCAACGTATTTGTCGTGCGGCGTGCATGTCGAGCGATTGCAGTTGCGCACGATTGACACTATGAGATTTTTCTAAAATCGAAAGCCGACCGGCGAGACGGGCGCGTGGTCTTTGCGCCTGATGGCGTAATCATGCACATGTACAGAATTTGAGAGCAACATTCTGCCAACAGTCGTGTCTCAATCGAGTTATGTTTTGTGTTGTGCGTACTAAATGGCTTCTCTTATGAGGAGGTATCCGAAGATTGCGGCTCCATGTATATCGCAAGCAAGCATGGCATGATGGCCAAAGACTGTGTCCGATCGATAAACGTCTGCTGCAACAAATCATCATGCACCATCGCATGATGAAGCTTCATGTACAAGGCTTTGACAATCACGGGCAAGACCAGAAAGTTCCATCATGGAATCTGGACACGATGTAGCAATCAGAATCTTGTTAGCAACTTAGACACATTGCGATTCCAGACATTCTCTTGACGCGCAGTAACAAAGGCCTTTATGTCCGATCAGAAGTTGTTCGACTTTTGAGATCCCTGCAGCTAAAAATTAGAACCTCGCAACTAAAAATAGTCTTACAGAGGAGCGTTACATCCAAATCACTAGCAGCCCTGATCTGAACTTTTATTCAGGAACCTAAGCGAGTCCTTTTTCCGGGCTGACGGTGCACGGCCTGCAGTAAAGAGAGCTACGAAGCGTATAAAAAGTTCCAGGAGATCGATCTGCAAAAGCATGCGATAGCAAGGGTTTCATCACGAGGGCGAATAGATGAGTAACAGTTGTGTGTGATCAGTTCGTTGGCACAAGATCAGAGTTGAAATCAGGGGCTTGCACGTTTTCTGAAGAGGTTGCTCAACACATGGAAGAACCGGATGAAACGAAACAGAAAATGTTCAGGGATTTCGTTTTTTCTTTTGTTTTCGTTTTTTAAGTTTTTGTGGGTCATTTTTCTTGCGGCTGATGTCAGTTCGTCGATCTGCATAAGTACTCGAGAGAAGTACTTGAGAGAAGAGAAAACAGTGGTTCAGCCTTGAGACCCTTCCCGATCTCAAGCATCCATCCTGCAATATGTGCCAGACACAAGTAAAGTGGTAAGCTTTCTGGTTAACAAAAAGAATTCAGTCAGAATCAGAGATTGCCCCTCGACGGCTCGTCGGCAGCTTAATCATCTCGAGGGTCGCGTCGAGCGGGCCCAGGTTTTGACAGTCCTGCGGAGAGGAGACGACAGGCACGAAGGGGGGCGTCAGCTCTCTTCTCTCGAGGGCCCCCCAGTCGAAGCCGTGGAACCAGGGGTGGTCCCGGATCTCCTGCAGGCCCTTCTCGGCACCGATCCTGCGGTCGGGATCCTTCTCGAGCAACCGGGTGAGGAGGTCAGTAAGGTCAGGGGAGAGGTTATAAGTGGGGATAGAGACGGGTTTGGGGCCCCTGAGCGCAGCGAGGAGCTGCTTCCTGTCTTCTGAGTGGTCGTAGGGGTAGCTCCCGGTGATCACCTTCATCAGCACTGCACCGAGAGACCAGACGTCAGCGGTGAAGGTGTAACCAAACTGCAGGCTCTTCGCGACCTCGGGGGCCATCGTACTGAGAGTGCCTGCAGAACCCCGGGCAACGCCGTGGTGGTTAGTCTTAACCAAGAGAGAGTTATCGATGAGTGTCGCATAACCGAGGTGATCCAACATGAAGTTGGCGGTCTTGATGTCCCGGTGCATGTGCCTCGTGCTGTGAATGTGGCTCACTGCAAGCACGAGACATGCGAGATAAAACCGGGCGTCAGACTCAGAGAGGACGCGCGCGCGCGCCACGTGGCTGCTCGGAAGGCCGATCCTGTTCAAGAGAGTCGTGACAGAGCCTCCCGGAAGAAACTCCTGGAGGAAGAAAGTGGTGCGACCGTGACGTAAGGTACGAATGTGGCGGCAGATAAAGGGGCGAGCGTTAGAGGTCATGAACTCAGGGAAAGTCTCGGAATCGAAGGGAACGGGTTTAGTCTGCGTGATGAGGTCAGCCATGAGACCCTCTTTCTGGGGGCAGTAGTTGGGGCTCGCCTGGTGGTCCACCTGCTTTAGCACAAAGAAGCGGTCAGAGGGAAGGTGCTTAACCAAAGCGACAGCACCAAAGGAACCCCTCCCGAGCATCCTGACGACCTCAAAATCTGCGAGGTCTAAGTCGTCGAGGAGAGAGAGGCGGTCAGAGAGGGGAGCGGCGAAAATGTCAGCGAGAACGAGCTCTGCCACAGCCTCTGCAGAGATGAAGTAAACGATGACGTCAGATTCTGCGACGAACGCAGAACGAGACGGCTCCAAACCCCCGAAACCCTGTCCTGCGGTCAAGTCAAAGTCGGAGGGCACGATCAGAGGGTTATCGACCGAGAGGTTAAGCACAGAACCCTGAGCCAGGACAAAGACGCCAGTGCCTCCGCTGGGGCAGATGACGTCACCGGATGAAAAGGAGCGAATGCTAAAAGAGCCGATGATCGATTCCAGGGTGTTAAGATCCAGTGTATGCAGGGAAGGGACGGCTGAAAGGAGGGCTCTGCGGAGGGCAGTCTGGTCGAGAGGTGACGTCAGCATCTGAGGGAAAACGTCAGCAAAGTCAGGCACACCCTGGAAAGATACATCCGTGTCAAAGCTGGTTGTGCTGTCCTGAAAGTCGATGTAAGAGGAGGGAGTAGGAGGTGAGGTGACGTCAGCAGTGGAGCAATCAGGAAGTGCAAACTCAGGGATGGTCACCGGCTGAAGAAGAGGTGTGAGAGCGGAAGTAATAGGGCGGGCTATAGGCCTCAAGGAAGAGGGGTGGACAGCAGGGGAGTCACACAAAATGTTAGCAAGTCCCCTGTTGCTCAAGTACAAAGCAGCAGGGACACGCGGAGCACCTTGAGTGGCCCTCCTACTGAAGGGACGGGACAGAGTCGAGAAGCCAGCACACGCTACAGATCCTACCGCTGAAAAAACAGCGCTGAAAGCCATTCTCTGAAAGACCCTCGCCCTTTAAAACGGAAGATGCTCTGAGAAAATTCTCAGATGTAGACCAAAGTGAAAAGGATTATACTGGGACCTTCGTGAGAGAGTGTACGCTGTGTAAAGAGAATGTGAAGCAAAGCTGAACTTTGCTTCTATTTTCTCTTTAGTCGTTCTTGAATTTCTTCTGCTCCTTCTTGTTTCCTGTAAGAGTAAGATATTCAAAGAGAAGAGAGTCGTTCCGTATCTCACTAAAAGAGAGAATAGATAGCAGAAAGGAGGAAGAACTGACTCTGTTTTTACGTGTTTTCATTTTTGTTCTGTTTTTGTTTCGTTTTGTCTTCTTTTTTCCCTTTATTACCCTTTTGAAAAAGTGATTTTCTACCTCTGTTCTAAACAAGCAACAGCTTAGCAAACAAGAACTTCAGACAAACACAAGAAGGGACCCAAAGAACGAAACAACAGCGCAAGATTGTCAGCAAGGTTCAGTTGCTTCTCCTTTTCTTTTGATCTCCCTTGCTTCTGACTCTCTTCGGATTCGCTCAACTCCTTGGTCGCCTGCAGAATGCTCTCTGAGAATCTTCAGCAGCAGAAGAAAGGGCTTGTCTTGAGTCTGTCAGAATTCCAACACTTCGCTCTTTTCTCTCTCTCTCTCTCTCCCTCTTTTTCTCTCTCTCTCTCTGTCTCTCTCTCGCGCTCTCTCTTTCGGCCCTCTCGACCTGCAGAAAGGAAGTCGCTTCTCTTTATCTTGATCGCCTGCAAGCAGTCGCCTCCTGACAGCCTGGAGCGCTCCACAGAAACGCCTCGATCTGCAATCAGAAGAAGATGAGAAGTGACAACTTTCTCTCGGATTTGAATTCGCTTGTATCTGCATCAATCTATAAGCTATTGAGATTAGGATTGGGGCACCGGCCTGCTGACTTGGCGAAGGAATGTCCAGATTTTGAATCAGAACCTTTGAAATGTCCATGTGGCTAGGGCCCAAGACTCGATGCGCTCCACGTGTGCTTCCGTTGGATTGCGGCCGCCTGGCCCCACCTAATCAGGGTTTAAGAACGTCTGGTGCCGCGGGCGGCGCGCGCAGGCTTTGCGGCGGACGCGGGGCCGGCGAGGCCGCGGCCGGGCTTCCTGTAACGAAGACGCGGCCGCTCCCAGCGTGTAGCTTATCGCTCAGTGAGGCGGTGGCGGCCGCGCCGCCCACGGTTCGCCTAGTCCAACGCGGCCGCACCCGGCCACTGCGCTCGTCACGTCATGATGCGGCCGCCGCCTGCCTGTCCGCTCGAGCCCTAGCCTAGCCTGTCCGAGATATTGAGGCAGCAGGGAGGCAGCCATGCAATCCTCGGCCGCTCATGGGCTTGCCAAGTTAGCCCCCCAAAGGGTGGGCGCCGGCCTGCCCACGCCTAGCTGAAGGGACGGGTTGGAGGTCGCCTCTCAAAACGCACAGGAGTACGTTACAAACGGTGGCCTGCTTGACGCCTGGTCAACGGTAGAATCATCCTCCTGGGAACGGTGAAGGGGTGGCTAAATGGTTCCCAACAGAAATCTGATTGGAGCGGGCTGTTGGAGGGACTCTCGGGATCAAATTGAAGAAACCAGCCAAGATTTCGCCAGACGCTCTACTCAGACACGTCGCGACTTTTTACCTTACCCGGTCAAATGCTCGCGCTTGGTCGCTGAAGACTCTCAGTTTCGCCTCTCATGCATTTTCGCAACAACTTCCTTCGTCTGAGCCACAAACGCAAGGAGCAATGATTTGCGTCCTTGTTATACTTCTGGTGGCTTTTCGAAAAGTAACGCCCGACATTCTACTTGGACTATAGCTGGCTTGTTTAAAGCTTACGTGTCTAGCAAGACCAGTGGTTGTGACGTGACAGGGGTTTAGGAAGGTGCACTCTCGTGCGAGAATCAGGCTGGAGGCTGGAGGCATGCTCCCGCCTGCCAGTATGATTTACCAAAAGGTTACAAGAACGCGCATGCACACGTTGTTTCACGGCGCGCCGTTCATGCAGGTGAAATGTTCTTCTCTTACGCTATTTCTTGTCAAAGGTCTCGATTGCGGTCATCTGCGGCAGTGACGGCGTTACCGGTATCTTCGAACGTACAAGAGGCGCGCGGCGAACCGCCGCAAAGGGCCCCACCAGAGCCAGCACAAGCAAGCCGGAGGGAGCAAAGTAGCCTCTCGCTAGCACCGGTAGGTTTAGGCTGCTAATCAGATATATTACAGGGACAATCAACCGTGGTTTCACCTTTCCAAAAGGCTGTCACCGCCCAACCACTTCCTAGCCAGACTACACTCAGCCATAAAAATCCATGCATAATATCATAAATCACTGTGGCTCGCCGTCGTGCAAACAACATGGCCATTAGCTTCTCTGATCGTTCCCCCATCTGTATATAAGGGTAATTTCTCACCTTCGAAGTTCGATATTCGATTACCAGATTTGACTACTAGCAAATAAGGACGATCAATCGCCAGACCGACACGATCGGGTGGATCGAAGATTACGGCCTCGGAATCATCCCTGCCAACTCAGTTGTCACATCTACTAAACTCGTCACCGTATAACAGAAGTTGCTGAGTAAAATCGTCCCCTCCGTGCACGGTCGCGGGGGTTTCAAGAATAGCAATGCACTCTGCATCTGCAGTGCCGCGCCCAAAGGGCCAAGAAAAATCAGGCCGGCGCGATTCATAACGGATCGTTAGCGGTTTTCTCAGGCAGCAGGCGCCAATGATCATTGAAGTATACAAGGCGTAAGAAGAAATGAAAACAACAAGCGCCGAAGACGTTCCGCTTTGCAGAAGGAAAGAGACGGAGCCCACATGTACACGTTCAAGTTTGGCCGAGGAATCTGTATGTTTGCGGCGGGATTCAAGAAGCGCCTTCAAGTCTCGCCTCAGGCAGCCTTCTGAATGGGGTAAGCACAGGCCACCTGATTGTCAAGGAGAAGCGAGAGGTTAGCTGCGGGTTTGCGGTTTGTCAAGATGCATTTATGCTGCACTTTAAAATGCTGGCATCCGGAGCGAAAATGAAAACTTGGAGACGGAGGAGGATCCTGGCTTTCATGGGCCCCAGGTTTTGAATCGCCGCAAAACAGGTCTGCAAATACGGGGTTTGCCGGAGAGAAATTTCCAGAGCGGGACGAGCGAAGTAAGCCTTCGCAATTCAAGCAAAACCATCATCTCATCTCCGTTGCCAAGCTGGCTTTCCTCGCGGATGCAGGCTGAGGAAGGAGTCGTCCAAACTGGTTTCGACACGTGGCCAGAAGAGGACGACGAAACTTTCGATGTCTCAAGGCCCACTGGTTCTCGGACCCGGGGGTTTGCCTCTCCTCAGAAAACTAGATTTGCTGCGGTCCCTTTGGAAGATAACGAGATCTCTTCGGAGAATTGGCTGGAAAAGTGTAGATCTGCATCCCGGCAGGGAGAGCTCATGAGAAGCCGAAGCTCGTCTTTTGACTCCCATTCGCACCCAGTTGGTAGCCCCACGAATTTAGAGTACTGGGGGGACGAGCTGGGCTTTGCACCCGGGGAAGAAACCCCAGACGTGACCGGTTCACGGGAAAGCTTCTGGACTGATACTAAGGTGGAAGACGAAGAAGCAACTTGGAAGGAGGAAGCTCCGGCCAGGGGAAAGGAAAGGCAGTGGTTGAGGCGTCGTCTTCCGGGGGGGAAGTCTGTTAAAATTGCTCTGGCTGATGGTGGGGGAAAGTATGCCTCTGTAGAAAAGGCGGAGGGCAGGGTTGTACAGAGCATCATACGGTTTGGAAAGAAGCCGACGCTTATGCTGGTCTACGCGCGGCTTATGGCACTTGAACCTGTGAACTAAGGTGAGGTACAGAAGCAGAAAGATGTACCAATTCAATTGTCCACACGCGAAATTTTGCTTCTAAAAATGCTTTGTAAAGGATCTGGTGATCTAGCCTAAACAGACAGGATACCCAACATGATATTCTGTTGTTATACTTCACAATTCTTTTTCTGTGGACAGATTCTTGCACAAAAAGCTGGTAATTGCAATCCGCCCATGTGTTGAGACACTAAGTTCTCTGAAAACCTGCTTGCTACTATTCTGTGATGATCTTGGAGGCGTGTACGGAGGGTATAACAATAGATATGCAATGATACCCTTCTCGAATCTTCTTCTATTGTCACCAGTCACTCAAGGGATCCCTTTGATTTCAAACCGTCTTGGCTCCCCGCCGCGGCTTCGACCAAACGGCTCAGGAGCTCGAATCGCCTAGCACGACAAGTAACCAATGCTACAGAAACCGGAAAGCTTTCGTTTGGGCGAAAATTGCTGAGTCCCTTGTCATTGCCCATTGTGATTGCACGTTTTGCCGGCGTGGCAGGAGATAAGTACTTTGGTGGCCCTTTCAAAGATTCATACCGACGTGTGCAGCCGGTTCAGTTCTTTCGTAAGAATCCCAGATCCAATGAAAAGCGTCTCATAGAATCTCTCCTTGTACACGGTGTTTTTAAAGGTGCAACGCGGACCGTGTATGTTTGAGTGTATCCTGACACGGAGCTTCTGACGTTCGTAACACGTGCAGGCATGGCAGAGCGTGTATAGGATATTCTCGACGGGATGAGAAGAGAAAGACAGGAACCTTGGGAATCCTTTCACTCGGCAGGACGCTCAGCGGCTAACAAAGCAGATTCTTTAGCGAGCAACGTCCAAGAGCGAGGTCTAGTTTTATGTGCATGGTTTGGACCTGGGGTGTAGTCGTCAAAACCGGGGATGCAGATTGAAGTCAAAGATACATTCCACAAGAGTGTCGTTTGGATCATTTGGAATGACTGAATGGAAGAGTGGATAGAGTGAGTGTTCTCGGATTAACTGTTCGTTGCTGGTATTATTGGGCTTGGCGATAATAGGTCCGGCAGACTCTTTTTTGATCCCTGCGTCAGCATGAAGTAAATACTTGCAAGAAGATGCTATAGTCGAGATTTACAAGTAGGCCCTGAGCAGGATGTTGGTTTCAAACTGTGCCGATGTACGATCCACTTTGTAAAGCGTTGAGATTGAAACAGAGTTTCACATCCAGAGTGCAACACTCGGACTTCCCGGATTCTTCATGGGCTCTGTGGAATGCAAGGGAAATCGTGACATAGCACCTGCTCCATAGCCTGGATTATTGACAACGGTTCATTCGATGGTTGCACTTAGCTACCGATGTAATCCAGCCCTTTTGATCAGAAGGTCCAAGCTTTATACTTGCACAACATGTTGAATGATGGGCAGTCTCGTGCACTTCTTTCAGGGCACGCACTTACTCGGCCGTTATTGTCACCTCTTTTATGAGTGTCAGATTAGAAAACAAGGCTTTACTAAGGGCGCGGATCCGCTGCGGTGGTTGCCAAAATGCGGGAAAATGAAAACGTGGACTTCAGGACAGAATGATCGCGGCTGCCAGAATCAAAGCGCGACCAAGGCACAAGCCCAAACCAGAACTTTTAAAGTTGGATTGATTGGCTTAATTCGTCGCACCGTTAGATCCAGGAAGGTGAATAAAGCCACAAATTTGAGTCCGCGCCCGCAGATTCAGCTCGCGACGAGATGAATAAGGGACGCGTCCCGGTCCGAACCGAGACGAGTCACTGCTCCTACAATCTGCCACGTGGCACGTTGAGCATTACACGGTCGGGACGAGCTTGCTTTTGAGCCACTTAGAATCAAGCCGCAGCCATTGGCCATTCTGCAGAACGGGCATGTCAATCAAGGCAAGACGAGGGAGAAAGAAGGCCCGCGAAAGGCGTCTCTCTTGGAGGTTTGTCCCTCCCTATTTCGATCGTTGCTGCTGCTTCTGCCGCCATGCGCGTCTGCCGCCGCGCCCCCGACTCCGTGCGCGGCGGGCCGCGCGCGCTTTCCAACCCGTTCGAGTGAGCATCGGTCACCTCGAATCCCTTGGAACCTCCGTCCCGCAATCTGCTGCAAGTCGGGGGGGTCAACCGATGTGGCCGTCAGGTGCCCTTTCGACACCTCGGCTGGGAGGAAAGCCTAGAAATTGGGCCGGTTATTGGGGCGACACCATCGAACCAGATTGACTGAGGTTTGGTCTCCTTCGGGATGGAGTGTCTTCGACGTGTGTTGTTTGCTTGAGCAAGCCGTTGAAACTAGGGAACCGGATCATGATACACTGGCAGGCCTGACGCCAAAAGCGCGGATCGACCATGTTCATCTGTTCCAACATTCCATCAGCAGGCCCGGGAGTCGAAAAAGAGGGATCAGTCGCTATCAGTTCCGCCAAGTGCGTCCGCTAACGATGACGTGGGCTGTGGCGAAGGATCGGCTCTTACACAGGCCTTTGCTTGAGCAGCAACACATGCAACCCAGCTAAAGAGGCAGTTCTATCCGCATGACCTGAAAAGCAACGCCTGGCGCTCCCTGATGTCAAGCGGAGGCCGCTCGGTTGACTGGGGGCTAGCGAAGGCAGTCAAGAAGCTTCTCTGTTGCTTTTCGGGTGACTCTCGACAGGAGTTTGAGGACGCAAAAACAGACGAGAAGCCTGTCGCTGTCCTGTGCGTTATGCGGAAGAGGCGTCCGTTTCAAAAGGTGGCGGAACCGGGAACCTGCAGAACTCAATCTGGGCTTTGCTCCCTGAGAGATGTTTCTGGAGCAAGACAAGCGGACTGACAGGTAACGGATCTAATCCCACCTTCCGCTCTCCATTACCAGCCAGCCGCCTTACCACCCCCATGCAAGCTGACGAGCGAAGTACCCAGTCTGGTGAGGACGCGTGTGAAGGTCACGCGAGGAGAGGTGACGAGTCCGGCTGGGCTGCTCGTCTTCCGAAACGCATATGCTTTTGTATCGCCCCTCCTCCGAAAGTGTTCTCTGCAGTGTCCTTGACGCTAGACGAACCCCACCTTCAGCAGAGGTCAAAAAAACTGAGGTCAGATTCTCGACAGGTCGGCAAAGGGGCAGATGTCGATACGAGCTTGGGTTCGTCTGTTGGAACAGAACTGGGAATCAGCTGCCCAGTTTACGAACACAGTATCTCGAACAGCTTGACAGTTCCGGAGCCGGAAGGGTGCAGCCCAGTGGTTCGAGAACCAGATTTGCCAGAGCAAACAGATTTAGAGCAACATACGTGCTTCCAACTAGGGCAAGGGTGGCAGAAAAAAAGATCCTCAGAGTACCCAGCACGACGTATCTTTGGAGGGAGCAAAGGGCAGCAGGCTCTGGAAAAGGGGGATTGGCTGGCGGTGGGCGAGCTGAGCTTGATCACTGTGAGAAGATTCGAGTGCACGGTTGAAGAGAAGGTGATGTACGCGGGTGGTGAACCGACCACTGTGACCGTCTACACGAACCCTTTAGGAGGGGATCCGGCAGAATAGGGTGGGCACTGGAAAACCCATCTGCAGTGGAGCTAGATTGGGTACTCTTGCTGAGCCTTCTCTACGAAACTGGTGATTGTGGCGAGGAGTACGTTCAGGAACTGTGCTGTGAGAGCCTGCCAGCTGTTCTCAGCATGGTCGAACGTGTGAGGAACACGAGAACGGACTCCGACAAAATCCTGTCTCGAACTTCCAAGCTCATCCTCTTTGATACGAATGGGTCTTGCTGAGTAGCCAATCGGACGATACTGCAAAACCTAGAAAGCAGAGCTTGATTTGTGCTCTGACTTTAGTGCAATTAGAGATGCTCATGTTGTCTCCGTGCAGAGGTGGCTTGTGGGGGTCACAAAGCACGAGCGGAAGTGCAGTAAAGGCTGGCACCGCGCAGATGCGCGCAGCCGCGCTCAGCAGTAGATAATTGCCGTCTGTCTGACGACGTTAGAAAAACATCTCGAGTTCTGGCTTTAGTTCAAATCTTTCGTCTTGTCAATTAAGTCAGAATGCAGCTGGTGCCTAGTATTGCAAAGCCACAGTATAATCCTCTACGAATCGGAGTTTTATGCGTATTAGCTAGAACCGCAAACATGTGCATTTTACGGACCGGCCAGCTCGCTGCAGTCCAGTCACTACGGTGCTGTCGTCGGTTAACATGCATGCATGAAGGACACTAGGCAGAAGACGTGCCTGCCGCGCCCATGCACAACCAATTTAGCCCTCCCGGATTGCACCATGCACAACCAATTTCACGTACTGTATGCCCCAGTTTCCAGATCCAGGAACATGCTACATTCATATTTAGCAGATTCTGTGATATATATGTCGCACGCAAGCTAATATGTCGATGAAGGTCATCGAACTCACCGGAGTACACAAAGCAGTATGTATATTTAAAATCAAACTCGCTATAACACATTTCATGTGCTTGTGATTCAATCAGCAAGAGCTCTTTTGCTGGCCGAACAATGCAACTACCAGATTGCATTCAATCAGCAATTGATTGAACCAAGTAAGAAACAGTCCAACGCTTGACTCTGATGTGTCCGAGCAAGTATTACCTCGTTTCCTTAGCTGACTCTTCGTTTTCTTTACTCTCCGGGGCCACTTCACGAGCAGAAACATTTTCAACAACATCAGCATCGATTTCCACCGTCTCAAATTCACTAGAGTTTACATCTGGAAGAGACACCTCCTCTCTAGAACCCGCATCAAGGACGTCTCCTTCACCCGGCGCCTTCACCGGCGGCTCATTCGATGCATTGTTCAGCTCCACCTTCTCCTTCTGTCCGACGTCCAGTATATCCCCTCCCCCAGGTTTCTCTACCGGAACCCTTGATGGTGCGCTTGAGCTTGCGCCTCCGTCTACCGAGGACCCTTCTGCTCTCCCCCGACCACTCGTGCTCTCCCCCGCACTGCGACCCGCAGCTGGTAATCGGGACACCGTTGTCGTGGCAGCCCCGGAACCGCTCAACCCCGGGAGGTGGTCCGCAGAGCTGCTGCGCACCTTCTCGATCGCTTCATGCACTCTCGCCGTATACGTCTCCTGCAGGTTCTCGTCCTGGGGGGGTGCGTTTTCCCTACCCCGGCTATTTGAGCGGGTGGTTTTGGAGGGGGGAAGAGGAGGGGTGGCAGACCTGCTGGGCGGTTTGCTGTCGGGTTTGCTGTTATCGGCCTCGGGACCGGGGCTGGAGTTTGGGAGATCCCCCCGGAAGTCTTTGAGGCCGTCCGACATCCCGCTGAGCCCCCGGTTATAGTCCTTGAAGCGCAGGAACCATAGCTGCGGGACACGTGGGGAGATTCTAAACGCAGTCTTGCATGTGTCCGTGCGATCCCCACACATGCGTGGCTTGGATGGCAGCAATGGCATCCGACTAGAACGTTCACTAGAGTCTGTCATCTAGCGCCGCTATCAGACAGCGGGGAAGTCCAAGCGAACTTTTTTTGCACGAGCATCGGCAAAGTCAAAGAAGAGAATCATCAAAAGGTGCACACGATGTTCTGTTCAACGAGAAAAGGAATTCCCTCGTCCAAAGGAATGCGGACGGAAGGGAAGCATCAGCAGAAAGCCGAAGCCTTCCACATCGTGTTGCTGAAGAGAAAAGTCATCAGTTCTGCCATTCAGGCACGCTTCCGGAACGAACTTACCTCGTCACCATTTTTAAGGGAGACCTTGATGTACCGCTCTTGCACCAGGGGCTGGCTCCGGAGACCCTCTATACCAGTCACCTCCACCCAGGGAACCACCAACTATAAATTCCCAAAGGGAGCGAACATGTAAGCGAAGGAAAGGCGCTTTTTAGACATGTAAAGTAGTCACCCAGGGGACATCGAGATTTCCAATCGATTAACAATATCGGAAGAATATCGGAAGAAGCATACATTCTCAGCATTAGCCTGCTATGGTGAAGCGCGACGGGGTCAAAATTGAATCACATCAGTGTCGTAGAATTTGCCGTGCAGAATGTCACGCAGGGGGCTTCACTAAAGTGCGAAGATGGCACGAAATGGCACGAAATGGCACGAACGTTCCAACTCGCTTGCAAGCCTTTGACCTGCCCTGCATTCGTGAATGAAAAACGCGCGCTTCTACCGGGAAGGTGCAGGATGTGAGACTGATGAAGCGACCCCGTGACCTTCGAATTTCCATACGGCGTATATGCAAAAACTTGACCTGCAGGAAAGTCGTGTTAACGTACTCTCACTGCTGCCAAATCGGGGAGCTAATCTGGATCCCGCAAACTGCGTAGCGACTCCAAGCAGAAAAACGAGAGCGCGCACCTTGTAGGTAGCCTGCTCGCTGTGGCCGTCCACGGTTGGATAAGCCACGGGCTTGTCGGAGCTGAACGCTATGCTTTTGTTGGATTGGTAGACAACGCCAGGCAGCGGTCCGGCTTCGGTGTTCAACGAGCATGCGTAAGCTGCAAAGGAAAGCTCAAAAGTGTCACTGCCTCCTTCTGCGAGATTGAACATCTCGCAAAACGGTTTGTGAAGAAGCAATCCCAAAGAACGCGCTGCACCACTGGCCCGAAAGCTGGACGGACCCTCTCGACGATCCTCTTTCGCAACAGGCGGGTTGCCAAATCAAGACAAGTTTTGCCCGTACACTGTAGGCGATCTTCGCAGGAAGTCAGTCTTACCAATCTCGAGCTCCTCTTCCGGCGGTGCGTTGAAGTGCTTTCTCCAGAACGACTCAAACACCTCTGGCGTGATTGCCGCCACTTCAGCTGCATGGTAGACCGCAGGAGGTTTCAGCAGTTGCAAAAAGAGGATGAACAAACAAGCGGATAGCGAGCTCAAAAGTTACGAGGCTCGATTACTCTGATCGATTCTGTCTACACGACGGCACGTTCGAGTATGGAACGACGACTCAGCAGCCAAGACACAGCAGAAAAAGCGTGCCGATACCTTTGAGAAGGTGAGAGGCGGCGGCAACATCTAGACTTAACTCCGGTCGTTTCGTTTTCCTCCAGGTGCGAGTCAGGCAAGAACAGAAGAGGCCCCGACATCTTACCTGACGCTTGCTGGGCGCTCTCGACCATGGCCATGACACGGTCCCGGCGGCGCTCGCCGCGTTTGTACGCATTCTCGACGCTGGTAGCAATACGGCCGAACGTCCGGCCCATCTGAAGAGATGATTCAAACAAGCTTTCAGCAACCAGAAGCGGGCAACACCAGCTCAAAGTTGACGCCTTCCCTCGAAATTCCTTCAAGCCCCAAGACTGAAACCGTGGGATCGTGTCACCAGGCAATGCTGAAGGGGAGAAATACGATGGATCGAGAACCAAAATTGTACTATATCTCAAGGTAGCCATCAATGCACTTTAGCCTGTTGCAGGTGCACGAAGTCGCGGCACCTGGCCCGAAAATCGAGTACAAAGCTTTCAGCACCATGCAGAATTTGGAAACAGGAAAAGCTACCGGACACCCAAAACGACATGGTGATTTGCCAACAAGATAAGCAGTGTGCAAGCGGAAGCCCCACCTCTTTGGCATATGGTGTCACGCTCTGGAACCAGCCCCCCTCCTGCTGGTCTCTGCCCCCGCCTGGCTGGGCTGTGGGATGCTTCTTGCCTGAAGACGAGACCAGCTGCCACTTATTCACCAAAAGACGGTGAAGTTGTTCGTACAAGGCACCAGCATATGCAGTTCTGCCTAGCTTCGACCTACTTCTTTAGCTCAATAATCAGGCAGTATTGGCGATCCATGACAAATTGCAGGTGATGCCAGTTCCTTCTCTCAATGTTAGGTCCCATGCCAAACGGACTTAACCTTCCATTGCTTGAGTGATAACTCCCATGTATAGTCAAGTTACCAGGTCCAAGTAGACATGTAGCAACAGAAACTTACCTAAGCCAGAGCTCCGCTGCTGCTGGAATGCCACCCACTCCTGGAACATACATAGTCTCATGTCAGACTGTTTTGTAAAATGATGTGCGTGTCACTTATGGCCTACCAATGTGCTGAAACAACAAAGACAGGTTTAACAAACTGCATCTTGACATCGTCTTTTGCAATAAGAGTCAAGCCCCGAACAAATCAGGGTATGAAAGCTGGACCGCAGAGAGTAGTTACTAGCTTGTCGTTACCTGCGGTGACATCATGTCAGGAGTCGGCATCTCGCCCCGCTCCAGCATAGCCAGCCCTTTCTGGTAACCCGTCTCGTCAGATAGATCGACCTTGTCAAACTTGCCAGATGAAGACTCGCCATCCAGTGTTTCTGTGTCTTGCAGATCATCTGGGAGACACGTGAGCACGAGGTCAGAGGCAATCCAACCTCGTTTCTGATCAAGTTGATAATTACGGCGAACACCACCAAATGATACAAAGAGTCAGGTCCCTGGTGTCGACATGGGACGTCTCTACATGATTGTCTTCTTCCTTCAGTCTTCAACATCAATCCATCTAGCTGTGGCGGTCCTTCAAGTCCTTCTGTACTGATTCAGCACACGTCTCGGATTCACAGCAGTTTTGGGCGGCTCGGACAGTAGCGGCAAAATAAGAAGTCCCTGTGACAATGTTTTGGATCCCACTGAGATATGGATGAGCCTCTTGGATCAATCCCGATTGGTTTGTGATCTCAATCAGGCATGAAGAGATTACACCATCTGACGAGCACTTCGAAGCGCGCACACGCTCACCAGGTAGTAGCCCCCCCCCTGGTGCCACAGGCTTCCCAAACCTCAGTACCCCACCTTCCTCTCCTATTGGTTCTTGAATGGCGATCACAGGTGGTGCTTGTCCCCCCCTCATGAGCGAACCAGGCGCCGGGTACCCCAAGGAGTCAGCATCAGTAGGGGGGTGCAAAGTAGGGGCAGCAGAGGAAGGAGTGTCTGATGTAGCTAGGGGAGGGGCAGGAAAAGCAGGGATGACGGCAGGACCTGGAGAAACCCCCGTATTCATCAGTCCTGTGATAGATCAGATTGCAAGCAACTAGGTCCCCATCTTCATCCAGAATGCTTCCAGTCTCATACTCACACATTAAGTGGCAGTGCACCACTATGCTGCAAGTTTGCTGCACCGCTCCAAGAAACAATGACACAAAACTTCCTAAAATGAGAGTTACGGAAGAGATGATTGTACAGAACTTGTGGGGTCGGTGTTCAAAGACTGACTGCATGCTACCAGTATCCTGCAGGCCAAAGCTTCACAATTAGATAGTATAGGATAGTTTGAACATTCTTCAATCTGTTGAAATTGCTGATCACAATTGACTAGCGGACAGTATGGGCATAACAAATCAATGCACGCACCTGAAGGAGGAGTTGAGGTGGGAGTCACTTCAGGAGTTGGCGCATTAGATGCATCTACTGCCTCCTGCCTTTGCTTCAAGGCTTGCGCTGCAGGCGAAATGGGAGGAAGGGCAGCCACGGCTGGAGAAACTGAGATGCCAGGGGATATAGTCAGTGACGGCCTTCTGCTAGCTGATCCTGGTACAGACTCCTGATCCCCATTTGGTCCTGATCGATCCCCGGGTGCTCGAGGTCTAGAATCCTTGGACGCTGGGCCATTGCTCTGAGTATTCAAAGTAGCTCCATCCACTGCTTTTGCACCATTTGCATTGCTCAATTGCACATTTCCCTCCAAATCGACTTTGTCTTCAGCTGCTGGATTGATGCTGGGACCGTCTCCTGCATGAACGACCATATCGGCTGCAGGTTCGTCCAGCGATACTTCAGATAGCTCCCCCTCGGGATCCTCCATTGATGCATGCGGCTGCGTCTCTGCCATTATTTGGTGCAGGCAAACAACAATCTGAAGAAATGCAATCACGAATTTCAGGACTTCAACAGGTGGTAAGTAAACAGCCTGAGGGCCAGGCTGAGCTGGCTTGGGCAGGGCGATCAGCCGCTGGTTGTATCCATACCAGATTCTGCCCGGGGTAAATCACTGAGGATTATCCTCAGGTGAGAAAAGCCCGGTAAACACTTCCCCGGCTGCATGAATGGAGCTGAAAATCCCGCCTAGTTGAACACCTCCCCAGAATAAGCAACATCCTACACTGACAGGCGCTTCTGCCAACTTTTGGCCAATTTGATAAAATGGGAGGGGTTGAGAGCAGCCCTGGCGGGGCGGAAGACGGCCAAAGCGGGCACAAGGAGGTGGTGAGGAAACGTACTTGTTCTCACTTCTGCTGAAATCGACAAATGCTCGTGTTTCTCATGGGAAAGTGACATCGACCTTGTTGCACCACCAATTAGAACAGAAATGCAATGCTTTTGAGTCAAACAGCTTTCAAGCACTGTTTGCTGGTGGCTGAATCAGCAGAACGGCTGCCCTGAAAGGGCCAGCGTGCTTGGTGTGCTGCTGCCAGATCTCAGAAGTGAGCGCTAATGTCAGATGCCATCTCAACATGAAAACTGCTATCCACGGACTAACACCACTCAGGTATCCATACTGCAATTGTGCAACACTCCTCAGCGCCTGAGGTCCCTTAAAGTTCCTCTTTGGTTGCTCGCAGGAACGTGGAGAGGGGCTTACGAAGCACCCGCCCAGTCCGGATAAACCAAAGGTCCAGTTGACCCATGAGAAGCCCAGCGTTGAGGACTCGGTGGCTGCAAAAATAGTTGAGCAGGGGGAAGAAATCCTCATTCAGGTGACTCTCGTCTTCTGCACGCCTTTTTCATCGAGAACCGCGTTACAGCGAAGCCAACAGTCATGCCACCTACCTCTGTAACAAGAGAGCCTTTGTCCGGTTGCTGTGCCTCGTTTTTCCACCGGCGTCCATCAATACCAGCGCGATTATTGTGATTCCGTACAACGCCCATGGCGCCCAATTTGCTTCCCTTATGTATCCTCCCTTGAAGATGATGACACCTCTCTGCATTTTCAGTTGTGTATTTCCTGCTTTTGACTTGGTGCAGGGTTTCAACTGGGAGTCCCACCACCGTAACTGGTACCAGACGCTGCTCGAGAAGGTGCCAGAGCTGAAGGCTGCCGGCTTCACTGGCATCTGGTTGCCTCCAGCCTCAGACAGCCTTGCACCGCAGGGTGAGTTTCTGTGGCCAATTTGGGTCGACAACTCTTACACTATAGGATGTGACAACTTGTCGTCTTCCTCCTTTTTAAATTCTTTCCTTGATCTATGTTATTGTTGCTTGGAAAGAACTGGCGGGAAACGTTGAGGGTTCTCAGAAGTTACTCATGATCAGAGCCTATGATACTCTGCAGGGAGCTTGGTAGTCAAAAACTCTTGCGAAATTCGTTGCCTCCGGCAGTTTCACCCTGCCGCTACGCCAGTGATACATCCACGACTCAATCTCCGGAATTTGATTGGACTTTTAAGTAGAAAGGAAGACTTTTGGCAGCGTTTCTCATTGAATTCTTGCAGGCTACCTTCCAAAAGACTTGTACTGCCTCAATTCCGCCTACGGCTCCTCCGACCAATTGCGCCACCTTCTCCGCACCCTGAAAGCTGCCGGCATACGGCCAATAGCAGATATTGTTATCAACCACCGGATTGGTTCCGCCCAGGGGAACGGAGGGCAATGGAACCGGTACGAAGGCATGAGGATGGCTTGGGACGAGACCGCAGTCACCTCGGACAGCTACGGGGGGCTGGTGAGCTTCTGCAGCCTTTTTGGTGCCAGTTTTGTTCGCCGATCACACCCTCTTTGCAGTCGTGGATCCACGAAGAACTTGTTCACATCTGTTGCAGCATGGGAGGGGAAAAGTATGACGAGAAAAACTCCTCTTTCACACTTCGACAAAAGCGGGCATGCAATGTACAGGCTACGAAGCGCCTCCTCTGATCGCTCTTCTTCTGTCATACCACATATTTTTTGGACAGAGCCTTTGAAGTATCTTCGCTGCAGGTCTCGTGAAAGGCAAGCCATAATTGTTCTTTGCGAAGATTCCAAGCAGCTGATACAATTTAGCTCAACCGGGTTCGTCTTAGCAGAACATCCGTTTGTGCAGGGTAACCCCGGGACGGGAGAGACTTTCGAGGGCGCCCCGAACATCGACCACAGTCAGGAGCACGTGCAGCAGGACATCACTGAGTGGCTGCGCTGGCTCAAGGACGACGTCGGCTTCTCGGGGTTCCGCTTCGACTATGCCAAAGGGTACGTCCAAGGGAATGCTCTGGCTGTTGCGCGAAGGTGTCCTGTTTGTTTTTATTCAAAGCGAAGTCAAACAAGTCGGTTTGATGTCGAACCTTTTGCTGGTCTGTTTGAGGAACGCTCCACTGACGAAGCGACAGGAGCCGGATCAAGGCGACTCGCTGGGTGATATTGGGCCCTATTTCATAGCTCTGCGTCACGGTCTTCCGGTAAAAACTGTGTCCACGACACACATCCTTTTCAACGCGGTGTGACTCTGACGAGCCCTCTCGCTTTCAGCTCTGAATGACGACTTCGTAGAGTTTTCTACTTCACTTTTCCTTCTACACAATCCGACGTCATCGAGACTTCGTTCTTCAAAGCCAGCTCTTTTGAAAAGCAGGAAAGTCACCTAAGCCATAAGCAGCTCGCTAATTATAGCTGCTCTAGGCGACAGAAAATCATATCTTCAGGCAGCAGGTTCTGTCTTATTCCCCGTTCACTTGACTGCAACACCGTGTTCTTATTCTGACCGCTCCTTTGCACCCCTGGCAGGTACAGCCCCGACTTCGTGAAGAAGTATATCGAGGCGGTGCAAACCGACTTCGCCGTTGGCGATTACCGGGATGCTTTCGGCTATCTTAGGTGAATGCAACACCGTGTCCTGATGTCGACCGCTCTTTTACACCTCTGGTGCAGGTACAGTCCCGATTTCGTGAAGAAGTACATCGAGGCCGTGCGCCCCGATTTCGCCGTGGGCGAGTACTGGGATGCCTGTAGCTACGGCCCCGAGCCGGAGAGCGTGCTGGAGGCCAACCAAGAGGAGCACCGGCAAAGGATAGTCGACTGGATAGACGGAACAGGAGGACTGGCTTCCGCGTTCGATTTCACGACCAAGGGGGTGCTGCAGGTGAGTCCTCTTCGGCTCTTGTTCTGGTAACATGCTGGGAGCAAACACGTAGAATTTCCGTTGTCCGCTGCTTGATGTCGAGGACTCTGGCCCGGCCGGAAGGAAGCATGTTGACCACAACCGTTGCAAAAGTCGTAGTCACAGCCGAGTCTGGTCCCCAGGTTAACCAAGCTGTCAGTAATCCAGCCTCCAAGAGAACGGGAGAACCTACATCGCTTGCTCTGCTTCAAGATCAGACCTTGCCAGCATGGAAGATTCGATTTGACACCTTTTGCGTTTCATGCAATGAGATCATTAAAGCCGTATTTCACTAGACGTCTTGGCATTGAAGAACCGACGCAGAAGGTCTTCGGCTGTGAACCAGAACGTCGCTCGACGATCCGTTGCAGGGGGTTGCCAAGCGACGACCGAACAAGCCTTAGACGCAAACAATTGCACAGACAGTACCGTTGCTGCTTCACTGGAAGGACCGCGGCCTATCTGGCACGCAGCTGCGGGTCAAACCACGACTGCTGATACGGACTGTTCATCGCTACATTGCAGAAATTGAGCACGTTTTCCCACGGTCCTTATCAAACTTTCCGTCCATAAACAGTCGCGTCCTAACCCGTGCATCTGAGATTCCTTTGCTGCAGGAAGCGGTCAGCAAATCTGAGTACTGGCGGCTGAAAGACGACCAAGGCCGGCCGCCTGGCGTCATTGGGCTGTGGCCCGCGAGAGCAGTGTCGTTCGTCGAGAACCATGACACGGGCTCCACGCAGGTGAGGTCCCGTCCGCCACAGCTTTGACTTGAGTACACCGCTCACGTCACAAGGTGCTTGCGCTCAAGAAGGTGCTTACCACAAATTGTATCTAGAACGAGTACGGCTGTTCGATGAAGAACAGAACCGCAATCCTGTAAGGGAAGAGTGATCTGATATTGTTTAAGGCGAGGGAACGTCAGAGTTCCGATGTTGTCCTGTTCTTGCACCGGGATCGCTTGCAGGTTATTTTATTCAGCTCGAATCCGTTCTGATTGATTATCGTGTTTCCAGAACCACTGGCCATTTCCCAAGGACGAAGTGTTGCAAGGGTACGCGTACATTCTCACGCACCCGGGAGTGCCCACGGTCTTCTACGACCACTATTTCGAATGGGGGGGCGAGATGAAAGCTGCGCTTTCGCGTTTGGTGAGGCATCCCACATCCTTGCTTTTACGTCAGAAGTTTTGTCTGCATGGGTTTTGGACTTGACAGGAGGGTTGGTGACTTTCTATGTTGAGTAACTGTGGGCCTGCTGAGACGAAGGCTGATACAGGCAGCATCCAGGGCCCTCAAAAAAGTCTGCTACTAAGTCTGCTTTGATTAGCCTCCTGTCAAGACAGGGAAGGTCATGAAACTCAGTTAAGACTTGAGCGCCGTCTAAACACTGAAAGGCCACGGACAACGATCTACGTCAATTGTTCGTGCGCACGATTTTGAGGATGGATGATTTCATCGACGACGCAGCTTGTCACAGTGCTTGGGAAGCGTTGCGGGTGTCTGGTCGTTGGAAGTTTCGATTCTTTGCCTCGACTTTGAGTGGAAGTTGAGAGACATTGTTTGAAAGACATGTCTGTTTAGCTTGATGACCAGTAATTGTTCAACATATCTGTCCGCAGCACTTTTCACTGCAATTGTCAACACTACGATTAAGGAAATTAGCTTCGGAACTTGAGCTTCTGCTTTTTGGATGCAGCTTTTCGGGTTGAAGTCTCACCGAGATTCTGTCTCTTTGCGTTGCAGATACAAATACGACGACAGCAGCACATCACAAGTCAAAGCACGGTTCATATTCTAGAAGCGGCATCTGTTTATGTTGCCGAAGTAGATGACTGTACATTGATGAAGCTTGGAAAAGAGGATTGGGCACCTCCAGATAATCAGAAATGGTGTTGGGTACACTCAGGAAGAAACTACTCAATCTGGACGAGAGAGAAAAAGCCGCCCTGATCTGTCACCCAATGCTAAGGCCTCTACTTCTGCTCGTGGTGTTTGGGTTTCTCCTGCGCAATGCTGTTGAGCTTCTGAGTCTTTATAGCTCATCTTAGGTTCGCGTTCGATAAGATTCTGGTTGACTTGGATCTGCTAATGATGCACACTAGCGGCCACCTTCGCGATAGGAGTGGCCGCTTGTCTCCACATGGGGATGTGATGTTGTGGGATTCGAGACGTGCAACTCATTGAGCATGCAACGTGCGTTAAAAAGCATGCCAATACATGATGTCATGACGATCAATATGGTTCTTTTCACAATGATGAATTCTGCGCGAACGTGATGGATGTGCCGTTGGCCATAGTTCCAGAGTAACATTACGGCTGTCCCTTCACATGCTGATGAAAGAATGTCGAAACCACATTGCAAAGACGTGTTGTGCATAGTTCTGACGGTACTGCTTTTATGCTTTTGCTGACGACGGGCCCTGGCCCCGCATGCCAGCATGCTCCCCGAGTCCTATTCTGAGGGAGTTCCCTCGTCTGTAGCCGTCCGATAAGATTGTCTTTATCGGACGTTGCATCTTGTACAGCGGGTCACCATCAAGAAAACTTTTGAGGAATCGTACGGTTCCTTTTCTCCAGCTGTCCATCAACGGCATCACTACACCACCTGGCTCTAGCTAAGAGCTGCACAGTGCGGCGGCGCAAACCAAGTAGAGCAGCAGATCATGGTGGTTGCATTTCGTGCTGTTTAATTAGGCGCATTTCGTATAGCCCTAGGGGTCCACAAGCTTCCTTTTTTGAACATCTGAACGTGTTCAGGCCCAATGGTGCCATTTGACCTTCACATTGGGGGCCACTCTATCCCGGGGCAGCAGCTTCTGCCTGGTGTGGACCCAAGCACCCTCACAACTGGCAGCTTGAAGGCATTGCTGGGGCTGAAGCTTCACGTCCCTCCCAGGAATATTGTGCTCAAGCTGGGGGGGTGGCGGCCCCTTTCCGCAGACGAGTCTGTCCAGGGACTTTATCACCTAGCAGCGGAGACAATTGATCCCGAAACTCGCCTCTTTGACCCACCTAAGGTCGTCTTCAATGTGGACACAGGACGCCTCTACTATCGTCAGGGCGAGGGAGCTGCGAAAGTGGAGCTGAACGATGAAGAGGGTCTGGGGGCCAACTTTGTGCTGGACAAGCTGGTGTTTCACCTGAATGTGAGTGGCGAACAGCATTTGGAGTGTAGGGAAGAGAATCTCAAACAGAACCTCTGAAGTAGTTTGCCTGAAGAAGACTGCTTTGAGGGTTATAGAGCAAGCAGACGGATTGTACTTACCTTCGCTTGTTAAGACCATGCGTGCGGGCATTGGCTCTATCTCCTTTGAATGTCCCACTGAGTCTTGGGGGTTCATGATACACAACGGGATCAGAACAAAGTGTTCATGATGCATCAGGAGTTTGGAACCGATCAATGACGCTAGATTCTCAACTTCGCTAAGCGTCGGAGAACTTTGGGCCTAGGCCAACATTAGTGAGGGCTGGTGGCCATATGGAACGCTGTTCAAGCGTAGGGGATTGAGTAGGCTTGCTCTGGGGCTGTCCTTGACCCTCTCTTATCTAAGAAGTTTGGCAGGATTTTAGGCGGTTTTCTATGGATTGAAGACATGGCAGTCAGCCAACGAGAAGATGCCTCCTATGTATCAAGAGACTGTACAGCGTCGTCATCTTGTATTTCAAGGTCATAAAGTACAAGATTATTATCCTGAAATTGTGACATCAAAGCTGTTACAATAACAAGGTTCGTTCCTTATTCTCCATTCCGAGATCCTTTCAGCAGTTAATGGAAACCAACCCATGGCTCAGTCTTCTGGTGCCACTAACGCAGATAATTGAACCGTCAGACTCGCTGTACCCGCACTAGATCCCCACTCACATTCCCCTGGATAAGCCGATCCATTCTGCTCCCTCATAACCGTCACCCCGCACCTGTTGCAGGTCAAAGTGCGACCTCTTCCAGAGGAGATTCTACCAGGTGGAGGAACCATCATCGCACTTCTCCTGGGCCTCAACAACGCCGTTGCGCGCCAGTTCACCTTGATCACGATCACCAAAAGCACCACGATTGGGGACCTGACGTCATACATCTCTCAAGAAGTGGGGGTCTCCCCGAGCGACCTGCTCCTGCAAACTGGCAACGTCCTCCTCGACAAGCAGAACGCAAGCGACACCTGCTCGCAGGCGGGAGTTCAGGCGGGGTCTGTGATCATTGTCCGATGCCGCGAGTGGGGGCACATAGTGCTGTACTGCAAGACACTCACCGGCAAAACGCTGATTCTGAGATGCTCCGGTGAAGACACGGTCAGCGAGGTGAAGAAGAAGATCTACGATCTGGATGGTTATCTCCCAGACCAGCAGCGGCTGATCTTTGGCGGGAAGCAGTTGGAGGATGAGCGGACCCTTCAGGAGTACGGCATCCAGGACGAGGACACGATCCATGTGGTGCTGCGGCTGCGGGGGGGCATGCTGCACTGCTCGAGTGAGTCTGATTGAACGTTGAGGTCTTTTCAGATTGTAACTTGTGCTGATAATCTTTTGTAGCAGAAGTTGTAAGAAAGGTGTACCTTCAGGCAACATTTTGTGGTGTCTGGGTGGCCATCTTTCAGGCGACGCGTGTCGTTTGTTGGAGGTCTACAGACCTTGTCTCAAACTCGGCTGGTATCTGTTCCGATCCTTCCGGACAATCTGGTGACATCGAAGTGTCAAGATAGGGGGATTCAACTAATCAAGCAAGTCGGACAGAGCCGGAGTTCGCCGTCAAGTTACCACGCCACTTCACTAAAGGAGCGTCAAGGGGCCAGTAGACGACCCCACTTTTGATCAGCGTCAGCTTGCTGCTAAGAAGGCCATTGTGCAGAAATCACTGACAATTGACGCGCAAGTGATTTTGGCTTGGCTCTCTGCGCAGGTGGCCGGATCGATCTTCAATCTCTGTGTAACATGACAACGGAACTGGAGGTTGGGATGGTATCCGGCGGAATCTGCATCGGTCATCGGAATGTCCGAGTGGACAGAGCAACGGAAGCTGGTCAAGTGAGCGCGGCACTGGCGGAGCTTCACAACGAGACACAGAGAAAGGTGCGTGACCTGGAGGCGATGAAACGGGAGATCGAGCAAGCGATCGCAACTCTGAAGCAGAATGTTTACCGTGAAGGATCTGCTTGAGATTTGTACATAGTATCCGTCGTCAGGCGAGCCTTCCGTCATCCAGCCATGCGCTCTTGTACAGCTAAGCGGGGTCCTGACGTGGTGCACAGTTTGAGACAGTTGTAATAATGTCTTCGACTTTTGGTTAGTGGTAGGTGGTTGTCGAGAGTTCATAATGTCCTCTACATGCGCTCTCCATTATATGATCTAACCATTGAGGCTGAAGACGTCTAGCCAAATGTACAACTTTTTTCTGATGTGTATATAGGGCGACATTAACCATCCATACGAGTAGACGTGGGTGAACCTCAAGGCAAATTCTTCTTGTCACATACCCTTACTCTTGCTTCAGTCATTGCAGAAAGTAATGCCGAAGTTATACATCCAGCTGGTCGCCTCTTGCACATGATACACTGGCTAAAGACGAATCATTCTTGAGGCTGCTTATCGCATATGTGCATGGTGCATGCGGGTACTAGATCATGAATGCATCATTGTAAGATATCCTTAACTTGAATGGCGGTTTCGCTAGCTAGCAACTAGTCCGTCGGATGGTGAATTGGGCAAATGCTTGCTGTTGTTCCAACGCGAGACGCGACTTGGTACTGCTGCATCAACGAGCTTGCACGCTTTTGGATCGTCGGTGCACGCGATATGATTGCAACGGACACAAATAAGGTCATGTTATCGAGCGATCGATTTGAGATCATCTGCTCACGCTGCAGCTGACGATTGGCTGCACTAAAGTTCTCACTTGGTACGCCTTAGTTTAAAAAAGACAGTCTGTTTAAAGACGGAATAAACTTAGTTGTGATACAACTAATATATACGCATCAGCAGCTTCGACGGCCCTGCACTATACTCGTCATGATCTGGACGACTCTTGCTATATTATTTTCAGTCCTTCAAAGGCCTTTACATATATACAAGCCAAGTTCTTGCCAGCCTGACCTGCAGGCTCTGTACCAGACACGCGCCTTTCAAAGTTGGCCGATCAGATCCAGCCACGGCGTCCGCTTCAAAACATCAACTGCCTGGCAAAGAGCTTCCGTTTCTTTGCCGCCCACTCTCGCAATTTTCTCTCGTTTTCTCCTTCGTAAAGAACGGCTAAGGCCTCGCTCAGTCGACGGGCATCCATGGTTCCGTCGACTCGAACAGTTCGCTTGCCGATGCAGTCTCCTCGCTGCACCATCTTGACCTCGAGCTGCCAGAGAGTCGGCGCTCGCAGATGCTCGTAATCGATCTTGCCACCTGAGGATTGACGTGACAAGCAGATCTCGTGATGGTTTTCGGAAATTTGCTTCCCCATTTCATCCACGGATCACATTCCAATTGGGTACGGTGATGTCTGTTCTCCTCAATCTGACTTGGACTTCCTGAAAAATGATGTGTGTTCTGGCTTTGGAGTCTCCTGCGGTCAGAGCAGGTCAGACTCCTTAGACAGTCGGACATCTGTCGGGACGCCATCTCATGGTCGAGACAGGATCGTCCAACCGGGTCAAGAAACTGATAAATTTCGATCACTTGCAGAAGGATCATCAACAGACCAAGGAAGAGGAACAATAGCTCCGAAAGGTTTATCGTGCTCAGCAACCAATCAACATGCGTCTTCGTAGGACCTTCTTTTCCAAGCTTCAAGATCTGACGTCAATACCATCCCCTCGATTTGAATCAAGACAGGGTCATGCTTCCAACCACAACGGTAGGATTCGGTACCGTTCCCGATCTGAGACGGCTGAGACGGCTATTGACCATGCCTTGCAAAAAGCTTTCTCCTCGACAATTGAGGAGAATCTAACCAGACGGAAAGGTTTCTGCGAGTATTTCGCTTCCTGAAGAAAAGTTTCAAAATCATTCTGAACTCGACTGCCAACTTTCTTTCTCACGAGGCTTCATTTTCTCCAAAAGAGGCTCTTTTGAACTCTTTGAGCCAGGTGCAACAGAGTGACGGTCATCAAAAAACGCTCACTCGAGCAGTGCAGCATGGCCCCCCGCAGCCGCAGCACCAGGTGGAGCGTGTCTTTGTCCTGAATGCCAACATCCGCCAGGGTGCGCTCATCGTCCAACTGCCTCCCACCAAAGATGAGCCGCTGCTGGTCAGGGGGGATCCCCTCCACATTCTGGATCATTTCCTTGAGCTCTTCAATGGTCATACTACCCCTGCAAGGTTTCAACTCTATTGTCTTCCCCAGCATTGTCTTGCAGAAGAGAACCATCTCCGCTTCATCCCCCTTCCCAACGACCCTCCTGACAGTCAGAAAGGACAGGGACTGAATCCCGGCCTGCCAGCAGAACTTGCTCTGGGTTTCGCCGTCCCTTAATCTTCTGCCGTTTGCCAATTGCACTAACTGCTCGCCTGGGGGGATCCCCGACTCTTTGAAAATCAATGACCTGAAGGCCTCGACTGTCGTGCTTCTGTTGATCGTGGTCAGGCTGATGTGGCGCGTGATGGCATCATTGGGGCCCATGACAAGGACCACAACTGTCCCTCCTGTCCCGGCCCATGGTGAATACCGCGAGGGGAGGGGTGCAGTGCTCACCTGCGAAGGCAAAGAAAGAACCTGAGCGTTTGATAACCGGCGTTTGAATTTTGGGGATACAAAGGTGACTCCTTGCAGAAGTTGCTGTTTGACCCAATGGAACTCAAGATGAGATGCTGCCAAAAGTTTCGAAGAGAGTCCTATTAGGGACACCTGTGTTAAAAGACATGTTAAATGCTTCTGGGAGACTACGGCTTATCAGTGCACTGTGAGGACACTTCGGAGCAATCACCCTTGAATAGGACCTGATGTCATTTCTCCAATGTTTCTGTATACATGCAACTGGTTACCGTTGACAAGAAAGGTCCTAGTGCCCATTGCTCAAATAAAGCTCGTGTTGCAGTCACAAGCGGGTCTGCTGGCTTTGAAGATCCCTCACACTGAGCTCCTGTTGTTCCGTTTGCCATTTGAATGTCAGAAATAGTTGGCAATTCCTGCGAGCAGCAGCTGTCTTCACGTTTGGACCTTAGGAAGCAGATACTCTCACTGAAAATAATTTGCCAGGGAATCCAGGAGGATGACAAAAGCTCCGAGCGTCCGGTGCTCCCAACTTCTCCCAGATCCAAAGCAGCAGAAGACAAAAAAGTATCAGCTTGAATTCTACAACAAATCTGTTCAGTCATACTGATACAGTAATTGGCAACACACATTTAAGGGAACCCGCTGGCCACCATCAGGTGAACCCGCTGAAGTCGACTGTATTGGCACGACACCGTACTTTCATTGCTGCACGTATCTAATTACCTGCATTTTGTGGGACTGTGGCCATGCCCAGGACAGTGGGCTTGACTTTTGAAGGGGCAGTCCCCTTGATGTAACAAGTTGCATTCAGAGAGAGCCACAACGTAACTCAATCAAAGGCGCGTTTGAAGGGGCTATGAGTATCCTTCACAGGAGCTACAGCACACCTACAGCAGGACCCTGATCAACTCTTGCTTCTCTTTGTAGACTTGAGGCTCACCTTCATATGTAGCTCCAGCTTATCCAGCGCGCATAACTCAGCAAGCCCTTCCTCATCTTTCAGCTCCATGCAGTCTGCCGCACCTTGCGCCTGCTGATGAAATACACGCTTCATGTCCACATCAAATATGAGCTCCACAAGACGGACGTTAGAGGAATAGTAGTCTGCTCGGCTTGCTATGTTGTCCTCGCCTTCCCATGCAAATTGCTCAGAATAATGCGGGAAGACATCCTGAATGCACTCATGGTCTGAGAGCGGCCGCCAGCCCCCCAGCAGGAGCTTCATATCCCTAGAGGAAATGCACAGTTTCACCCCTAGCAATGCTTTCAGAGACCCCGCGGTGAAGAACTTGAGGTCCACACCGGGCAGGACCTGTTGGCCGAGGATGCATCGGCCCCCAATGCGCAGCTCAAACGCCACCATATTGTAATACAGTCTACAGGCTTGAATATGGCGGTTTGACAACCACCATACTTAATAACACGACTATGCCAAGAAACTATGCCGTTTGGACTGCAGCTAGCTGCAATCTGGGCTGCAAAACCAAGCGCCAAGCAGGCGCCAAGCATTTGGCCTGTATAATCTGTTATCGGCGTGGGTAACATTGGTTGCGCTGCGGATGATCCCTGGATGATCCCTCAGAGTCACCCACTGTTGCATGTTTGTCCTTGACCGTACGATTGACTGGACACAATTTTCGAGTAAGTAATCGACGGCTTGGATCCACCAATGGTGGTGGAGGATCCGCAATCCCGTGAACTCGGCGTGAGCCGCGGCTTTCTCACATGAGCAATCCCGCAGCTAGGATGTCCAGCTGACAGTGAGAGGGAGAGAGGGAGACTCGTACGTCCACTCGTTGGTTAGCAACGATGAGCTAGGAGATGAGATCAGATCGCCAGCTAGGCTTCGCAAACAGACCGAGTTAGTCTGCGGCCCATCTGGCGGCTGAAGATCGATGCTGCACAAAGAACGACGCACCATCACCGCGCATTACGTCCATGCCCAGCTTATATAATAGCTCAAGTATTAACACAACAAATAACTTGTGGGAGCGGATAAGCGGTTCAAGTTGAAAATCTGCATACTCTGCATGCGAGAGTCCACTCATGATCAACTCAGAATATGGCCCAATGGTGCGTGGCGGGATGATGGAGTGATGGGGGGATGATTATATTTCAAGATTGAGTACGTTGTGGAGTTGCAAGTCATTGGCAGTGCGGAGATAACTTGGATCATCATGCCTTGATATCTCGTGCACGTGGCACGCACTCGGTTTCGCGAGCGACTTGACAGAAAGCTGCTTGATGAGACGTGACTCGGCTTGCTCAGCAAGCTCGTCTTTCCTGTTTTATGGGCGAATCACAACCCGGCCAATCTCGCCGCTTGAAAGCAGTTTGATGCATCCAAGGCCATGGCTGGAGGGCACAGCTACGACAATCCTATTCCATTTTCGGTACGTTATGCCAGTAGTGGGCCCATGTTAGTCAAACAAGACAATGATGATCTATTCAGTTGAAACAAATGACCCAATTAAAATGTATCAGATGCTCTAATGGCCAGGCTGCAGCTAGCAATTTGGACACATTCTTTAATCATACCGTGATCATACCTCCTTGACGACCTTTTCAAATATACAACCAAATCATGCCTGACGTGCGCTGTAGAAGAAAACGTAGACTAATTTGGAACAACTCAGATCCTAGTCACAACATCCAAGTGCGCTTTCTGCTTCAGCGCTGCGATTGCTTGCTCCAGCTCCCGTTTCTTTGCCTCCAATTCCCGTATGTTCTCCTCTTCGGTGTGAAGCCCGGATAGGGCCTCGCTCAGTCGGCCCGCATCCGTGGTTCCATCTATTTGAACAGACCGCTTGCCGATGCAGACCCCTCGCTGAACCATCTTGACCTCGAGCTGGCTCGTTAGCGCCCGGAGCTGCTCGAGATCAATCCTGCCACCTGAGTAAAACGGTGCGAAGATCAGGCCTTTGGAAGGCATAGAGCTTCTAGTTGCACACTGCAAAATACTTGATTTGATTACGGTCCGATCCGTCAAAGTATTTTCTGTCCTTATTGATCGACCTTACTCCCTGAAAAAGTTTTGCTTGAAAAGCTTTGCTTAATCTCGCTTGAAGACTGACCCGGTGGTATACACGCTTTGCAGCCGCATACGTATATTTGTCAAAATGGCGTTATGTACTTGAAAGTACGAGGGACTGTTGAACGGCCGCTCCGGGAAGGATTCACACTCGCCAGGACTCGGATGACAAACAGCAAAAGTGGGAGGTACATGATGCTCGCATAAGTGCTCCTGAACCTTGAATGAGCAAGAAACCTTGACCCGTAGTAGCTCCAGGCCTCACGTCAGTTTCCCTTCCTACATCTAGGAAGAAAAATGGAGAAGTTTGTGTCCGATTCCATGTCCGACATCGGACGGCAGTCAAGGATCCGAGCAATGAATTCTGTCTATGACGAATATTCGGCTGAGGGACTTAGATTGTCTATAACGAATGTCCTTTCAAGCTTGTTCTGGTAAACGTTGTGCGCAAGAAAGATCACAATTGTGAACGCTTCCTCGACTCTGCAATTCTCGATTGACAAGCCTTACTTGACACGTGGTACATGCCTCCTCGCAAGCGCAAGACCAGATGCAGGGTGCTCTCGTCTTGAATGTTGTAGTCCGCCAGGGTGCGCCCATCCTCCAGCTGCTTTCCCGCAAAGATGAGCCGCTGTTGATCCGGAGGAATGCCCTCCATATCCTGTACAGCTGCCTTGAGCTCGTCAATGGTCATGCTACTCCGGCAGTGCCTCAAGTATATTGTCTTCCCCGTCAGCGTCTTGCAGAAAAGAAGCATCGTCTCTTCCTTCCCCTTCCCCACGAACCTTCTGACTATGAGAAAGGACCGCGACTGGATCCCCGCCTGCCAGCAGTACTTGCTCCGGGGGTCATTATCCACTAATCTGCTGCCGTCTGCAAAATGCAGTAATTGCTCGTCCAAGGGTATCCCCGTCCTTTGGAAAATCATTGACTTCAGGGCCTCGACCGTCGTGCTTTTGTTGATCGTGCTTAGGCTGACGTGGTGGGTGATGGCATCGTTGGCGCCCATGACAAGGACCACCACCGTCCCTCCTGTCCCTGCCCATGGCAGGTACCGCGAGGGGAGGGGCGCAACGGTCACCTGCAACAGCAAGAGTAGAACTTTGCAGGTATGGTCACTTTGGTGGCTGGCCAGGTTTCTGCTGATCTACTTGAAGGACATTCTGCAGCCAACTGTATAGGACCACTTTGACAGAATTGCGAGATAGAGATGCTGCAATGTATTTAGAAGGACCGTTAGTATTGAAGACATCTGTAAGGGAACATCTGAACATCTAAAACATCTGAACACACCACTTATTCTGGACAAGGTCTGCAGTCACATCCGGAAACCTTCGTCAGACCAGAAGCCATTGTGTCACTTGGTCCAAGGGTACCACATTTCTGATAACTTGAAAGAGTGGTTGCAGTAGACACTGATTGCAGATTGACAATAAAAGACCTATCTGTTCACTGCTCAAAGAACAGGCGTCACATGGCATTCACGAGCACTCAAGCTGGCTTTCTAAAGATTCTCCATGTTCGGCTTCTATTGTCCTACTTGCAACAACTCAGTCATCAAAATAACTTGACTGGTCCTTAAGTCACCCTTAAGTCACTGCACCATGCTTCCCTTTAAGAACATGGTAAGCCAAATTATTGAAAGAAAGAACCTGCCATTAGACTGCAGGAGGGTAGTAAAAGCTCCGATTGTCAGCTGTTGTTCCCCTTTGTCCTCGACATTGAGCAGTAGAAAAATGGTTTTTCACCATGCGGGTTTCGTAATCCCAATTCTCTCGCAAAATGTCCAATCACACTCTCACAATTCGTGGAATCGCAAGAGCACAGGGCTTTGGCAGGCCAACATTGCATCAACCAGCTGAGATTGCCAGCTGCAGATTGGCCTGTCACCTCTAGTATGGTCCTCATTGCTCGCAAGCTCCATGGTCAGATCTGCTGACGACTGGTCTTGAATCTTAGGGCACCCCCCCTCAAGATATGACCGATTCGGAATAATGCAATGGGTCTTCTGGCAAAAAGGCAATTAAAGGGGCCACTTTCAGGGATTAAAGCAGGATACAATCAAACCCCAAGCAATGTTCCTTCTTTTGGAGGACCTGAGTCTCACCTTTATATGTAGCTCCAGCTCATTCAGCGCACAAAACCCGGCAAGCCCCTCCTCATCTTTCAGCTCCATCTCTGCCGTACCTTTGTCCTGCTCATAGAACAGGCGCCCGGTGTCCACATCAAAGATGACCTCCGCGGAGCGCAAAAGGTTGGAAGTATACTGTGCTGCTGAATTTTCTGCACTATCCTCGCCTCCCCATCTGGACTGCTCATAGTACTGCAAATAGAGATCCTGGACACGCTCATCGTCTAAAAGTGGCCGCCAGCCCCCCAGCAAGAGCCTCATGGTTCTGAAAGAGATGCACAGCTTCTGTCCCAGCAACGCTTTGAAAGCTCCGGCAGTAAGGATGCTGGGGTCCACACCAGGCAGGACCTGTTGCCCGGGGAGGCATTTGCCCCCCGTGTACAGCTCAAAGGCCACCATGCTGCACGGATTTGCTAAGCTGGCTTTGTTACTCCATCTGTTTCCTGGCCAAGCAATGGCCCCCTTGTTATGCTCTTCTTGCACCTGGAGTTCAAACTGCAGAACTGCTGAGCAGGAGCCGAGCAGCAGGAGCTGCCCTGCGTAGCAGCATGACGTGTCTACAACGGCAACAGGGGAATTGCGTGATCCCTCAAAATCTCAATTCTTGCCCTTTCAAAAGAAACGTCCGATCGTTCGATACGTCATCGACGGCCCAGTCTGCGCCCCAAGAGCTGAGCAATTTGAACGTCCGATTGAAAACATCGGGATTGGACGGCTAGCACCAGTGGGTTTAGATTCAGAGCACAACGAAACCAGACCGCTTCATGATCCTTCAACTTCAAGCCTGCCAGGGCCGTCGAGCCAACGGGCGGCGCAACATTTCATTGAAGCCAGCTGGCCATGAATTGCAAGGCCGGCGAGCAAACGGGCGGCGCCGCTTCCCGCTCTTGCAAGGCCAAATGAAGCTTTCAAGGCGCTCTTCCTGCAAGATCAGCCCCGCTCCGCAATTCCTGGGGCAGTCGATCCGACAGTTGAATTTCTTCGACTTGGCTCCAGGAGGCTCGCCATACACACTGTCAGACGTTGTAACCACGATGAAACCGTTGCATCCGATACGTCACAAAGAAGGCACTGGCGTATCGGCCGTACATATTGTTACAGTTTGAGACAGTAACGCCGGTCAGCGATTCTCCGATCTAGTGCCAGAAGTCACGCACACAGTCATACTCATGGAGCGATCATCCGACCGATCCGACCAAGAACTAGATGGCTTCAATCACACTTCAATACTATTTCTTTCCATGGCCATTTTAGTGTACCATTGTATTTGCCTGCGAGAACATTCAGCTGCGAGGGAGGCATAATTAAGTACTCTCAAATGAAACTACTTTTTTACAAACCCGCCAGGTTTATTGAGTCTCGTTTCACGCTCATCAGCCCAGGATCCAATTCGTCCATGAAGGCAAAGTGCTGAATCCAGGAGATCAGTAACGCCCCGATGGATCCGCAATTTCAAACATTTCTAGACGAAAAGCAGCGAGACTTGTTCTTTCTGGCGACCGACTTGCGCTTCTTTAGGATCTGCTCATCTATACACTGGCACAAATCTGCTGCAAGCGTTGAAGTAGGACTACTCGATCCTCACTACTGCTTCTCTGCGTATGTTCGCGTGCCCGTTCTGCTTCAGCGCCTCAATCGCCCGTTCCAGCACCCGTTTCTTCGCTTCTAACTCCCGCACTTTCTCCTCAGTCTCTTGTGAAGCTGCCTGGCCAAGGCCTTGCTCAATCGACGGGCATCCGTGGTTCCATCGATCCGTACAGTCCGCTTGCCGATGCAGACTCCTCTTTGAAACATCTTGACCTCAAGCTGGGTCGTCAGCGCTCGCAGTTGCTCGAGATCGATTCTGCCACCTGTTAACACCAGCGTGATGATCAGACCTTCTGAGAACCTGAAAGCATTGAAATGCACTCGCATCCTCGTGACCGAGTCAATCACGATCGAAATCGTCAAGACTTCGTTGTTTCTTTGATCGACTCCCTGAACGAAATCCGGATATTCACGAATCTGACTCGCGGATAACTTAGACACGATACTTACCGAGCTTTTTAGACACCGCACACATTTGCCTGCCAAAACTACGCTTTGCATCAAGAAGCACGTCCGCAGGTGAGGGACTGGTGCTCACCACTTTCGAAGGAACTTCAATACGCCGATGTTAGAACCAGATTATTGGACTGAGGGTGTGTCGAAAAGCAGTCACTACAGAACTTTGGCAAGACTTGAACCGCAAGGCAGGCTTGGGAAGATTGAGGCTGGCTACCTTCAAATCAGGTTCCTACATCTGAAGGGAAAACTGAGTACGCTGCCTAGAAAACACATTCGTCGTGTCACTGTTTCCGACGTTAGAAGGCTGAATTGCACCAGAATTGATTCCGAGGACTACTAGACTATTTGACCCGAGATAAGAGAGACTCTTGACGGAAAGATTCTGCATCGCGCGAACGCTTTTGGTTCGAATCAACACTAATGAAGCCACAAGAGCTAAACTGAGCGACTCTTTAATCAATGTCGCTTCTAGCTAAGACTGTTTCCAACGGAGATAAAATCTATACCGGTGAATGCATGTTCTGACTTGCATGACAGGGCACTCGAGGGACGCCGCTCACTTGAGACGTGGTACATTCCCGCTCGCAGGCGCAGGACCAGATGCACGGTGCTCTCGTTTTGGATGTTGTACTCCGCCAAAGTGCGCCCATCCTCCAGCTGCTGCCCCCCCCAGATCAGCCGCTGCTGGTCCGGGGGGATAGTCGTTTTCTCCTGGATTGCCTTCTTGAGCTCGTCGACGGTCAGGCAATGCTTCAACGTTATCGTCTTCCCCGTCAATGTCTTGCAGAAAATTTGGCCCATTTCCCCTTCCTTTCCCATCCCGACGCACCTGTCCACTGTGAGAAAGGACTGTGACTGGATCCCCGCCTGCCAGCAGTACGTGTTCCGGGGGTCCCCATCCACTTTGACTCTACTGCCGTCAGCAAAGAGCAGTAACTGCTCGTCCAAGGGAATACCCGTCTTGTGGAAAATCATCGACTTGAGATCCGCGACTGTCGTGCTTCTGTTGATCGTGGTTAGGCTGACGTGGCGCGTGATGGCATCCTTGGCGCCTCTGACAAGGACAACCACTGTTCCATTTGTCCCTGCCCATGCGAGAAACCACGGAGGGAGGGGCGCGGAGGTCACCTGCAACAGGAAGAGTATAAGCAATTGAAGTTGCTTCCTTGGTTGGCTGGCCAGACAAATTGCGGATTCAAAAAGGTGACTTTCTGCAGCAATTCACTCTCTGCAAACCTTGACTGAATTGCGACGTAGAGATGCCGCAAATCACGAAGACGAGGTCGCTTCTCGATGATAGCTGTAAAAGTCATGTAAATGTAAACCACTCATGTCTGGTGCAGTCTAGTCTATTTCTGGAACACCACTGCTTAGAAAGGGAAACCAAGGCAAAACGTCAGATTATTGGATGTTCCTGATGTATGCAAGACTGTGAGATTGGTCACATTTTGAACTGTTTGCAGAACAAGAAAAGCCCTCTTTGCACTACATGAGTACTTGCAAAAGCTTTACACGTGAGTCAGGAGCCCTCTGCTGGTTTCCAAAAGATCCCTCACTTCATGCTTCCACTATTCTACTTGCAACACCTCCTTTCTAGGATTATTGCATACTAAACCTCAGATGAGATTTGCCGACAATATTGGGCCCTACGAAGAAGATACTTTCATTGATATTGGGTTGCCAGGACAGGCTATCTGAGCGGATTGCAACAGCCCCTAGCATTCGCTGTCATCCCCGTTGACCTTGATTTTGAGCAGCAAAAGGACTAGTCTTTTCATGTCATGCTGTCAGCATAAATGCGACACGTGACCCTGAGCAAGCTTACTCATGTATTGCATGAGTACATGTGATGGCAATGCAGAATTTGACAGGGAACCAGCAGGTCGCTATGTCATCCAGCTAAGGTTGCCAGATTGGCCTGACTCAGTGCTGCCAGTCACCGCTGCAGAGTCTGCATTGCTTGCATGCTCACAACGTAGGTCTGCTGACCGCTGGTTTTAAACGTGAGGGCAGCCCCCTTTATGTGACTAACTTTGTACAAGCCACAGCGTAATCTGGTGAAGGTCGGGAGCTAAAGCAGCTTACAAGCAGGTTCTTTTGGCACACCTGAGTCTTACCTTCGAATGCAGCTCCAGCGTATCCAGAAAACAAACTGCAGCAAGCTCCTCCTCATCTTTCAGCTCCATTTCTGCCGCTTGCGCCTGCTGATGAAACAAACGGCACCTGTCCACATCAAAGACAACCTCTGCGGAGCGGGAGAGGAAGAGATCATACTTTATTGCTGACTTCCCTGAGTTAGTCTCACATCCCGGCGTGGTTTGGTCACAAGAGTACTCCACATAGAAATCCTGAACGCGCTCGTGGTCTGACAGCAACCGCCAGCCCCCCAGCAGAAGCTTCATGTCTTTGGAGGAGATGCAGAGCTTCCTCCCTATCAAAGCTTTCAGAGCCCCTGCGGTGAGGTCCTCGGGGTCGACATCAGGCAGGATCTGTTGCCTGGGGAGGCATCTTTTCCCATTGCGCAGCTCCAAAGCCACCATGATACACTCTGCAAGCTTCTTCTCACACCAAGAAGGGCCAAGGAAGGGCCGAACAACAATGCTCAACGTTTGATTTATCCTATGGAAATGAAGTAACGAACATGAACAAAAAGAAGCGCCAAGCTTTGCATCCTCTTTGCATGGTAGTAATACTAGACCCCGATGACAATCGAGATCCGGATGATCCCTTACCAATGCTGACTCTGCATTCGAAACTGACCGTCCGAATGACTGAATTTTGCAATCCCGTAGATCGGACGGCTTCGATCTACCGCTGCTTGACCGTCCGATCGAATAGCTTGACGGCTGGCACTACTCTTAGAGCCTTAGTACCCACCTCTACCCAGCGCGTACGGTCGGCTGCGCGGCCGCTGCGCAGAGGAACTGTCATGTGTCGGACTCTGGAGACGGTAAGGCCTATCTGCTCAAAGCAGATTTGCGTTTCACGACAGCAATCTGACAACGAATTGCTAGGCCGATTGTTTCCCTCGCGGAAGGCAAGGAGGCTGCTCTGCCATGGAGCGCCGCTTTCCGCCACCTTAGCCTGAGTAACTTATATTATTTTGCTGACATTGCACGCACTTGAGAGTGAAACATGCCCCCCCGCAGGCGCATCCCCGTGCGGTTCGTGTTCTCGTCCTGAACGTTGGAAAGAGCTAGTGCCTGCCCGTTCTCCCGGTTCTTTCGCCGAAGCCAAGCTGCTGCTTGTCCAAAGACTGGACTTCCAAGCCTAAGATCATCGCCTCGATCTCCTGGACCCTATCCGTACTGGCAGTACATTGCTTCTCTGGGCCCCTAGACTCCCCCATGACCGGTCGAAAGACCCCTACTCAAGCTTCTCCTGCAGGCTGGCCGCCCCTACTTCACTCTGCCACTAGTTGGCCCCGTACTAATAACCAACCAAGTTATCATCGGGGTACTGCAGGAGCAATGTCGACGTCCGTTAGAGGATCCCCGTTTCATTGAAGGTCTGTTAAAATAGGGCTCCACCTGGTGACAGACGTCGATCGCGAGGTAGCTTCTTCTGTGACGTCACGATTGGAACCCAACAGTAATGCTACGACCGTCCCTTCGGCTTCGGCCTAGGTTGGTAGCAAACTCTCCGACGGCAGGCGCCACGTGTCGACCTGCAGACGTCGAGTTCCTTGTCGGTTTACTTCAGCTTGACAAAGAAGACGATTGAATCAGCGCTAGCAAGGTCAAAGCAATGCCAAGATATTGAAGCAGCAGCCCCATTAAGACGGTACCTGGATACCAAACAACGCCGGCACAGGTTGTGCGGCTTGTAGAGCCCTCTGCTGTTGACTGGCTCTTGGTCATCTGGAGGGGAAGAATTAGATAGCGAAGACGTAGAAGGGAAGAGTAAGAAGCTTTTGCTTTTGAAGGGGCCCTTTTTGAAGCAGACTGGAAGAAGAGCAAAGACTACTCGAGAGATCGAACCCAGTCGATGCATATGCCCGAACAACGAAAAGCTCGTGAAAGAGAAGAAAACAAAGAAGAAAGGAAGAAGGAAAGAAACTCCTCACCACAAAGTGAGGGGGGAAAAGGGATTCAGATCCACAACTTGATGACTTGACTTCGTCAAAACGGCAGTTCTTCTCGGGTTGACTCTTGAGATTTGGAGAGCCGATCGCGATGAGCGCCGATATTTCGAGTACCATACAGCTTCTTGCGCGTCAATCAGATTACCCCGGCTTCTACTTTGGACCAAGAAGATACCATCTACAACCATCATAGGCGAGCTGTTCAATTGTTTGATGACGCGAGCGCAAGCAATCTGAAAGCATCACGTCTTGCGAGCGCATTGCCATGACCTCAGGCCCTCGACAAAGAAGAGGCAATGCGCGAAGGAGAGGCCGTCGCAATAAGGCTACAATTCCGAAGGGGCGCTTGGAACCGCCAAAACGCGCATGCTGCTCGTTTCTCACCGGCAAACTGGTACAAAAAAGGACCTCCAAGGCTTTCGTGCCCCTCTTGCCCTTTGTGTCACAGCTCACAACAACGTCTTTAGTCCACGTCGTACTGCACGATTCTCACCGTGGGAAAGGCTGGCCTTACACGGTTATGATCTTTCCCAGATACTTGGCATAGGAATCTTGAACGCCTTTGCTCGGAGAAAGGGTGGCATCCGTCCCTCTCTAGATCATAGCTCGGGAGGAAGGTGGAGCTTCCAAATCAAAGACTTCAGCAGGTCCCTTGCCGGAGGGGGCGGGGGTCCACCCCGGGCAGCCCCTGCTGCCCGCGGCCATAGATCCAGTTGCCGATATTGATGCACAGTTCAAACGGCAGAAGTGCGGCCCCCAGTTACTACCGCGCTGGGGTCCAAGAGATAGAAATTCCTTGATAGATAAGGAGACTTTGCCAGTGAATAAGCAATTGAAGGGTACGCAGGCGGTCCTAAGCCCTCATGTAAGCTGTTCCAGGACTTGACCCAGAATCTCGGCTAACTGGAGACGTTTACGCAAGTGAGGACGATGTCTGGTTGTCGCGGCTCATATCTAGGATCCTAGGGTGTGTACTTGGCCTGGTTTATTTTGAGCCGGGGGTTATCAGCTGTCATGTGGTGACCGTTGAATCTCAACGAGATTGAACTACAATAGAAATGTCGTCTCTCGGGTCAGCAAAACTGGACGGACGGCAAAATAGCCAGTCCAAAACGACATCCGCAGTTTACAGAAGTCTGCAATTGGCGCTTTGTACCCGACTGGAACCAGCCAATGCTAGCAAACGCTGTCGAATCTGCGTCTTGGAGGTAGCCACTAAGCACGTGGCGGGATCTCAGACGGTGCATCGCGCTGAATTGACGATTTCGCCACGGTTCAGCCCGTTGATTTGTGCCCATTAAGACAGGCCCACAAACATAGTGCTTGGAGACTGACTGCGTCACTGCATGATGCGCAGGATTCCTACGGATCTCTATAGAACACCTTTAGCAGGGTTCGCGTACAATAGACGTCAGCGACGCCTTCATGGCGAGCGCAATATGTAGTCCAACTGAGACACAATACTTTTTTTCTTGTAATAGTTCGCACATGAGTCTCAAGAACGTCATGTACTGCGTGGTTAAGAGAAACGCCTGGCACAATCATAGAGCCTGCAGCATGTGCAAACATCAGAGTCGTGCAGCATTGGTAACACCGTGTTGTACGTGTCATGCGTACATATGACCATCGCTTTGCCACAAGAGCGTTGACTTACAAAGTCTCCCATCACGTTATGCATCTTGCTATACAAGTCCAATCGTACGAAATGTTGAAGCATAATCCCGACTCTTGTCGAATCCCTCCTGATCCGAAAGCTGTTTTCTGGTTGTGCCTTCAAAACAAACACGCGGATGACCAGACGCCATACGCTGAGATCAACAGCGGATTTTCAAATCCGTCGAACGTATGAAGAATGCCCTTTGGCATGAATCGTACAAGCAGTCACTCTCTACTGATTGAACACATCAATCAGACGGTGATTACTGGAGACAACGAACACGGCCTTCCTGAGGCGCACCATTGCAGGACTTAGACTTGACGAGTCTAGTGAAAGATCCAGGAGTCTAGCAAATGCTCCTGCACAAGCCATATTCAATCCTCTATCATCGTTGCTTCCGCCCGAACAAGATGCAACCATTCTTAAGATCAAGTCAAGGTGCTAAAATCACCTCCTGCGTGAACTCTTTTACGAGGTGATCAGTTCCCGAATCTGCCTCCGAAGCGGTTCCGAGCTCAAGGGATGCTTTGAAAACCTCAAGAACCATACGCTCAAGCTTTGGACGATTTTTAATGGCGCTTGCACTCTCCTTTGTGTCCCAGTCTCCAATGAGAGGCCTGAAATGGGAGGAGGAATTTTTTGGGTCAACCCTCTCAATCGGGTAATCAGCAGCAGGCAGCTGAACGCTGTCGTTACAAAGAGACATGAGCTTCTCGCACCCGTCGAGTCTTTCAACGGTGAGACCTGACAATATCCTTGTCTCTACCAAGAAGCATCTACAGATCCACGGATTAACGTGGACCCTAAGTGTCTCTGAAGTTGTTACAGGGCTAACGCACGCCAGTACAGCGCTTGTAAGAGCAGCCTTGGCAAAGAAAAGACTTCCAGCTCGGAGTAAGATTCAGGAGAAGCGTAAGACAACATGGGCTGATTGGCAAACTCATAGGGCACACTTCAAGGCTACAAGTGATGAGAGGTACGGCTGTGTATGTTACAATGTAAGGGAGCTACCTGGCAAGCCTTCGAGCAGTACCGCACACGTCCGCAGCCGCCGCACTTGTTGAATGTCCCTTTTGAAACCTCAACGACATCTTTGGCGCAGTCCTGCAGGAAAGAATACATATGGCAACTTCGTTCATTGCTCAGAGTCATAGAGAGGTTTGGCGGCTATTTCAGCTTTCCTACTTCAAACTCATGTGCCAGGGCCAGAGACGAACCGTTCTGTTATTTATAAGCTTTATGTGGAAAGCCATCCGACTGGGCACAAAATCTTGGCGTCATACGAGGACGAAAACCCGAGCAGGCCATATAGGCAACCCGAAATGAAATCTGGATTCAGCTAGAAGATTGAAAAGCAGCGCGACTTTCAACTTGAAACCCGACAACGGAATCTAACTTGCACAGCGTCCTTTTGCAGAAAAGGCATTTCTGGAGAAAAACCTCCATTAAGAAACAGACCCAAAAGGTCATTCCAAGAGCCTCACCGGATAAGCGCACTCTTCGAGCCCGAATCTCTCGGCCAGCATCGCCCAGACTCGCTTCGCGGTCTCCTGCAGGATCGGCAGCCACGTGGCCACACCGTGCAGGGTTGGCGGGTAGCAGTCCGCGAGGTAGCTTGAGGCCGCGGCGCGCGTCCGCAGGACGGCCGCGGAGAAGCCGATGCCATCCGCGGAGACGACTTCGGACACGAAGCGCTCCTTGAGCGCGGCGTCGCCGGCCGCGCGGTGGAGCGCGCGCCCGAAGATATCCAGCAGGTTTGGAAGAGCCTCCGTCGTCTCGTGCCACGTGTCGCGCTCGTCTTCGTCCAGCGTCGTGGCGACGATGAGCTCCGAGATGGGCACCCCCTCGATCGGCTTCCGGTCATCTTCCGGGTGGACGTAGCACAGCCGGAACTCGCCCCCGCGGAACACGCTCGAGAAGTGGGCGTAAACGCCGCCGAGGCAGGCCACCAAACCCGCGGCCACGGGGATCAGGACGTCGGAAACGACTTCGGGCGCCGCAGACAGCGTCTGCAGGACGATCGCCGGGCAGAAGGGGTTGCTGCGGGTGCGGCCCTCGCCGAGCGCCACACCCAGCGCGACGTCCCCGCCTTCGATCGCGCGAGCGGCCAGCCGCGCGACGCGCATCACAGTCCCCGAGGCCACGAGCGCGGCAGCGCCGCGGTCGATCTCGTCCGCCATCGCTGCAACGAGCGCCTCATACGCGTCCCCTTCCAGCCGCTCCTCCTCTGGCAGCAATTCGAACGCCTCTAGTCTTGCAACGAGAGCGGGGGAGTACTCGGGGAGGAAGAGCGCGAGCGACGCCAGGCCCTTCCAAGCCATCCCGGTGTTACTCCCCCCCTTCACTTCGTCCTCTTCGATGGTCCGGACCGCCAGCTCCACCAGTGCGTACCGGTGCCGATACTTCCGCCCGGGGACCGTTTCGAACGCCGCAAACAGGCACTGCATCAGGTCCTGCCGGTCATGCCGATCGAGCGCCCCGTAGTCGCGCGCCGCCCACGCCAACAGCCGCGGGCCCATGTCTTCCAAACCCTCCGCGTAGAACATGTTATACTGGGCGACGCGGCCGCGCAGTTGCGCGGGCCCGCCGCAGCCGATAAAGACCATGAGGACGGTCAGCGCCTCTTTAGCTTCGAGTGACAGCTGGCAGCGCGCGCCGCGCGGCAACGCGGCCGTCTCGTTCTCCAGCGCGCGCATCACGACGTCCGGGGCTCCCTCTGCAATGAGGCGCTCGTACTTGTCGACCTGGGCAAAGGCCAGCTCCGAAGCGACCAAAGCATACAGACTCTTTACGATGAGAGTCTCGAGGGTTTCCGCGTCCCCCTCTCCCGCCTTCAACTTCTTCAGCAGGTCCAAGGCCTCTTGAAAGGCTGCGCGGCTCTTCTCTTCGAGTTCCTGCTCTTTAAGGCGCTTTTCCGCGGGGTTCGCTTCCGTCAGAGAGCTGATCTGCTTCAGGCGGAACTCCGTGCTTTGCCAGATCTTTTTGAACGTCCCGATGTTTGCCACGTCCACCTCGAAGAGCGCGTTCACACCGTCGCATATGTTCGTAACAACTGCGGGCGTGAAGATCTCCCTTCCGACAAATTCATCCGCAAGGAGAGAAATCACCTGCACGAGTGCCATCAGGGCCGTCAAGTGACACCCCGCCTCCGGCGCGTGCGCGGACGCGGCCGCGCGCCGCAAGAAGCTGAGGACGTCCGAAACCCAGCACGCCCACTCCGCCGGTCCGACTTGTTCGGAGGCCCATTCCCTGGTCGGAGCACCGTCCCGAAAGAACGCGGCAACGGCTTCGCAGACGTTTTGGACCAGGACAATCGAAATCAGGAGGCGTAGCGTATTAGAGGGCGCGGGATTGCGAAATGGGATGAGCTTGAGGAGGGCGGGGAGCAGCCCGCTGTGCAGAGCTTCGGTTGTGAACTCGGGTGTGTGCTCGAAGAGGTGTCTGGTGAGGTCGAAGGCTAGCTGCAAAACCTCCCACGGGCGATATTTTCGGGTTCCTGCTAAGTAGTTCTTGTGGGGGGTCGCACCATCGAGGAATCGGCTATTCTCTTGAGGGAAGACGTCTTCGAAAAACTCGGCTACCAACGGGGCGATGTCGGACGCGTCGAACTGCAAAGGACCAAGGTAAGCTGTGGCAAAATTTACAAGCCGTGACGTGAAAGCTATGGTTGAGTGCGTTTCTTTTCGACCTTCCACAGAATGCCATCATGACTTTCGCGAAAGAACGAGGCAGAACAAGGGTTCTGTGTTGGATATGATGCGGTAAGAGATTCCCGAGATCTTTGACTTCGCTCTCTTTGTTTCGCAGTATCAGCACCACAGTGTTTGACGCCTTGGACTTTTCAAATGTCTGTGGCCTCGAAGAGCGTGTCTCGCAAAGATTTTGAACCACTGTGAGGACTGACAGCTTCGTGGACAGAGTTCAAGAGTTGACGAGATCGAGGTAGAAGAGAGTTCGAAAGAGACTGCAGTAGCTGATGCCCTCAGACACGGTGACCACAGCCTTCAAGAAGCTGATCACTTTGTATAAGGTGAGCTCTTACCTGTCTGGAGAATGGTGGGATACTAGCCAGTCGCTCCAAGCAGCCGACGATCTCTGGAAGGAAGGCGTTGGTGTCGGCTTCTTCAATGAGCAATCCGAATAGCGCTCTGACCACGTCCTTGTTCGCCGTCAATTCCAGTACCTGCGTTACAAGAAAAAGCTCTTATGGACTTAGGTAAGTTGGCTGAACCAGAATCACCACGGTTGCTGCAGCTGAGGGTAAACTACTGATACTACTGTAGTTGTGTGGCATCGTCAGACAGCATTCGCGGTTCAATCATGAGCAACAGGCCTAGTCATATAAAGAGTCTAGGAGTTACAGAGCAAAATCGAAACCAAGAGCAAGAAAAGAAGAATCAAGAAGGGACACAACGTCCTGTTAACAGGAACGCGACAGTCTATGGTTATTGCCCTCAACCTTTCGACCCGTTCGCAATCAACTTAAGTCTTATGTCTAGGTGATCTACAGGGTTATATCAAGTCGGCACACATAAGCAGGCTGCTGGTATTTCCCTATCCACTATATGTCAGAGTCTTTCAGAGAACCTCTTCTGTCAATTTTAAACAAGCACCAAAAAGCTATTTGCATGGCCAAGAGGCTAGTAGCAAGATCTCTTCATGGAATTCGATCCCCCCTTCGTGAATCAAAAGATCCTTGCCTGCTTGTACGCCGGACTGGGGTCGATTTGCAGTGTCTGCCACTGGTTCCCTGCGCCGCGGCCAGCTGATGGGCTGCCCTTGATCTCGTCGACCAGTCCTCTTAGCTCAGAGACTGCGCGAGGCCGCATCTGGCCGGAGGATAGCACCTTGAGATATTTTGCCGACGAGCTGCCCACACCAATCCTGGAGTCTCGCTGCATTCAAGATGGAGTTGCATGAATTTTGCTCAGTAGGGTGCTAGCAGTTCTGATAATGGTGGTCATGAGGGTCAGACAGGTGGAATAGCTTGATTCATGAATGAAATAAAGAGCAGTAAGCATGACCTGGTGCATGCTCTCGGTGAGAAGGACATACTAAGCTAAGCAGAGGCAGGAGCTCGTGGCATAAGCCAGAAGCGGAAGGACAACCTTATCTAGAAACTCAATACAAGGGCTGGCCACTCAGAATATAGATAGCACCTCAATTCCGGAAATGGTGATGAGGAATCCCATAAAGCAAGCCCCCTCGCAGAAAAATAAAGTACATACGCCGAGGCCTTCGACCTTGCATGATCAATACTCTCGCATAAACGAAACCCCGTATTACCCTGATCAATTTTTCTGACGCCTCTTTCTCTTGAGCATGTATCAGCGAGCGAGCACAAGAGAGCAGGGTCGATCTCTCAGACCAGATGTTTCTACTTTCTTACACATCTCAAAGTTACCCCAAGCTCAGTAGCAAGAAGACTTTCTGCTGTGAGAGATTTTAAGCAGGCGAAATAACTGTCTCCGCTCGACCCACCTTGCTCCTCGTCATTTCCCTTCCTTAAATACCCTATGGAGCTTGGAAGGGACACCAAGCGCAAGACGCCGTTGAGATCTTCAGGTTGGAGATCGACCAACTAACTTCAGTCCTCTCTCCTCAAGAAGTGCTGAGAGCATCATTCGATCAGCGCAGGCATGCACACTCTGATGAGAGCACCTTAGCGCCTTCCTTCCATCCACAGGCGCCTGCGAAGTTTGCTTCCGGAGTCAAGGAGGTGAAACGAAGCTTGTAATCTTACGGGAGGCCGGTTTAGAGACATTCACGATTCAGAATCACGCCGCTTGGAACCTCAACTGACTTCAGTCGTACCAGGACACCAATTTAACTTCGTTCGTCAACACTGTTGCAGATGTCCTGTCTGACCTGCTTCAACCCGGTATGGGCCGCGACAATGGACCTGTCTTACAGTCATGGGACTACCGCTGCATAAGCATGCGTGCGGCCGGTGCACGGATGATCACGCGTCCCTGGCCGGATCGACTGCACGCAGGCTGGTGCGTGAGTTGGAAACTCACTTTGACTATGCAAGCGTATACTGACCATGCGGTCTGCAAAGGGAAGCTAACGTCATCGAATGCAACTTGATACACAAGAGGAGGAAATTTTCCGCATTATTAGCATGTCAAGAGGTAAAGCGCCCTCTCCATTCAGTGCATCCAGTGCTGAAATACGCTCAAGAGTGACAGCTAATTGTTGCGCGGCCGGCCGCCACAACGCGCGTAAGAGTACAATTGTTGATCAGTGGTGCGCGTGATCAGAAGATATCATTGAAGAACTGCACAAGTCTAGGTATCACGCATGAGGCAATCGCCACGCCAGACACTGAGCGTATATATATGGCCCAATCTTCGTCTTGCGTGCACTAAGTCACGGAGGCTCTTTTTTGCATGTCCTCCCGAAGGCAGTTGAATGTTGATCTCGTTATGCGTCATGCCTAGATAGGCTCTCAAAAGTTGTGGGCACTCCATTGAGTTTCAAGCAACGGATTCTCATGATACAAAGAGACTCTTTGGTTCACTGTACAGGCAGAGCTCACTCAAGCGGCAAAGAAGCCACGCTATTGAGACTCGGCGTTAGGCGCGGGCGGTAAGAGCCCCCTACGCGAGGCGTTCTCGTACAAGGCTATTGCCGCCAGGGCTTTCGAGTCGGCGGTCGACTTCCATAGGTCCTCATATGGGACCACCACCAACTGAATTAACTCTCCGTGGTCTTGGAGGCCGGTCTGCTTCCCCTGGAGGTCTTTGATAACCTGCAACACAAAAAGGAATATGTAATTTAACCGCCGCTTGACAATCCGTAACACAGTCACGGATTGCAGGGTCCTGCATTGCAACATCGTCAGAAACGTAACTTTCCTTTCGTCGACTTACTCACATTTCTCGGAAACGTGCTTGACAACCTGCATACAGCGGTACAAGCTGAAGCCTTGATCTGGGCTCGATGCGTACTCCGCGTCAGCAACCGCAGAAAATTGTGCTGCAGTCTCCTCGTTTACGGGTTACCGGTATATTAGGAAGAGGGACAATGATGTTATCAGATTGAGAGGTCTCGGACGAAGACGAATTCCTAAGGATCGGCCGTAGCTTTCAGTACACCCTAAACCTGGCCATGATAAATCTGCTGGGAACTCTTGAGAAGGCCGTGCGTTGTGCTCATTGGGCCCGAAATGTTACAGCGATTCAAGTCGACTTGTTTCACCCCTTTCCAAATCCAAGTCAACGGGTAAGCAATCATCGTGTCGTGTCCTACTTCATAAACTGCTCAGTACGTTCGGCTTACGAAAACAACCGAAGCAACGGCGTCCGTCAACCCCTCCTAGAGATTAAAGGCGCATACGAGCAGGAAGCTCGTGCAAACACCACAAGTGTTGGTGACTCTGTGTTCTCCGAGAGATCAATCGGAAGTACTTTTTGCTTGTTGAACAGGTCAGCTTTCAACTTGGAACGTGATCGAATGATCTATGTTTGAGACAGCCCACCTTTGCATCCACCTTCGCTCTGTACAACATGAGCCCGATCTCCTCGTCTGAGCCACCCTGCCGATGCACGGAGGAACGAGTGGACGAGTGAGTACCAAACCGTGGATCCGTGCGCACTGGAACAGAGCCAAGCACAAACCGCACAGATACCTAGTCCTAAAGTTCTTGAAACTACGCCGACAACGAGTGTGGCACGGAGCAAGGTGACCTTCGTGGGGGAGCAATCAGAGAAACAGTCTACAAACTCCATAATGCATAGAGCCTCTCGCTTGAGAGCCCAAGTTCAAACCGCCTTTTACAAAGGCTTCGCATCTTGGGGCGGAATCGTCGCCGTTGATAATGACAGCGAACACGAGAAAGCCCCTGACAGAGCAAGAGCTCCACTGACAGAGGCTCAGACAGGGTTGCGTATTGTATCGCGGTACCGAGCGGGCGGAAGAACTAGAGCGGCAATTCTCATCCCTTACCGGTGACGGCAGCATCCTCCGCCCCGTGCTCTCGTCGAGCAGCGCCGTCAGGTCCACCAGGTCGGAGCCTTTGATGTGAATGCCCACCTCCTCCTCAACCTGCAGAAGGCGTCTAGCTTCTAACTATGACTCCATTTTACAGCGTCCCTTTTGCAAGATCTCCAATGCTCTTCTTAGTGAAGCACTACCAAAGATGCGGATGAATCGCAACATGGTTCAGAGAAGGATGGGAGAGTCACGGGCACGAAGCTATAGCGCGGCGTCGTCCAACCAGAAAGCGACAGCACGGAAAGCAATAGGCCACCAACGGTGTGACAATGAATTGAAGTCCACTTCCTCGCACATACCCACAGCGATGTTTCAAATCCAGATTCCATACCCTAAAAGATTATGATTGGAACGGTTCCACCGGATTCTGAGGTGCCCTAGCAGACTCGTTCTCTGGTGGGGTGTGTACGAAGCAGCCTCCTTCCTTCCGGTCAAAGCATGCAACCCCACAATAAACCTCCAGAGCGCAACCCCCATAGTCCTATCACACCACATGGCAGATTTTCAGCAAAGGCGGCACCTCTTTGGCGGCCGTCCCGCTGAAGTCCCCCTCGTCGTCGTCCAGCATGCCAGCTGGCAGCTCCTTGAGCGCCCGACCCACGGGAACCCGCGCCTGCAATAAACAGCGAGAGATTCTCTTTATCAAGCAGCCACGTCATCAATCGTACGGACCAAGCTGACGTCGCACACTAAGGCGGGTTGGAACCCTGTTGGAACGGGTTTATGAAGGATCCGGGACGTTCTGATTACAGGCTGGGTTAAGGAAGGTCAGTGTCGCGGCTTCAGCGCATAAATTCAGACTCTCTCACCCTTGACTCTTTATGGCGGTTCAGAATACAGAAGACACGCGATCACTATTGAGACAACAATTCGAGGGAACTCCAGATGACAACTTCGGCTCAAGTAGTAAAATCCCCAAGTGCTGCTCAGAAGAACTCGTGTCGGGTTCGCCGGAAGTGGCGCTCATACTATATTCTTACCAACCATCTGATCTCAATGCCGCCATTACCGGTCCCTCGTTTCAATGATCGCTATGAGGCCCTTGCAGATGACCATTGAGGAGTTCAAGGAATGCTCCGAAGAGAGATCAGCGGATGGCCTGAAGCTCGATCCGGGGCATGAAGCATGCTGTCCGACATCTGCTTAAGAACCTCCTTTCTGACCAGCTTGAGATTGTCATGGCAGGTTACATCGCGACCTTAGAGTTTAAACCCTTAAAACCTTAAAACCCCTGTAAGATGGATTTCGCATATCTTATAATGTCCGTACCTGCTCTGTCAGGACAGCCCACGTGCGGCCCTCCGCCTTCAACAGCATGAGGATGCCCACAGCGCCTCCGCGCGCAAACACTATCCCCGGCAACTGCAGACGCATTCATTGGAAATGCGGCTTGACTTAGACTATAGATGCCGGATCGGGAGGTAAAAGCTTTACCAAACGTCGGTTCTAGGGGGCGGAATATCAATGGGGCAGCAGTGTAGAACGATGTGAGCAGAACAGGGTTCCCAACTCTCCGAGAGTTGAATGTTGCTTCTTAGCGGCTCGTAAGATCTAGCAATTCCTATGCCTCGCCCCGTTAAAGACCAATGAGCTCAGTGGGAGTGCAACACATGCACAGCGGCAGATAGAAAAGACAGATTAAAAGACAAAGTAAGGAAGCCACGGGTTCGCAAGAACCGAAAGCGCAAAGCGTACTTGGATGCAGTGTTGTAAACACGCGCAACACCAGAAGCAATATAGGATCCGGTTTGCAGTGAGGCCCTTTTGAAGGACCCTGTCCAAGGTGACAAAGCTGTGGCATCAGAAAAAAACCGACATTATCTGAGCGCCGCCTCATGGCCCCCAACTAGTCCGCATCCTGGCCACAAAGAGCATTCTTCTCAAGACAAAGCTTGACCGGGGGCTCTGTCAACAGAATTAAATCAAGAGAGGGCAGATCTTTCAACCTCGTTCCGCGAATGATTTCAAAGAGGGCATAGCCAAGGAGAAGGCTTGATCCCGGAAGCGAGCGTTGCACTGATTCTTAAGGCATGCTAACAGTGAAAGTCTCGGGGACAACATTGGTTGGCGCGAGGTTTTAAAGATGGGACTGAGCAGTATCAACTTTCACTAAGCATTCGGAGGAAAGAAACAGTTGGGCCCAACGTAAGGAGAACTGAGAGATTCAAAGTAAGAAGCAGACCGTGGGTGGCCTTTGAACTGATGCGGACCGTTGCAGCTTACACGAACCGGCTAGGAGCTTACAAATAAGCAAAGCAGGGCGACTGCCTTACAGCCAAACGACGGAAAGGACATCCTCGAAGCTGGCTGCACAAAAGAGAAGGAGAGAAGCCGGAGAGTTGAACAGCATAACTATTCAGCAGCGCCCAGAACTGAGTCGCTGCGACCACTCCCCAAGGCCACCAGATCTAGGCCCGTGCTCAACTCCAGACATGGTTGGCCGGGCATCCGACCGCCTCTCAACTTCTTCTCCACTTCGGAGGTTGGTGGTGTCGTCACGGCCGGAAATGGAATACATCATACGAAGGAAAGCATAACGAGGGACACGGCTTGCTGTTTATCCCAGCCGCCGAAGAGGTATGCGCCGATGAGTCAGGGACTTGAGCCGCAAAACAAAGATTCAGACGCTGTCCAATCTACGCGACAGACAAAGGAACAAAGCCAAGTTGAACGCCGCTCAGCACGCAGTTCAAAACTATCCAAACTTAACGAAGCTCTCAATGAAATTTGGATGTGCGAAACGTCGGGACAGCAGTGCTATGATCAGCTGCAGCGGCCGATTGGCGCCTGACAAAATGGTTCCGGCTGATAATCTTGCAGGGCGGGAGATTCAACAGGGGCTTCATCTGCTAAGACTCGAATTCGTGGACATGCGTTAAGGCAATTACTCCTCTTGCAAACGCACGACAGACTCAGAAAGTCTTGTTCATATTCTGAGGCACAGGAGTACATAACGACGCCTGGCTGGTTGGGCAACAAGATGGTGTCCCCAATCACCAAGAGCAGTTTTGGAACGTGGTCAGAGGAATTCAATGGGCGCGCAAAACAATATAACCGGTCCATAACTTCTTGGAGGATCACGTGCTTTTGCCATTTTTGCTCATACCGCTCTAGTCCAAGGTGCCCTTCTCACCAAGACCGTTATCTGCCCACTAAAGTACCCGGAACGTGACAAGTTTGCAGAACGGCTGCAGACAAACTCTTTGAGTTGATTGTTGGGCGGCGTTCTTGCCCACATTAAACAGCATCACGGCCTTGAACTTATTTCCTACTTTCGTTGATGTGCTAAAAGCACCTACATATCTGTCTAGTTTCGTATTTTGGGAACATAGAGCACTGGGGTTTTGGATCTCATTTCTTGGTACCCAGAACCGGGTTCGTTAAAGCACCTAGATCCGCTGTCCAAGAACAACGGTGGTCCCACTTGCCTATCGTGAAGCGAAATGTACGTTGGATCATGGGGTCAATATTCGCAGGTTCCAACTAAGCACTTTGTCTTCGCTGGGCAAGCATCAACCATCGGGGCACCGTAAGGCCGCCAACTCAATCTGCATCAACCTCTGTTGTGCAACCGAAGTCTCATACGATAAGCAAACCTCGTGGCGTGGCTGCTACAAAGTGGAGAAGCGTGCGGAAGAAACTTTTCGCAGCGCTTCGACAAGTTGGGTCGCGGGATCCGTTTGTCCTTCTCTGGAACACTCCCGACTGGTTTCGGCTTTTGAGGTGCGCTTTCACAAGAGGGAAGGTGCAAAACACTTCGTAGTAATTGCTTGACGACTGTCGCGGCCCCCGATGAGACGATCCTGATACCCTGTGACGTTATGGTGGGCTTCAACCTACCCAGACTAGGTAGCTGTGAGGTCCTGGACCTCGGGGCATGCGTATCGTGGCCATGCGAGCAAGCTCCCCCACTCTATTACTTCGAGTTCGTGTTATGTGAAAGCCTGTCCAGCCATTGCTGGACCTTTGAACGACCGAAAAGCAGGGCACACTCGACCTCGTGCTGGTGCCCTCGACGTTAATTTATCAGCTAGCAGTCAAGAAAGAAAGTTTGACACAAAAAGAACAACAAGAATCCCGTGTGAAAGAACTTTCTTCAGTTCCAGCAACTTTCTCGTATCAAACGAGTTGAGAAATTAGCAACTGTGAAAACCCTTCCACAGAAAAGACTTCAGAGGTCACCGTCATCGTGACTGCACTTCCGCAGTCTCCGCTGAGCATCTCCTCGACGTGAAGAGATTGGTCTGGGTCGTCGGATTGGCCCCTCTCAGATACGTCCTCACCGTTTTCCCGGTGGCCTCGTCGACCACCTCCGCCTTGAACTTGACGAACCCGACGCGCTTGCCAAAGTGGTCCACGCTCTGCACCAGCACGCTGCGCAGGGACACGCGCGCGCCACCGTTGCCCCCCAGCGTCAGCAGCCCCGACTTGGACCCCAGCGCTTTGAGCCACTGCTGAAACGGGACGGAGTTTACCGCAGCGCTGGAAGCAGAAGGGGCGGGTGAGAACCGGCTTAGCCACTGTTTGGGGGCAAATTTGAAGGATTTGTCGGAGGGGAACTCATTGGGCAATTGAGAGCTGCGTCAATCGTCCCTTGGCACCAGGCACGAGGTGGACACGGGCTGTGCTTGACTATCTACCCTCTTAGTAATGCATCGTGAAAGCTCAACAATTGAAGGACGCAGGGCTATCATCCGCTTTGGTTCTTAAAGTGTTCTCAAGCATGGCTGATCTAAGTAGCCGCACTTGTGGAGAAGGTCAAGGCCAGAACGAGAACACAATTCCAACTGTACTGGAACAGAAGTGCCCTTTGTGATTACAAGTGATTACAAGGCGCCACGGCCTACTTGTACGGATACACCTCCTTGCAAACCACTTGCCCACATCCCAAAGAGGGCAGCTAAGAAGCAAGTCAATATACGCGGGCAAACTGCCCAAGCGCTCCTAAGAACTGTGCCGCTGTATTTTGAGCTCATGACACCGCCAGAGAAGCTCACTCAAGATCGCTTTCTGAGAGCCCCACGACCCCGTTGACTGGGACTGAATCGTCCCTTGGCGGGACCTTGATTGTGATGCTGGGAGGGTTGGGGGAGGGTCCAGGAGCGGTGGCCATGGCAGCAAACGTGCGCTTCGCAAAAGAAGGGGTCTGCAGGAAAACAGGGCTTCTACTGTTGTCAAATTCATTCCTTCGAAGGAGTCGTAATTGATTCGAGAGAAATCATGGACAAGACAGAACTTGTAAAATCTAATAGCAAGGTTCGTCTCAAAGTAAGAAAGGTCTTACAAATTACTTGTTGCAGGTGTTGGGCACTTTGTGATTGAGCTGAGAAATGACCTCCTGGGTGCTTGCAGCGAGCAGAAAGAGGAAAACAAACCAAGCTTAGAAAAGCCAAAGATTGTTTCAGAGACCCACTGTGCATTAGATCCAAACCTCGATATGTAAGGCAATTTTTTGCTGCCAGGTCTGCAAGACACGTTAAGCTGATCGTTAGATCTATTTCAGCAGTCCAACAAGCCATGCATACTTCTACTCCACTTCCGTTCAGCTCAGAAAGTCTACACAATTTTTGTTACGGGCTAAAGGCAAGGAGGGAGAAAATATGATTGCAAAGGTGACATAACACCACCATTGTACAAGGAGGATCAAACAAGAGATGGACTACTGGTTCGACGACCCAATGGGGGAAAACAGCTGTCTCAAGTTACTCTCAACCAGACTTTCCACTCCTTGCATGCAAACATGTTCATACTTTGCGCATGGCCAGCTCACTTCTTCAAAATTGACAAGATCCAAGGCTTCATCGCCTGACCACCACTGCGTCGATGAAGCGAGCAGGATTGCAAGCACCACCAAGATGACAAATGCAGTCCACATTGTGGAACTCGTGCTGAAACCCCCCACTCTATTCAAGCAGACTTTTGAAATTTGTGGGCAGCTTTGATCGTGCTTGAATTGCCCAACAGGGTCAGACTAAAGTCTTTAAAGTAGAGACAATGAGAAGAGCAATGCTGGAGTGCCCACCGCTTTCTGGCGGACGTAATGCTGGGAGTAAAAGTTGACACACGAGCCAAATGCACTCCTTCTCGGTTTGCTCGCCCTCTGTAGCTGGAAGTTCCAATCAGAAGCTGTCTCTGGGCAATGCTGACTTGAAGTGTGTACCTCTGTTTGGATTGCCCTCTTCTCTGCTGCACCACCGCAGATCAGCGACTCGACGGTAGCCGAGAGACTGCCCAGCTGCGAGAGGGGCTGGAGCCTGAGGCCAGCGAGAGCCAAAGAACGACACATGAGAAGGAAAGGAGCTTCACCAAACGCTGGCCTTTTCTCAGTTTGTCATGCTGGCCCTTCGCCGCCGCAGGCGTCGGAACTTTCTGAAAGTTTTTGTTCAGGGTGCGATCGAGGTGCGTCCCCGGGGGGCTCGGGGGGGCGGAGCCCCCCCGATTTCTAAGTGAAAAGAAATGGGCAGTGAAGACTACCGGTCGTGATCTTTTTGTGGGCTCTATTTTTTGCCAAGATATATTTAGATGCCGCTGCCAACTTCATCCGAAGCAGCACCGGTGGTCTAGTGGTAGAATAGTACCCTGCCAACTGACGTCACCACGACGCAAGCGAGCTCGGTACAGACCCGGGTTCGATTCCCGGCCGGTGCAAAAAATTCACGTTCAATCCATGTCGTCCCCTTTTTACCCTACGATCGGATCGTTTTACCGCTGCGAAATTTCAAGTGATACGG